ATAAAATTTTGACTTGTATGCATGTGTGTATTTGGTCTTCTTGAAAATTTTTCCGCAGTACACAAATGTGTGTAGTTGGTCCCCAACGTAACGGGGAATTAGTACACAAATATGTGTACTTGGTCCTTTACGGAAAGAAAAAAAATACACAAATATGTGTAGTTGGTCGCCAACGTAACTACAAAATAGTACACAAATGTGTGTACTTGGTCCTTAACGGAAACCAAAAAAGTACACATATTTGTGTACTTGGTCCCCAAGGGAAAGCAAAAAACTACACAAATATGTGTAGTTGGTCCTTAACGGGTTAAAAGGTTGTTGTTGATTAAAATTTGGAATTTGGAGGGCTTGGAATAAAATTGTGTCGAGGATTAAAATTGTTGTGTTGTTGTCGTGGTGGGTTAAAATTCGGATTGTTAAATTGTCTAGGATTGCTGTGTTTATGTTGTTGAATAAATTGATTCAATTTGTGGCATTGTTCAGTTGTGTGTGTATGTGTACCATGAAGGGCACAAGGAAGGACAGTGGGGGGTTGTGGGGTAGGTTGAGAATTTTTCGGAGCTTGGTGTTTCTGAACACTAGCCAGAATAACACTGTCAGCTTCAGAAGAAAAAGCTTTAGGAATTGTTAAACTGTGTCGACCCAATAACTCGTCAATTTTTCGTAATTGTTCTAAGAAAGCGTGTACATCTGCACACTGAGAAGAAGTAAATTGTAATTGAAGTTTAATTGGAAGTCCCTTAATTAATTGTTCAACAATTTTACTGTCCGTCATATTAGGATCAATATTGCGTAAAATACTCAATTTAGAAGTTACATATTCTTGTGGATTAGATTTCTCAGCATAAACTAAAGCTTTGTTCGCTTTCTTGTGTGTACTAATTTGAGAATCATGATTAAAAAACAGTTTAAATTCTACTAAAATTGCTTTCCACAAGTCGTCATAATCATTGTTACAAGTGGTAACTAAATTAGTAGCATATGTAGGAACTCTCGATTTGAAAAAATCTAATGCTTGACCTTCTAAAATTCGGTCTAAATTTGTAGAAATCCACTTATTTGTAACATGATGTTCGGCTAAATCGGCAGTTAAATGAGCAATAAACTCATTTACGTCAGTTTTCCCGTCAAATTTACGAAAATATTTGATAACCTTATTAGGGTGTTCGACTGCAGGAGGGTTCGACATTTTGAAAAAATTTTTCAAATAAAATCTCAAAAAACCAAAATAAATCAAACGACTATTTACCAAAATTCAGAATTATTTCGAAATAAAAACGACTTATTTTTCCATTTTAACTTAACATTAGGTTGCCTTTGCCAGTTTCTAGCAATATTTCATAATAATGAAATAAAATTGTATGTATTTCCCAAATAACAAAGAGATAATTTTATGTACCCTTGTTTCGACCATAATTAGAATAATGCGGCATTAGAACAAAGGAGAGGAGGAATAAGGATACTCATGAAGGTTGTCCCTCGGCTTGATTGCCAAGGCTTACCCACAACTGCTCGCATACCCAGGATCTGCAACCATGAACCCGCAGGCCTAGCCTTCGTCCCCTGGCTCACGACGACACGAGCCGCCGCAACATTGACCACCGTGGTGTAGCTTGGGTCAATGTGAGGGACGGTGCCTTCTTCGGAGTTGAGTAGGGTAGGGTAGGTTGTGAAAAGGTAGGTAGGTAGGTAGGTAAGTAGGAAATGAATTCAGATTTTAAATATGTAAAAATGATCCTAAATTGGAATTTTGGGAAATGTTTCGACTAATAAATGCATTGATGTGTAATAAAGTTCAACCAAACTTTGAATAAATGAACACAAAGCGAATTATGCATGCATGCCAACACACAATTTTTCTTTTCTTCTTCCTTGTTAATTAGCATAATGGTTAGTAATAATCAAATAAGTGACGCTATTCTAATGAATAGAACTGTCCTAACAAGAAGTGACCTTTACAAGGACAAGTGTACGTAAAATCGGCTTATTTTCGAAATATTTCGGCAAATCGGCATTGTTTTCAAATGAAAACCGTCAATCGTCAAGGCAAAATAAAATTGAATGAATGTAGAAGGATTTGAAAGAAATCGAGTCAAAAATAAAAGTTTTATAAGGATTTATGTATGTACATTTGTAAAAATATTCCTCTCTTTTGAAGAATATGTCATATTTCGCTTAAAAATCAAAATTAAAAAGTGTGTTCCTCACACAATGTGTAAAATATATTTACTTATGTATGTATAAGCTCAAAATGTAAAAGAAATTATTAAAAACCCGATATATTGAACGTATGTACGTACTGATTTACGTACGTATTACTGATGACGAAATACAAAAGAAAGGCACAAATGTTTTGCTATGCCGAAGGCTTTCTTCTTCTACTCACCTTGTGTGCAAAATCGTGCCACAACACAATTTTCATAATAACATAATTTCCTAGTATTTTTAAAATTACCTACATTGGTACAACTGAGAACATCTCAATTTTTTACAATTACGTCACCCTTTCCATACATGTTGATCCACTTCGATTCGTTAAGTCTGAACTTTTTATGGATTTGAGCTTGATAACCTTCATGCGAATGTATGTATATACTTATCTATTCACATCTCACCTCGTACGCAGTACGCAGTACAAGTTTAACTCGTGATTTTTATTCGTTTTTTGCCTTTAGCACCTAAGTAAATACGGAAATAAATAAATTTAAAAAAATAAAACTAAGGCGAGAGGCGCTATTAAAAACAAGAAACAAGCCCTCCCACCAACACCCCCGTCTCGCCGTGGCCCCATTAATATTTTTATATCTGGGGGTGTAACCACAATTTTATTTTTTTGTAATTCTTCCCTGCATCATACACAGCAATTTAAAAAACAACTTACAGTAGGGCATATTTGGCAAAATAGGTGACGGGATAGCGTCATAAAATGGTCAGACAGATGTCGGAAATCAAACTACGAAAGCTTATTTATTTAACTCGTTTACCTGAGCAGCAAGCTCAATTCTGAAATGTATGAATGCAGATTTGGGATGTATTTAACCGCATGACTACCTACGTTAAAATAGTTGGTTTTAAGAAGTAAATATTTTATTTTTGTACGATGGTTGATGAATAGAGTCAGGGTATGTATATATTCCAAACTTTGTCAACAGCACCGATTGATTTGAAACTTTATGATCTTGATTCTAGATTTGTTTTAAACAAACAAAAAATTGTTTTTGTACATATTTTGTCGATTTGGTTAAACATTTTATATAAATGTTTTGGGGTCTTTATGAATATATTTATCCGTACTCTGTTGATTAATGCTAAACTAAATACATATTTAAATTGAAATTAATGCAAGAACTGCAGATAATAGGTTTTATAAGTGCAATGCAATATAAAATTGTAATAATTATCAATTCAAATGCAGTTTACATTAGTAGTTAAAAGCTTAAATCATAAATTGCGGTTACACCCTGTGGGCGTTGGTCTTCCGGTTGGCGCTTGGTAGGTCAGAGGTGAGTGCAGTCGGGACGGACTGGGATGAATGTTCCGGAAGGACACCACACAGTTTGGAGGCGTAAGGCCGTATGTGCGATCGGCAGCCCCACTTATGATGTGAGATACACGAAAGTTAATGTTTTATCGGAATTTAGCACTCGAAATAAGTCACCGAAATGTAATACGCGTCCCCCGAGAGTTATAGTTTTTACAGAGCAACTGGTTATCAATTTATTTTACGTAGCCGGAGGATTTTACATTTATGTATCAAGAAACCAAAAGATATTTAGAGGTTGTGGAAACTGTAGAATTATGGGGGACTTTAGGATGGCAATGGTGGAGAGAGGAGATACGTCTTGGTAGACGCCGGAACTCCGTCTGCCAGGATTCTTGGACAGAAGACAGTATATGTCCTTGTTGAAGGAGACGATGTCCTTCAGTCGATGTATTGATAATTTGGAGTGACTGGCCGGTCGAGATATCAATGTATGAATATGGAGACGAGGAAGAGATAGGAGGGGAGGATGCATATGATATGCATAGTTCCCTCAACCCCCAGATATAAAAATATTAATGGGGCCACGGCGAGACGGGGGTGTTGGTGGGAGGGCTTGTTTCTTGTTTTTAATAGCGCCTCTCGCCTTAGTTTTATTTTTTTAAATTTATTTATTTTGGGGTTTTTAAGTGAACAATTTTGTAACTCCGTCATTAAAAACCTACAATGCAGGCAGACTTGATATAGCCCGAGTCAGGAAAGGTTGGGATTATCACCCAATCCGAATTTTTTTACGAAATTCTATATAGGGTCCCTTCAGTTCAAAATCTTCTCATTTCAATTCATATTCGTCCAAATGAAACCATTATCACCCTCCGTACCAAATTTCAGCTCGCTTGGATGATTTTGAAAATCGGTATGAGTCACCCCACATACCACCCCTTCCGTTGAAAAATTTTACAATTTCATTTCATACTCTTTCACTAGAACCCATTATCAAGCTCCATGTCAATTTCGGCTTTCTAGCGCATTTTTTAAATTTTGATGTATATTATGCACGCCACCCACTTATATGGCCCCCACCAGTCCAAATCTTGTTTGGTCCCATCTTCAGAGTTCAGACTCGGTCGTTGCATTGCCCAAACACATGTTTGTACCAATTTTTAGTCAAAATCGGCCAGCGCTTGAGAGAATTGTCGAAGGACAGAATGACGTGACGATTATATAAGCCCTGGTTCGGGCCACCATTTACACATACATATAAAGAATTTCTCTACTAAAGTTGCTATGGATGTTAACTGAATTTTAAAAATTTCAAACCTCCATAACTTCGTCATTTTGCATCCGATTTTCATGACCCTAAAGAATGATCTTAATAATTTTTTAAGCCCTTTCGATTCCCCTTTGCCGATTTTTCACTTTCAGCGGAATATTTTGAAATACAGAAAAAAAAAGTCACTAAAATGAGAAATGCACCATGAAGATGTTAACCGATTAAGCCCAGAGATCTATAAACAATACTACAAAGAATTTACTACCCATTGGTCGAAACCGCATGTCTCTACGACGTATGGTTCTCTCACAATTTTGTCTGACTGTTTTGAGGTGGGCACTTAACTGCATACTATGGCTTCGCCGTAACCATGCACGTATTTTTTTTGGGTGCATGGTTACGGTTGGTGTCTCGCCTTAGAAAAATAGAGCAAGGGTCAATAACTTTGTTAATATTTAGCAATGATGTCAGCCCTGGTTTACATCGTGTACATAATCGTAGATAGTTTTGTCTTCAGCACATTAATCATGAGAAGAAATTGTAATTTAAGTAATTATTTTTTTCTTACAGATGAATTGTAAACGTATGTAAGAGATTACCATTTCCACAGTCCAAGTCGGGTAAGTTGTACATGTGCAAGTACACAAATTCCGTCTTCCTCTCTTCTCATTCTTCTCGAAATTGTCAAATCAATAGCGTCTTCCTGATGACCCGCATCACCACTGATCTGACCGGACGACAACAACCCGATTTAACTTTAGAGTTAAACGAAACGCTGCTTATCGTTCAAGTAACATTATTATAAACAGTATCCGTAATTCTTTACCAAATTTGTGCATGTATGTACATATACACACATATGTATCATGCATGTACATATGTATATCCTGCAGATAAGGTACGCATTTCTATACATTGAGTAGGTAATAAATAATGAAATCTTGGCCATTATGTGTACGCAAATAAAAAATGACCTCAGATACCATACAATTTTTTTCGAATAAATAAAAGTAGAAGTTCTAGGCTTGATAAGCATTAATTCAGCTTTATTCTTCGAAAAGAAATGAAGCCCACATCATTCTAAAAATTTCATAAGCTCGAAATTTTTTTAATTTCTGAAAATGGGTGCGAAATTGGAAATATTAGCCGCTGTGCTATGCAGCGTTACAATGGTGCTGTTAATATATCAGCAGGGCGTTGAATCTGTACAAGGTGCGGTAGTGAAATTCAAGCCCTGATGTTTTCATATCTCAAATTTCTGAAAAAAATGCTGTAACATTTCCCACATAATTTTTGTACGATAAACAAGTTGATAGAAAACGTAATTCATTTTAATCCATATTCTAGTCGGGGATGCATGCGGATCCAACAACACGAAGGACTGCTCCGTTTCAGGATGGAACGAGCCTAATCTCACGTATTACACCTGTGCCGACGGAGGAAAGAATGGAACCTGTCAAGTCCCCAATTCCAACGGGCAACTGCTAACCTGCACTGGGACCAATTCACAAGGATGGTTTTGTAAATATTGCAAGGCGTATGGACAGTCCTGTACCAAGGACTCGGACTGTTGTTCAAGTATGGACGATCTGGACAGGTCGCCACTTCCTCTCACCATCAAACCATTCTGTCACAAGCCCATAGTGCTGGGTAAGGTTAAAATAATGATGCAATTTAAATCAAAATTCTATAAATGTGTCATTTTTTGATTTCGTAAGGGATACGCTCGACTACTGGAACTTGTAAACCCTGTCTTCGGGATTATGACCCCTGTGGCGGATCAAATCTCCCATTTTGTGGCAAATTGAATTACACCGCATCTTCCGCTTCGTGTCGTGATTTCGTTGGTCTCGGAGGTGGTTACGATTATCAAGGACACAACCCAAACCGTGGTCTGATTGTTATGGGTGCTGCTACGGCTGCAGGTAAATAGTATGATTTGGAGGTTGCTTGAAATCAAGTTTGATTGAAGAGGTCATATTTCTAAATTGAATCGCAATTAATACACAAATTTGAAGCCTATTGTTCCACAATTTTATCAACAATGTGACATTTAAGTTGGGAGGCAGCATATTCCTTAGTAGATAAAAATTAAGCTTTCTGGGAAATAGCAGTACATATTTATGTATACTTAATTGTAGACCCATGCACACCGGAAGCAAAATTGGCCAACCTTAATGGATTCGCCATCCCAACGAGTGGAGCGTCCGATTGTGGCGACTATGAACAAGTCACATACTTGTTAGACACGGGGTACGAGAGGGCATATTTCTGCAGGTAAAGCAGTCAAAATAATAAATCGATATCTGAAACTTGAGTTTCGATTAATTTCCATTCGTATGTGTACATATTTCAGTTGCCCTGATAACGCCACTGTTGGATACCAATGTCGCGTCACCAATCTACCTCAAGCTTTACTAAGGGGACCCACGGACAATGGTCAGCGGTGTGTCAAGTGTGGTCTGAATGGACAACAATGTGGCTCCGGAAATGATTATCCCTGCTGTGATTTTCACACCTGCACGAGTGGAATCTGCCTCCCGAACAACTGTACTTTGGAGGGAGAACGTACAAATTTTGATGGCGTGGCTACAAATTGTTGTGGAGGGATAAACTTTCACAGGAATGATAAAGATAAGCGGTAAGGCTGGCTACGTAAATTTATTCAGTCAACCTATTAATAACTTGCATGCTCTAAATTTCGAATTATTTCTGTAATACGGATGGATTTGTGTCTCTTATTGGAATAAAACATTTATATAAATAGTGGATTATTTTACATTTTTTGCAGATGCACAAATTGTCACTGTGGCGGACTCGGAGCCAATTGCGAATCTGGGATTGATTGTTGCGGAACGGACACAATATGCAGAAAAGTTACGTCTTTAACATTGCAATGCGAAGAATGCATACCAGACTTTGCTGTAAACAGTCCGGGTCGAAATTGTACTTCAGTTTACGACTGCTGTCAATCTCTGCCCTTGTATGAAGACCCTTTTGCCGAATCGTACAGCTTCTGTTATCAACAATATGAATGCAGACCTTGCAGACGAGAGAATGAATCTTGTGACCAGTATGACACTTGTTGTGGGAGGTTGGATTGTAATTTTAGCGTTAATAATGGCACCTGTCTTCCCCTCCCGGAATAGTTATTGAAGCATAGTTATTGCTTAAGTGTTGGATGTTCATGTTAATCTAATCCAAAATTTGTAGTTACCCTGACTGTTGCGACAACAACCTTGTTAGATCTGCATGAAATCAAGTTTTATTAATTGAAAATGATATTTATTAACAATGTGAAATAAATTTTGAATAAAAGCAAAGTTTCAAAATATATTTTAGACAATCAACTTAGGATTAGCGACCATATTGACCTGTGGGAGTCATTTAAGCTAAATAGTGACAAATATAAATTGTAATAAAAACCTGAAATTTCAAATCAATCGGTACGCAAAGAGCAGATAAAAGAAAATTTTTGCTAAGGATAAATACACATGTAGATTTTAGATGCATAATTTACTTAAGAATATAAAACGGATAATGAGAACGGATAAAATATCTATGTAGCTTGTATTTGAAATAGGGGAAAATAGTGTGACCAATTAGTTATTGGTTCCTTTACTTACGGTAATAATGCTACGTGTATATTTAGTAAAGCGAATTGATTCAAAGATCCCTAATTTCTTCACTTTCTTCCAACACAGTTATGAAATTGATGGGAAACTTTGCAAGTTCTTTTGATCTCGCAAAACTTTTATACTCGTCAACAAACTTGGACTTGACCAAGGAAAATTCCGGCCTTTGAGGATCTCTCTGCCCACTCGTGTTGCCCCCGCGTCTCCCACTCCCTCCATTTTGACCTTTCCGCTGTGGCCAGTTCGATCCAGAGACGGACTTCAGGTCCGAGTAGCCTCCTCCAATGCATCCAATAATATTAGTGGTCACGTCCGCCTCCATCCCATCCCCGGTTTGACCCCCCTCGCCCCCTGGACCACCTTCTCCGTCATTTCCCCTTTTTCCAGAGGCGGCCGATTGCGGTACAGATGTTGTTGGGAAGGTTTTATCAATCTGGAGAATCTCGACTTTTCCCCCGAATCCAGGTCCACCGCCAGCACCACCATCGCTCCCGTCGCCACCATTCCCACCCCCAGAGCCAAACTTTTTCACGTGGAAGTTGTATATCCCTCTTCCTTCGACATCGTCAAAGTACGTTGGCGGAACCCAAAAACAAGCGGTCGGCCAGTCGCTGAAACTGTTTGTGCTTCCCTTTGACCCTTCTCTCCCCCTGCTTCCTGCCGATCCGTCCCCACCGTTTCCTCCGTTTGCTGAGACAATCAACTTGTTGTTCGCAGCTTTCCACAATGCTCCCGTAACAGCGAAAAAGCTTCCTCCAGCCTCGCCTGGCATGCCAACATCGCCATTCTTTCCCCCATTGCGTCCATCCAGATTGATGGACAATTGGTCGGTGGTTGTGATTTCAGTGAATGGCGCAATGATGGAGAGTTGATGATTTTTCTGGGAGGAGTTTGGCTGGATTTTTCGGTTCATGAAGAGGACTTGTGTTGCAAAGATTTGGACATCTTTTGGGTCGCTGCATTTGACGTAGTTTCCGGCAGAAGTGGTGAACTCTGAGGCGAGGACGTAGCCGCCACGGACGATCAGTGTGTCCTGACCCACGCAGTCGACGGATGATCGCTCCATCGCGATGTCAATGATGACTTTCATCAGATCGGTGTCCTCCTGAGTGAGGAGGTCCTTTGTGGAGAATATTTCACGAATTCTAGACGACACGGGAATCCCTAGGGAGTCATGAATCCAGTCCATGTTTGGCTGTGTGGGAACAAGAATGTTGGGTTTCTCGTTTTGGAAGCTGTATTCACCCAATTTCGTTTGGAGGGAGTCGAGGAAATCGTACCATTCGTTCCTTTTGCCAGTCTCGTCGTCAACAAAGGTTCTCATCGGTTTCAGCCAGCTTTGGACGTCACGATGGATGGGATTTTTGGCCATGTCCTCAAAGAAATCGAGATACTCGTCCAGTTGGTGAAGCGCGTTGTAGTAGTCGTTTCCAAGCTGGGAGTCGTAACCTCTGTCGAGTAGGACGCGTCGAATTTCCTGAGCCAGCAGCTTCGGGGAAGATGAAATGGTCGCGTTCTGATCAATCAGTTTCAATGCAGTGGAAAATTGTGCAAATTCTGCGTGGATGAAGTGACGAGTTTCATTGAAGGTTGAAATTGTTGTCATCCTTTCACCTTGAATTCTCCTAACTTTGGGGAATAGGGTGTTCCCGAGGGAAGAGATATTTTTGTTGATTTGTTCCACGTAGTCGTTCACTTTGAGGAGGGTGTTGCCAGTGAGGGCCCAGCCAAAGTCGTTCGGTTGGGATTGGACGAGGGTCAAATTTTTGGAGAGTAGTTTCTGCAAGGTTGCTCTCGTTGCCATGGCGACGGGGTCATCGCTCAAGCGACCGCATCTGGCGGCCAGCCTCATGAACCCGATTCTGCCCTCTTGAAGAAGAATGTCGACAAAGGCAATTTTCCGCCGGATTAAATTTCGGTCGACACGCAGGTCGTTGAGCTTTCCTTCCTGGTCGGATTTGTACATTTTGAGGAAGGACACGATGCCGGACAATATTTCCTCATCCGGGATAGGCTTCCCGTTATTGGGGTTGAAGTTGGGCGCCTTGGAGACTATGAGCCCGATTCCTGGCTCATAATGGGTCAAGTCCTTCACCAGGTTGACTGCATGGGTCGTCATTCGGTCAAAGTCTGTCTTGTCATTGGTGCCAGAGACGGAGGAGTGGATGACGACGAAACCGATGGAAATGCTGGAAACATGGTCTGTCACGGCTTTGAGTAGGAAGTTGGCAGTGATGTCGGTGTCTGGACCGCGGTTGTCGTCGAAACCGGGACAGTCGTAGATGGCGAGAGACGTGTCCTTGTCAACGACCAGTTCCGGGACGAGCGTTCGAGATGCCGTGGTGTGTCCAATTTTATCATTGTCATCAACGATGAGATAATTACCGCTGGGGTTCATGACCAGTCTCAGCCCTGTCGCGTTCCCTACTGTCAAATGAGTCAGGGTGGATTTCCCTGAACCAGTGTTGCCCATCAGGAGGACGACGTCGGTGTACTTGTCACTCAGTTCGAGCTGGTTCTTCCCATCCTCCAGCAAGTCCCAGAGGGTGATGTTGGGCGTGGGGACGGGCGGTGGAGGTGGATCTACGACTTCACACTCGGGATCGTCATTCTGGCGAGGAAAATGAGACCTTGGTTCTCCACGGAACACGTCAAGAACTCGGTAGTGCGAAGGTGGTCGGATTTCACGTCGAAGGACTGAAAATGACGCAAACACAAATAAATCGACCTTTAAAACTTAATTTAGCTGTATGCAAAGCTATACTACATTAATACTAATATCAAAATATTTTCCCAAGGAGACCTTCAATTTTGGTAAATAAGGGATGTAAAATTTAAATTAGAATTTAAATTTTTAAACTTACAGTATAAATTATTTGCATTGTCCTGGTCTCCTCGAACATATCTTTGCCTCACTGAACACTGCAAAATAAGACAATTAAATTGCGTATTTTGTCAATTTATTATTTGCATTGCTCACAAATGAAGAACTACGATTTATAAACATGCATGTATAACAAAAAACGATTAATTTGTCGAACATGACAATTTGCATATCATTTTGTGAACGCATAGTTTGAATTATGAATAAGTTTCCTATAAATAATTGAATGTAATACATACGAAATTTTAAATAATCTGAAGTTTAAGGATACTTCGTAAATACAAATTTTATTTATTTACCTCACATAATCCAATCCATAGCAGAAAATACAAGTAACCAGATTTCTTCCACATTTCGAAGCCCAACATATATATATATTCTAAAAAATTGTGAGGGCAGCGTGTGTTCCTTAACCGCTGCATAAATAAATTGACCTGCTCTGAATATTTGTACGACATATTTATAAGTTTTTGATGACCTGAAGTATTGAGTTTGCAATACTTAACCGATGCGATTAAGGAAGATCATTCTGGAATGTGAACATTTATTCTAAATTTACAGCTTAGAATCAAAATGCCAGCCCAACATATTTACATTATACAAACATATATACACATTTGTGCATATGTAACTTTACTTTAGTGATACCATGACTGCCAAATTTATAACTTCGTTTTTAACCCCATTTGAAAAGACGAATGACAAGATATGCAGATTCATCGTTTATACATTTGCATAATTTTACGGAAGTAAAGTTACAATTGGATGAGTTAGTATATACCAAGTATTAAACTGCTTATCGTTTTCTTCGAACAAAAATGCAGTCAAAATTGCTCAACTCAGCAATTGATTATTTACTAAATTAACTTTGCATAATTTGCATTTTCTGCAAAAAAGGAAGGAGATTGTAATGGTGCAGATTAATGTGATTTTGGGGGTTTGCTCCTTAGGGTCATACTCCGTGGTACACAATTCAGAGTCCTCGGAAACTTTTAGGTTCATAATATGTTTATCATCTTTAATCATCCAATTCACTTCCGAGTTTTTGATAATATTGTAAACATCGCAAAATCCCTGAACTTATGTATAGAAGTTTACAAAATTTTCTAAGTACGATTGTCTTTTTCTGTTTAATGTTTGAGTGTCAAAGATCAAAGCCGTCATTTTATTTTGGAAATGTGTGAATTATCCCATCATAAAATTCCAAAATGCAAGTGTTTGCAAAACTCGTACCATATTCTGTTTATCAGCAAGTATGCAAGGTTGCAATTTATTGAGTTCAGAACAATTCCGGTCCAGGGCATTGCATTTTCGCACGATCACGACACAAGCTAATTATTTTCATCGATTAAATAGGTATAATATGACATCTTTGAGTGGAGTAAACTGATAAATGAATCTGCATAACTCAGCATGGTACGCATGCATATCTAAAGTTGCACTTTGCATAGAGGAACAATTCATTCTTTACTTGAATTTTGTACTTACATAGATAAAAACAGGACAATAAGGCATTCATGTTGCAGAAAACAGCATCTTGAGCTTTGTAGGATTTAAATGTGCAATTATGCGAATTCGTTAATTCATTCAATCAATAGCTGCATTCATATATAAGTAAGTGAGTGAAATAAGAATATATGGGCTGGCATTTTGATTCTAAGCTGTAAATTTAGAATAAATGTTCACATTCCAGAATGATCTTCCTTAATCGCATCGGTTAAGTATTGCAAACTCAATACTTCAGGTCATCAAAAACTTATAAATATGTCGTACAAATATTCAGAGCAGGTCAATTTATTTATGCAGCGGTTAAGGAACACACGCTGCCCTCACAATTTTTTAGAATATATATATATGTTGGGCTTCGAAATGTGGAAGAAATCTGGTTACTTGTATTTTCTGCTATGGATTGGATTATGTGAGGTAAATAAATAAAATTTGTATTTACGAAGTATCCTTAAACTTCAGATTATTTAAAATTTCGTATGTATTACATTCAATTATTTATAGGAAACTTATTCATAATTCAAACTATGCGTTCACAAAATGATATGCAAATTGTCATGTTCGACAAATTAATCGTTTTTTGTTATACATGCATGTTTATAAATCGTAGTTCTTCATTTGTGAGCAATGCAAATAATAAATTGACAAAATACGCAATTTAATTGTCTTATTTTGCAGTGTTCAGTGAGGCAAAGATATGTTCGAGGAGACCAGGACAATGCAAATAATTTATACTGTAAGTTTAAAAATTTAAATTCTAATTTAAATTTTACATCCCTTATTTACCAAAATTGAAGGTCTCCTTGGGAAAATATTTTGATATTAGTATTAATGTAGTATAGCTTTGCATACAGCTAAATTAAGTTTTAAAGGTCGATTTATTTGTGTTTGCGTCATTTTCAGTCCTTCGACGTGAAATCCGACCACCTTCGCACTACCGAGTTCTTGACGTGTTCCGTGGAGAACCAAGGTCTCATTTTCCTCGCCAGAATGACGATCCCGAGTGTGAAGTCGTAGATCCACCTCCACCGCCCGTCCCCACGCCCAACATCACCCTCTGGGACTTGCTGGAGGATGGGAAGAACCAGCTCGAACTGAGTGACAAGTACACCGACGTCGTCCTCCTGATGGGCAACACTGGTTCAGGGAAATCCACCCTGACTCATTTGACAGTAGGGAACGCGACAGGGCTGAGACTGGTCATGAACCCCAGCGGTAATTATCTCATCGTTGATGACAATGATAAAATTGGACACACCACGGCATCTCGAACGCTCGTCCCGGAACTGGTCGTTGACAAGGACACGTCTCTCGCCATCTACGACTGTCCCGGTTTCGACGACAACCGCGGTCCAGACACCGACATCACTGCCAACTTCCTACTCAAAGCCGTGACAGACCATGTTTCCAGCATTTCCATCGGTTTCGTCGTCATCCACTCCTCCGTCTCTGGCACCAATGACAAGACAGACTTTGACCGAATGACGACCCATGCAGTCAACCTGGTGAAGGACTTGACCCATTATGAGCCAGGAATCGGGCTCATAGTCTCCAAGGCGCCCAACTTCAACCCCAATAACGGGAAGCCTATCCCGGATGAGGAAATATTGTCCGGCATCGTGTCCTTCCTCAAAATGTACAAATCCGACCAGGAAGGAAAGCTCAACGACCTGCGTGTCGACCGAAATTTAATCCGGCGGAAAATTGCCTTTGTCGACATTCTTCTTCAAGAGGGCAGAATCGGGTTCATGAGGCTGGCCGCCAGATGCGGTCGCTTGAGCGATGACCCCGTCGCCATGGCAACGAGAGCAACCTTGCAGAAACTACTCTCCAAAAATTTGACCCTCGTCCAATCCCAACCGAACGACTTTGGCTGGGCCCTCACTGGCAACACCCTCCTCAAAGTGAACGACTACGTGGAACAAATCAACAAAAATATCTCTTCCCTCGGGAACACCCTATTCCCCAAAGTTAGGAGAATTCAAGGTGAAAGGATGACAACAATTTCAACCTTCAATGAAACTCGTCACTTCATCCACGCAGAATTTGCACAATTTTCCACTGCATTGAAACTGATTGATCAGAACGCGACCATTTCATCTTCCCCGAAGCTGCTGGCTCAGGAAATTCGACGCGTCCTACTCGACAGAGGTTACGACTCCCAGCTTGGAAACGACTACTACAACGCGCTTCACCAACTGGACGAGTATCTCGATTTCTTTGAGGACATGGCCAAAAATCCCATCCATCGTGACGTCCAAAGCTGGCTGAAACCGATGAGAACCTTTGTTGACGACGAGACTGGCAAAAGGAACGAATGGTACGATTTCCTCGACTCCCTCCAAACGAAATTGGGTGAATACAGCTTCCAAAACGAGAAACCCAACATTCTTGTTCCCACACAGCCAAACATGGACTGGATTCATGACTCCCTAGGGATTCCCGTGTCGTCTAGAATTCGTGAAATATTCTCCACAAAGGACCTCCTCACTCAGGAGGACACCGATCTGATGAAAGTCATCATTGACATCGCGATGGAGCGATCATCCGTCGACTGCGTGGGTCAGGACACACTGATCGTCCGTGGCGGCTACGTCCTCGCCTCAGAGTTCACCACTTCTGCCGGAAACTACGTCAAATGCAGCGACCCAAAAGATGTCCAAATCTTTGCAACACAAGTCCTCTTCATGAACCGAAAAATCCAGCCAAACTCCTCCCAGAAAAATCATCAACTCTCCATCATTGCGCCATTCACTGAAATCACAACCACCGACCAATTGTCCATCAATCTGGATGGACGCGACGGAGCAAGTGGTGAAAAGGCAACCGATAACACAAATGGGGATGTCGGCTTACCTGGAGAAAATGGGGGCAGTTTTTTCTTCATAACTGGCGCACTTTTCAAAGGAAATAATTTCAAAATATCCGCTTCCGGCGGAAATGGCGGTCATGGGTATCGCGGAATTGATGGGAAACAAGGAGATCAAGGTAATCCAACCGTTTTCGACCTTTGGCCAGCCGCCTGTACTTGGCTCGGTGGTTTTTTCGATAAGGTTGTAAACACTGGAATCTACAAGTTCCATGTGACCAAATTTGGCGGACCTGGAGGAGAAGGATTTCCGGGTGGAAATGGTGGGGTCTCTGGACAAGGGGGATTTTCCGGAAGAGCTGAGGTCCTCCAAATAGACAAACTCTACCCGAAAGTCGAAATTGCCAAAGAAATTAAGAACGGGACGACCGGAACGGATGGTGCTGGTGGGGTTGGCGGTGCCGGTGGGAATACTGGGAACGGATTGGAAGCAGATATGACAACAAATATCGATTGTATTTGGAACGGATATTCAAACCATAAATCAGTCCCAGGCTCTCAATTCCATGACAGGGATGGCTCACCGGGAAAAAATGGTTCTACTGGGGGGAATAAAATAGGTCAAAAGTTCCCCACTCAACCAAGCTTTTCTTTAATAAGGTCCAAGCTCGTTAATGATTACAAGGCTTACGTCTATTCCACCGAAAAGTCTCAATTTCCCAACAATTTCCTCCAAGTTTTAGAAGAAAATGAAGAAATCCAAGAGCTTTACAACCCTGTCGCATTTTGCCAAGAATTACTCGACCTCGAATACTACTCTTTATCCGTGAGAGACCAAATGGACAATCAGCCTGTTCTTTTATCCAGATATTTAAAATATTTGACCAGACTGGAAACCTTCTCGTCCCTTCATGAATCCAATTTAAATAACAGTGACAAGAAAGTACTAGCCATCCTCTACACCACTGCACTTTCAAAGATCACCTCTCTCACGAATCAACTCGGATCCACCATCGTTATCAATGTCGGCAACTACTTAAAATCCGTTCTCAAACGGTTTGACCGCTACCAAGAAACCCAGACACAAGTCGTAATCGATGAACAAAGAAAATCCTACGCAGCCGGATACGAAGGAAAGATAGAGCAGTCCCTCTATTTTATTGAAGAAGTCGTCACCCCGGGCATCACACAGGTGGAAATGGAACTTCAATCCACCGCGGATGACCTGCTCCGTCAAATCATAAAAATGCAAACGGCCATTGAAAATGAAGAATTCGAAAGGAAACAAGCCCTCGAAAAGATGAACGAGCAAATGGCTTTCCGTCATTTATTTTCTGCTCTCCGAATCACCGCAACTTTCACCTCTTTCCTGGGTGCACAAGGTGCCGCGATTGGGGGCCTTATGGGATCTCTCACCAACGTAGGGGAACAATGGGCCCTTGGCGACTATACGGGAAGTAGACCTCCAATTAATCTACCCCCAGCAATTAAAGGACACGCGGATCGAGTAGAGAAGGAAGCAATGGAAGAAAGTAAGGAAAAGTTAGAGGAATTAGTTGAAATAATTCTAGCCACGGAGAAAGGCATCCAACAAAATCCTGCCGTCTTAAACGATTTGTCTGACCCTTTGAAGAAATTGGATGACTTGGTGAAAGAATTAAAAGAAAACAAAGATCATTACGATATTCAAGTCTACGTCGACAAAACTGAACAATTGACTCAGGCTGAGAAAACCCTGCTCAACTCCCTCGACAAGAAGGAAACATCTCTCAATGGCGTCATTTCGTCACCAAGCTCAACCCCAAAAGAGAAAGATGACGCGAAGAAAGGAATTGAATCCGTCACAGTGATCAAAAACACCGCCACCGTGATCAACCTTGGGCTCGACATATACAAAAAATACCAAAATGACGCCAAAGAGATGGAGCGTCTCGCCCAAATGGTGCGCGAAGCAGAGAAGGCCGTGGAGGATGTCAAAGCCTACAAGGAATCGGTCTACTCCTCGCTCATGCCGATGGTTGCAAATATTGCAGAAGAACTGCGCAACGTCACGGAATCTCTCGGCAAAGAGTCCTCAGTTTCCTTACTCGTGACCAAATGGGAGGTTCAGAGAAATCTCAACGACGTCAAGTTTTTCCTCCGCCAATTCACCGAAGGTCTTCCCCACCAAGAAAGGTTTTCCCAGTTGGTCGACAAACTCGCAGAGGCGATGACCCTCCTCATCGAGCTGTACGACTACATCGAGACTTACAATGAGCACATGGCTTTTGCAGATTACTTGGCCAATATCAATTCTCCCTCGGCAAAAGGAATTATCATAAATGATCCCGAAGCGGTCCGACTCATAAACAAGATTGAGTTAGCCTTGCAGTCAAACATTCTTTTGAAAGAATATGATCGTGCCGTGGACACGTTTAAACAATGGATTTTTCCATTTGCTCACCTATACATGGATGATTTCACCCTGCCCGGAAACATGTCAGACTTTCTGCTCCCATCGTCCACCATGAATAATACGGATGATTTAATGTTCTTCCAAATTCCTGTCCTCAAGGGGCGAATTGTCAATTTGGATCAAAGAATGGACGACTATAAGTCCATGAGTTTTGGAGAAATTGACGCCAAATTGATCAAATCTGAGTTTAATTCTAGCTTTCAGTCCTCGCATCCTTTCTTTGTTTGGGAAAATAGGAGAGATTTAGAAATTATTAGGACCTTGTTCTCAGGAGGCAAGGTTTCCGTCAGGGCAAATCCAACCTATTCATCCTCCAGGTGGAAAAGTGCCGTCAAATTTCGAGTCGCGGAAGTCGTTCCGAAAACGTTAAACGATGAGGGGAAGGACGAGTTGGAAAAGGTGCTTAAAGGTTTCACCATGATCATGACCCATTCTGGGGTGAGCCACTACGTTTATGGGGATGAGGGGTACTCGATGGTGGGAGATAATGCCACGTTGAGGTACAACTTTGAGAGAGACACGGCCGGAAATCGTTTGGGGACAAATATGGTGTATGAGAAGGTCAAGGAGGGTGATTTCATCATGAGTCCGTACACCTTGTGGACCCTGCAACTTATTAAAGCGAATGAAAACGGGGTGGGTTTCGCAGCTTTGGAGGAATGGGTGGATCAAGTTGACTTGGAGTTGGTGGGAGTGGGAACATTTGTGGATGAGAGGGTCCACTTTAGGGATCGGAAGGGGAATGGGATGCAAGTTTATCGATACTATCAAGAAGATCGAGATAATTTTGTAAGTTTATGAAAAAAAAATTATTGGAAAGTGATTATTAATATTAACAACTACTCATGTTATTTTTTGCAAACTTCTAGTAAACGAGGGAGGGAGCGTACCATCAGATTACGTACACCTTTAATGAAAAGCGTAGAATTTAAGATATTGGTTATAATTTAAATACAAAACTTGTTTAATGTAAAATATCAGAATGTGCAAAAAATCAACAAATAGTCAAATTATATATGATAGAGAACTGATTATTATAATTATTCCAAGTATATAACTTTTTAGTTTAAATACAGTACAATACAATCTTGCATTAGTATTGTTCATTTCAAAAACCAAGACAAATAATGAATTGAATATTTGATTAAGAAATTTCCTGTGAACAATGTAGACATTTTTCTTCAGGTAAATGCATACAAATGCAGTTGCTTCGTTAGCTGAACATGTTTTCATTACTGTATCCTGGTTGAAAAATTGGCATCCTAATTGCTTCTTCGTACTCAGGTGGTGGCGTGTCTGAAATAAAAGACATTATACTTAATCTGCACAAATTCCACATAATGACGTTTATATAATATTTAAGTACCAGTTTTATTATTTTCATACTCCGTACTTCGGATTGAGTTAAAGGTACCGAGAGACCATTGACCATTTTGTTCAGTATTTCGGCCATAATTGCGTACTGGATTTTGTCTAATGGTGGAGTCCACATAATTAATTTGGCTATTTCCATACCATTCGTGTTGCTGTTGCCCCACTAGAGATCCAATTGTTAACGGGACATCACCAGTCGTTTTTCCCCAAAAGTGACCCATTTCAATCTGTAATAAAAAATACTCCTTCAAAATTAATTATATTTTTTTCATAAAACAAACAACTAGTAAAAATTGCATACCCTTAGCACATAATAAGCATTCATGATCCTACACCCACCACCTAATTCACTGGGCAATGAATTCAACGGAATTTTCAACACATCATTCCCACTCCAGACGTCTTCCCTTCCAGGTTGCAACTTGGGTCCTTTGACCTTATCAAGTATGCAAATCTCCTTCCTTGTGCTGCCATTTGCAATGAATTCTACAACCTGAATCAATTTAATCGTCATCCGTCGAAGTTTCTGACTCGAATAATTTTCCAGATAGGCGTTGAAATTAATAAATTCCCCAGGCACATAAATACTCCGATTTAATTTGAGGGTGAACCCAATTTGTCCTACCCGGCAGAGCAGGTCACAAATTGTCTTTCTCTTTTCTATTTGCACAGGGCGATTAAGATTAGAGATCATGTTGCTGGTGAGATTCAGTCGCCCGTCCACTTTGAAGGGGAGGTTGACATTTACATCGGATTTGAACCAGGACGAGCGTTTCATGACGGCTTGCATGGAGTAGGAGACAGCACCAAGTTTGTGCTCAAATGATGACGGAATTCCGGTGGGGAGTTGATAGCCGAACGGATAATTCGTCGTCCCTGGGGGGAGGATAATTTTATCGCGATCTGCAAAATTGCATAGATTGTAATATTAATTAATTTAAGCCAATACATTTGTACATATGTCCATTTTCATAAATACATATGTACCATTTCCCAGAAGAAGTTGGGTATCTGCAAAATAAGTTTCTTCTCCGGTGAAGTGAACTGTACGCCGACGCTTTCCAAATCCACGTTCCTCTGTCCAGTGAACTCTGGCATTTCCTCGAATTACGATTCGAATACCTGAACAGGTAAACATTTAATTGTTAAAGGTCCCATTTTATTTAGAGCAGTCCAAAATGTGTTTATATTTGTATGCTTACTTTTCAGTTCTTTTGCTTTAGGATTAATGAGCACCACTTCTCCAACAATTCTTTCTCCAGGAATGAAATTTCCATGTCGTGGATTTTCAAGCACAATTTGTAAATCAGATCGCTCACTTGCTAATAGGTTAGGAATTTGGAAACAGGAGAACATACTTGGTTTTCATAGTACGACTAAAAACGGTTTGTTTTTAATAAAGTTTTCAAATTCCAGCGCAGTAAGGTACAAACTCTGCAAATTTTATGAAGTCTTATGTTTAAAAAATTTAAAATATTGTGAAACGTTAAAGCGAGAAATTCGCCTTGAATGTGTTGTACCTATGATGCAATGAATGAGACAAAAACAGATGATGATACAGCTTTTTTGCTTGGAATCCCGATCTTTCAGATTGCATATGCTTGTACCCATATGTACTAAATAAATACGCAATACAGCATTTTTTTGTTACGAACTCAATAAGAACAGTTCATAGCTAATAGCAGACGCAAGTACTTTTCATTTCAATCCTTTTTTATCCAGGCATCAACGTATAATTGGACGCCCTGCTACTGACCTGAAGGGGCTTATGTACATGTATGAAATTTACATTTATGTACTTAATGGTTGGTCAAAACCAACATTGCAAACTTTTGACTTTTATGTAGAGATAAATATGGTACGTTTGTATGTATAATAGTGTATATTAGATTCATCGAGGTGATAATAAATAACGTTTTAGAACAAATCCAAATATAATATCACTTTAAAGAAAGGTATTTTCTGGTTATATTTAAATGTATATGTATGAATGTATGCCGCCCGTGCGCATACTTATTTATCTTGGTCTTATTGAATGCAACATGTGAAAGTTTCATGAAAATTATTTAACGAACGCCAGAACTTGTACATTGTTATGTACAATATACCTAAGCAATGATTTTCAGATCAACAAGTTTGTTAACCGCGTAATGTCACATAAATTCTGCATTTCATCAAAATATTTACCTAGTTGAGCTACTATCTACTCTAATAAAGTGTTAGTATGATCCCTGGGTCCCTGGGTCCGTCTTCGCAATGCAAATTGCCCCATACAGTATACAAAGAAGGAAGCGGAGCAACCACTGCATGCATGCACTGCACTGCATGAATAAATGAATACATGAACATGTACACCCCACATACATACATCACTCATCAATAGTGGTTATCATGATAAGTGATCGTGATAAACACTATTAATTAATTATTTTAGTTTGAGAAACTCTACCCACAGCGAGTGGCATGTCAATTCGAATATATTTTTGACGCTGAATCCAACGCCGTCAATGGTTTTGACCTGCGAGGCCCCCGTGACCTCGCCGTGACCGTGGTGTCCAAATCTGGCTTATTCGTGATGTCGCATATCAATTCGAATGTATTTTTGACGCTGAATCCGAATCCGTCAATAGCTTGGCGTTAATTGTAGAAGTTAACGGGGTTTATGGAACTTAACGGGAGCGTGAAGCGTGGGAATTTAAATAGTTAGCTATGCAGTTACTCCCACGCGACGGGAATTTAAGTAATTAGCTATTCAACTACTCCCACAGGGGGGAATCAAATTGTACTGTGACCAGGTTAATTAAAATGGAGTATGACTTGGGCAAACCCTCAGTCTGATGTATGTATGTAGTATGACAAAGTCTCCACTGGGAATTATTTAAAATATAGTATGACGGATTTTTCGCTTTGGGCACACCCCCCACTGGAACTCTAGAACCCGGCCTTGGCCGGGCTATACGCTAGTTATATAATATTTTGGACTAATCATACGAAACCACAAATTAAACAATCGTCCTACGTTCCCTACTTGGCAAATACCATATTAAAATTTATTCAAGTTGGAATTACTTATTTTCCCTGGAAGTTGATAACTTTACACTTTTGATCTACAAATATGTACATAACATATATTCGAATAACACCTACAAAACATAACACCTATAAATGTTAACATTACCTCGTTTATTCATGTTTATATATGTAACTACGATGAACGTTAAAACTTCAAAATCCTACTATTTAATCATTCATGATAATGGATTCCCAGACAATAAGATACGAATCCTACGCCATACATATAATCATACATAATTACTGGAAATATTTAGCAGAATGACTATCGTCGCATATTGATTTCCATCAGAAACACAAAACTTTGTCATTAAATTTTGACATGTATTTTACGAATTTCATTCCTTTCTTAATTCAACACCTCCGTATGTGCAAACCTTTTTCTTGCAATCCGGTCGAATTTGATCAGAAGTCAAATAAATTTATCTTGGTAACATGTCCTAAGACAATTCGGATGTATCGTCTCCAATGTTTATTAACATTACTTTACTGTACTGTTATGTTGCTCCATCTAATTTATAGCCCCTTCACATGGCCAAAGAGGTTTCAGGGTTCCATATTTTTCATAATGAACTTTATCCTTCTTTGTTCACGATGGAACTACGGCTTGGACATTGCTCCAATTCAAGTTATCAACTCGTTCGTCACCTTCGAAACTACAGTCTTGGACAGTAAGTTTAGTTTAATGGATATTTTAAATATTTGGCTTAATAAAAATACTCTGTTTTACAGGCGGCAAAAACGTAAAGATGAGTTTTGAAGCCAAAAGCTTAAGTTTTCTGCTGCACATTCTTCAAACCACAATGCCTTTTATTCCCATAGCGATATTCTCCATTCTCATCTTCAACCCATGCACTCCTCCCTTCCTTCTTTCCATGTCCCCCAACTGTCATGCGATCCGATGGACGACGGGGGTTCGACCAGAAATCCTTATCGTCCTTTTCGAAATTTGGATGAGCATCCACATAACATTTTCTGGAACATTGTGGATACATCACATGCTCCTTGTCGCAATTGGTTGTATATTGAACTACTCTGAAATTCTGGCACGGTATGTAAACAAACAGTACATAAATAGTATTTATTTAAAGTGAGGGTATTTATTATTCATTCATATCTTTAGTGTCCTTCTCATTGTAAAATAATTTACGATGGTTACAAGATTTTGTAAACATCATAAGATTTTGTCATCAAAAATCACGCTATTAAGCTCAAGATTTTTACAAAACTTTACCCCCCTGTTTTCTTCGTAAACTATTTTACTGAGGATGCGAACACATTTGTGAATACCCTCAATGATTCCTTGTTACGTGTTGACCACATTTATTACTTTTACAGAAAAGCGAAAGATGCTATCAACCAAACCGAACATGAATATTGCGTCCACATTTATCGCTGCATTCAACTCCTGGAAAAATGTCTGAATGACTTTCTCATGGTGAAAATCGTCCCAGCTCTGATTACATTTGTCCCTGGAATTCAAATACTTGGACAATACATATGTGTAAAAATGCATCATGATGTAAGAATGCCAGGATTCCTCATTTTCCCACTGCTCACGATTGACGCTGCGCTTATCAACATTATTATCTTCACATTGGCATCCAGGGTGAATAGTGTATCGATCAAGGTATTAGCCACGCATGAAAAGTACAGTTCGAAATTTAAGAGAACGTCTGCAATCAAAAAGTCAATCAGGGCATGCGCCGTGCTTAAGATAAAGTTTGGATCAAATTATATCGACAATGGGACGCCGTTGGTTATACAGAATTTCTGTGCGGATCAAACAATGTCGCTTATCTTGATAGGATCTTGATAGGATCTGTTGGATGAATCTAAACAGAAGGTGAAGTAATGAAACTACCATAAGCACAAATTCTGATTCTGATTCACACCAAAGCAAGGTGGTCTTGACATAATTACAGTATATAGTTAAATTGTGGTTTTTATTGCTGTTAAATTTTAATACGAGTTGGTTTAAAAATCGTCCTCACATTTTTAACAAGAAAAAGAACATCTTTACTGATTTAATTTCAAATAAGTATCTCGAACGTACAGAGTATCGTTATGAAAGTTACGTGAATTTGCATATGAAATAAAACTGGCATGACCTGCTACATATTGCTTAAGACTATGATCTGCTCCTTTTACACATGTTTAACAGCAAATTCACCGGTATATGTACTGTACATGCACAAAAGTTACCTTTCTTCGACGTGTACTGCATGTTTAACTAAATTGATTAAGTTTAAACAAACCTGTTGTATTTTTATCTTCACGATCGGTGTACTTTTATTTTACGGGACCTACCAGCTTAACCTCACAATTTGGGACATACATACATATGTATGCACACAATTTGCCAAATAAATCTCAGTTCATGCAAATACTTTCAAGTAACAAAAATCAACCGGTCCCATTGTAACTTTACTTTCAATATAATTTTCTAAATTGCAAAATTATGTTGTTCCAATCTTCCCAAATAATATTTTCCTCAATTTTCTTACTACTTTTTATAATTGGTAACTCTTCCCAAGAAGATTTAAATCTTACCAAATCACAAAAATCCAAGCTGGAGAAGGTAGAATCCTATAAAAACTTGTTTTGACTTGTTATGTGGTACCTAATTTGTGAATTGATTAATCGTAATATTTTCCTCAGTTCAAGCATGGAGTTTCTAACATAAAGTTTCCTCATGAATGGATGAGAGATGAGTTAAATCTGCTTCGATATTTGAGAAGTTCGTTAAATTTTTTTAAGTTGAAGATTTTGCAGACATACATACATACATTCCTTCTTGACTTATAATTGTGGATAAATATTTATGATTTACTTAGCTAGAAAATGGGATGAGCAACGCGCTAAGGACATGATAACAGAGGTAAAAAAAGATAGTAGTTAAGAACATGACAATATTTGCACAAGCTGTTTGTTGTATGCATGCATGTAAAAGCCTATTAATTTAATTTAGACCATAAAATGGTGGAAGGCGTCCAACATGGATAACATCCACAAAGAAGATTGGTCTTCTTATGAGAAGGATTATCCCATTTATTTGGATGGCGTCGACAAAAACGGACAACCAAGTAAGCAATTTAGATTCGGAAGTTTGTGCAAATTTATTAATTTACATTATTTCCATTAAATCAGTTTTTGCCTATGCAATTGGGGAATGGGATTTACGCCAGGCCGTGGTTCAAGGCAGGCTGAAAGGTGTGATTCGGTGGATGTTTAAGCGAAGAGATGAGATTCACGCAAAGGTGAGAGAACTTCAACGACAGGGACAAATCAATGGGACGCAGTGGAATCTGGTTGTAAATTTGGACAAGTTTAATTCCAAACAACATTTATGCGCCCAATGTCTTCGACTTTATACGGATTGGGTGACTACATTGGAAGCACATTATCCTTCCTCACAAGACAAAATTTTCGTGATAAATTGTGAGTAGAATCAAGTTTGGAAAGCTTTGATTTGTTGGATTTTACTGCTCACAAGTTGTATTTAAATATTTAGCACCATCAACCTTTCAAGTCGTCATGAATCTGATCCGGCCTTTGCTCACCCCGTCGACAAGGAATGCAATTAAGATTCTTGGAACAAATATGAACGAGTGGTCGAATACTTTATTTGCAGAAATTGCGAGGGATCAACTTCCAGAAGGTTTCGGAGGAACTAGAAATTATACACTGCATTTTTAAGTACAGAGTATAATTTTTCATAATGACCACCTAAAAGTGCGAGCAAACAATCAGACTACGTTTTGATTTGTTAAAGCGATAATTATTTGAGTGAAAATATTATTTTAGTCGTGCATGCATTTGAGATCACTGAAATGTTATCGTACATTCAAGTACACATGCATTTGCATCAATAACGGTAATACCAAAATGTGAGTAAATAATTTTAATAAAAAGACTAAGATAAATCTACATTTGGCGTCATACAAATAAATACGTACTATATTCATGAATATAAATTTTCAGACATACATATGATTTATTCATGTAACATGCTAGACATAGTTTTATGTAATTTATTGCTTGCATGCATATCGATGAGTTTATTAATATTTTTGCATTGCACGTAAAGTATTTTTGAATCCGTTCACTACTGTGAACCAGCACTTTATCTTAACATTATTTAAACAAACCATAATATGGTAGAGCTAGGAAAAATAAAGGTCAACTAAATAATACTTTATGTGTGGCATTTTTATCCATAAATTTTAAATGTTATGATATATGTGCATAACATGCTACCCGAAAGTCGGGTCCCGAGGTACCGCAAGTTAATTAAAATGGTCTCGAATTAGGTTGATAAAACAACACGGAAACAAACATACTTTTGTAATGGATAAACATGCATAGCTACATATAAAAATATGACATGAAATATTTTTGACAATTAAATAGGTTTAAAAAAAATTACACCTCAAACTCACAACCAATCTATTGGAAAAAGATTCATAAAAATTTACGCGAATTGTCCAAAATCTCGACTTGTACTATCAAATTGTGTTGGGGGTTGTACATACGTACGAGGAAGCAAATCGATATTTGTGAACCTGCCACACCCCTCGATTCTCACGTTTGCCCTAAGTACCCATCACATTAGTAATTCATAACCAGACAATTTTCCATAGATTTTTAAAGCCATCCAAATTATGAACTAACAAATATCCATTTACCAACTTAGTGAAGGTTTGTTACACTTCAAAATTATTCTCTTTACATAAATGCCTATCCTATATTTGTAATCCTTCCACTTGTACATCAAAGAAATGCTCACCTCCACCCACAACATCATGGTTGATATACCCACGCTGCAAACCAGTATAATAAATACCGTCCCAATATTTGCCTTGAGTGTTTGCGGCGTAAATAATAAATCCGCTGTGGTCACTTTCGGCAAGGCCAACTCTTCCAAGATATTTTTCCACCAAAAGAAAATTCCTGAATCAAGTAATCTGCGAATTGTCGGAATAACTAGATGCTCGCCAACCTTGCTCACAACAAAGAACGCAGTTTTGGGGGCCATTGTCTCATTCAGGATGGCAAACGGTTGCCTTGTTACACTTGACTTTCTCCCAAATATCCGATCGACCATCTCCCCTACCTGATCTGTAGGAGTGATGAAAGCACTTTGTCCACAGGAACTCATCACAGTGCGTGCTTCCTCGATCGGAAGGCACTTTCTTTGCTTCATGACTTGAAATACTTGTGATGTCATTGCGAATTTTATCGCCATCTGCGCATCTAATAAGACCGGTTGGAAAGCTTTATACCACCAAGACTTTTGCCTTTCCTCCCAACATGTCGAATCCATTACGCCACTCGAAGCATTTTCTGCACTATTCCGATCCAAACATGATAAAGCGAAGTAAATCACTACATTCGCCTCAAATTCTGCTAAAAATTGATTCGACCGAACTAATTGAGGTAATATTATATTGCGAGTCAAATAAGATTGAAGGATATGAAATACCCTGCTCTTAAATTGATTATTGGTATAGCCTGGATATTCAAAGGTAACTTCGTCCCTATCTGCCTCATCAAGGTCTGAATCTATAATGTCATGCTTCCTTGCAATCAATGTGTCTATTAGTTTAATTGGCGTCCTAGATAACGGGGCTATTACATCGTTCGTTACAATCCCTTTGTACGAATTCGACAAAACAATGCACAACAATACCCAGAGTAACCACAAGGTCATGTAAATGCCGGATTTTTTCATAAAATGACAAAGTCCTACTCCTATTTCCAACAGGGTTGCAAACGTGGTCCAAGCTGAGTCGCTAATAATGTTCATCTTCGTTACAGATATCTCATTTTCCGGATCATACAGAATGATCGTCAAGGACAAACATAGTACACACCAAGTGATGATAATGCTTGTCCACGTCGTAAATGAGAATGGGCTAAGATAAGCGTTAAAGACTAATCTTCCCTCGGAAGTGGAACACGTCACAAAAGAGAGACTTGATTCCGTCCAATATATATAATTTAGAGATGGATGTACTAAAATGTTTTCCGTATTATCTTTACTCCGATAAAATTGTGTAAAGTGATAATAATATTGGAACTGAGACTTGGTAAATAGCATCCCATGCTTATGATCTAATAAGGAAATATTTGTCTTGCTGCGAATTATATGAGTTATCAATCCATCAAAAAATACTTTCCGACCTGAACTTATTCTAGAACGAAATAATTCTGTAGTTATCCTTGATTCCAGGTCGTCTTTTAAACCTAGAAGCGACAGGTGTGGTCTCCACAACAACTGGTAACTCGATGCGTCAATGATTGCCTTATAGTAGCCAACAACTCGAGAAACTAACAAGTTTTGGAGATTGTGTGTCGTAAGAAAAGTCGTAATTTCACATGGGCGACACTTGTATCTCACGAACTCGTCAATTTTTAATTCATACTCATTTTCTTGTAATTGCAGCTGAAATATAAAAACGTAATGGATATGGTAAACTTCAAAGAATTGATGAATACTCGGATTTGGGTTGTCTATATTAAATAAATGCTCTAAATTTGTTATGAAAATTGCACTGTAAGATCTTGGGAAATATATGGATTGATGATGTTCCTCGTATTCATCATAAAACTCTGAGTTATACTGTTCCCATTCAATCGTTGGCTCATTTAGTACTGCTTGTCTGAAAATCTTTAACTCCACAATGAACTGTCTGAGATAACGAAGTCGTTCAACTAGCGTATCTATGGCTTCATCGTTCGGAGATACAAGAGCAAATAATTTGCACTCGAGATGATTTTTGAGTAAAATCGGTTGTGATTCGGGAAAAACTCCGTTATGTCTCCATTTACCACAATTGGCACAATTTGTTGGTGCCAAGTGATTCATTAATTGGACAGGAAACGTAGGATTAGGGTCGATGTTCACCTTCCCAATTGTATGCACAAATACGTGGCAAGAACCAAATGCTTCCAGTATGGAGGACAAATCGTTTATTTTGTAAAGAAAACATGACGTAGGAACTATATCAAAAACTGAAATAAGAAGAAAAGCGAACAAGAATATTGTGGCCATTATACTGAAGCGAAATTTAGAATGGGTATGCATCACTCTGAGAATAGAATGGCAAAGTCAAGACGATTAAATATTCACAGGATTCGGCATCGCATTTAGTAATTAGCGAAAGTGCGACCTTAAAATACTTATGTACCTCCTCTTATTCATTGACGCAAGTGAATCGAATATAATTTTTATGGGTCTAAATTTATGATAAGGAGGCAACACACTCTTAGGACACGTCTTTCCCTACTAAGGATAAGGATAGAAGGAATTCACTCGTTATGAAAATGTACATACTTATTACGAAAATGTTCGGAAAACGCAAACTAATTTTGTTCATGTCAGTAGTACTTTTTCAATATGTCTGCAATAGAAATATTTATTTTTAATCTATTTTGTTAGGTAAGCTTATTATTTACATTGCACGTTAGGAAACTAGTACAGCCATCACTCGTTTACATAAATGAAATAAAATGTATTTTTCAAATGCTAGAATTGATCATAAATAAATTTATACATATTATTTGCAATGCACAAAGCAACATTTTATGTGTGTGATATCTTTGCGCCCAAATTTTAATCCGTTCTGGCCCTGGATAGAAGATACCTGTCTTCCAAGCTTCAAGTCTTCAGGGTCAAACGCGTCATCATGACGCCTTCATGAGTTATCGTTCGAACAGACTGACACAACAGAACTATAAAGGATTTATACCCGTTAATAAATCAAATAAATCCTATTTCAAACATATTTAATATATAAATACATATTTCAGGATAACTTTTCACGAAAATTTGATTTATGTAATTGTCATCGTCACAATACCAGTATTTATTATGGAGCACTGAAAGTGAGACTTGCATCATGGCGGCAGAGCACCATTTACACTCGTCTCTTGTGTTTGAGGTTGGAAAGGTTTTCGGCAACATAATAAAATTGTCGCATTAACTATTAAATTAACTTTCCTCCTCATTTAATAATTACTGCCTATGATAGGAGGAGATCAATTACCGTTTCCTGCACAATTTTACTGTATGTGGCAGTCATTATTGACTCCTTATTGTTACTTGTTTTGAAGTGCAAAATAATCTCTTTTCTGTTTACATTTTTTTTAATTAGAACATAAGCTGATACTATTAACAAATACCTCATTGAGCTGCAATTTAGATGTAGTTTAGTCATAAAATTTCACAATAGTTAGAGTAGGTTGCACTTATGATTATGTGATCCGGACTTATGTAAGTGTACGAAGGAGTTTTTACATTGAAAAGTATTAAACGAAAATGGCCGGAATGGTTCAAGTTGATGATGGAAGTTGGAGAACCCCAAATTTTCGACAGAATATGGTTACTAAAATGTAAATTAAACTTTTCGATTCATTTCTGTCTGGTGCATAATTGCCTTGATGATTAATTATACAATAATTAAATTCTTTTTTGCAGTGAGGAAGCAATTCAACATTGTGGGGCCCCAACGAATAAAAATGCAGCTGAAATGGAAAATCAAGTCTACTCTAAGGCCACGACTAGGGTATTTATCATATTATGCTCATGAAATGCTTTTACATGCATCTGCTTGAGAACATTTTTATTTTAATTTCTTATTAGAACGAGTACCTCAGTTTTGTGGCAAGACTTATCCTTCACATTAAGGAAATGGGGAATAAGGCTAAACCCCCTGGCGCTCAGCTCAACCAGCTTGGTGGAGGTGGAATGAACGTTCTTCATAACCAAATAAATCAGCTCAACACCATGGGAGGAGGGGGAGGAATGAATCCAGGAGGTGTTCCACGTCAACAAATGGTCCCAGGAATGGGTGGACAACAAGCTGGAATGCAGCAGCCACAAGGTGGTGGAATGACCATGCCCCAACAGGTGGGTGGAATGGGAGGAGGAGGAATAAACCAACAGGGAGGAATGATGGGGCAAAGTGGACCTGGTGGAATGATGGGGCAACAACAACAGGTCAGAATCATGGCTCCTGGGTTAACTGGTGGGGTAGCAGTACTTGGACAGCAGGGAGGAGGCATGATGGTTTCACAGGCCGGAGGACCTGGTGGAATGAATGTGAATATGACGCAACAAGGACAACAACAGAATCCTCAGCAAATGCAACAACTTGCACAGCAACAAACACAACAGGGTCACATGATTAATCCTAACTTTATGAACCAACATCAGCTTCAACAACAGATGCAATCTGGAATAGCTCAAGGACAAATGCAGGGGAATCAAGGGGGGATGCACAATCAACAAATGCAACAACAGCAATTACAAAATGCTCAAATGCAGCAAGCTTACCAACAGCAACAAGGTGATCAACATCGACCAGGTATGCTAACGTTTTAAAAAAAAACATATTTTATTTTGACTCAACGTTCTACTAATTTCGTTCCACTAATTTAGCAGGAGTGGGTAGAGGAATGAGGATGCAAACTCTTCAACAAATGCAGAATATGCCAAGAAAAACTTTGCAACAACAACGGCCCATGAATCCAGCGGTAAGAAACATTTTCTGTCAAATTAAGTACATATTCCGCTAAATTAATTTATAAATTCACTGGTAGACGTTACCAATTCCTATACACAGTGCAAATTTCAAGTAATTTGAAGTAGGAAATTCTAGGAAAACTATGTATTTGGATATTTTATAAATTAAGACCCCGGCGATACCAAAATCAACTTGAATACCCGAGTACTAATATGTAATGCAACGAAAAATGTATTTAAGATTTTTTGAGGTATAAATGCTGTATTAGTGGTAGTTGCTGGCTGTAACGGTGCTAGGTCAATTATGTCTGAAGCTAGGTCAATTTGATCTATGATTTTAATACTAAATTAGACCAGACCAAATTTGACTCGAGTCAAATTGACCGGACACCGGCTGTAATCAACTGTTACTGCTTCTTCTTTATTAGTTTTATCCAATTTTAATTTCTCAGTTATTTAATAACTTACTCGATTTTTTTCTTCTGGTTAAGTACTTCCCTCTAATTTATTCAACTGGATTTTAAATCAACTTCTGTTAGTAATGTTGTAGCATATCATCAGCATTATTAAGAAGTGATGGAATTGCTACTTTAAACCTTTTCTTTTCTATGTCTTTAAATTTTACTGTTGTATTATGATTTATTTATAAAGGCCATCGGAATTTCTCTGCCTGAACATGGGACTAATTATCCTATGAATGGGTTAATCTATTTTAATCCACAGGTACGATCTTTTGCTCGAGTTCTGAATTTTATGTCGTGTCAATTAATACTAATTCATTTAGTTTATTCCATATCTTTCTTATTAACTGTCATTTAACTATGCGTTTATTGTCTTCACTTTTGCTTAATTTGTGGTTTGCAAGAAATAATGCTAAATCAACAAATTTCGTGTACATAATTGTGTAATTTAATTTAATCCGGTATTACCTGGTGGTCAGAGCTTTCAGCTTCATTATTATAATAATTCATATGTAGCACTTACATACATATTATTTATTGCTAAACAAAAATGAGCTTTGGGTTTAAGATTTCGAGGAAATCCATTAATTATTTAATTAGCACTCCAGTTTGTGTATTTGTGTATTGTACGCATGCACAGCTTCAACCTGTTGTTTGTTGCATTTGTTCGTATTTTTGTGTGGTGCCTAAAATTTGAAATATGCATTTCAGAAATTCTCAAATTTTGTTCTCACGTGATTGCACTTCGTATGTATTCACGGTTACTACTATACAACTACTCTGAGTGTTTAAATAAATGTAACTGTACAGTCATTTTCTATTCTATGTGTAAACTTAACTTTTGAATGTTGATTATCATTTTAAACATCTAGTTCAACTTTGTTTAATATGCAGGTGGACTCGGTAGGTGCTGGAATGCCAAACCAATTTCAAGGTGGTCAACAAATACGTCCGGGTGGACCATTACTGCCTCCAAGTTCCGGTGGGATGCCTGGAGGACCCTCTCCATCCCCAAATTCTATGATTCAAGGGTTAGTTAACCTAATCCTTGTGCTAGGAATAAATTTATTTATTATTTTACGTATTTTATTTAAACTTGCATTCCTTGTTTATAGACAAAATCAGCCTGGGTTTGCAAATTCACCTCAACCTCCACACCCACAGGGAAGTCCAGCGCCTCCACAAAATGTTGGAATTCGACCTTTAGGAAGCAAGATACAATTACCTATAAATACAATTGGCAATTCTACAATTAAGACGATCTCTAACAATTGCGTATTTTTACTTGACAGATCAAATGATTCCATCTCCCATAATGAACGTCAGCACTCCAATGCCAACGGTTCCAATGCAAAGTCCAAGAAACGACGAAGAATTGGCATGTATGAAGAAAATTGAAGAGCTGAGACGGTACACGGACATGATTCAGAGAATGATCATAAAAATTGGATTGGATGGTGAGATAATACTTGACATTTACTGTGAAGCTATTTCTAGTGTTCACATTTGCTTGTATTTCACACAGATGCGGAAAAGTCTAGCAAAATGAAGAAATTGTTGGATATACTAATGAACCCTGTGAGACAAGTCTCAATGGACATACTTCTCAAGTGTGAAGCAGCCTTAAAGAAAATGGAAAAGGTATTCATTGATACTATGCACTTGTCTAAATTAATTTTTAAAATAGTTCCAATGATTATTTTTCTGATATATGATCATGTACATGTAAATTGTAAATCTTTATTATTTAATACAGCAGCAACATGACACTGGTCCACCCTCACAACCATCAATGCCTCCAAAAGATCATATTTCTCCATTCTTCCAAATTCAGGAAGCTATTTTGACTACTATGAGAAATGGGTCAGCAAACCATACATTTCTTCGATCATTTCGACCCACCATTGAAGCCTTGACTGGACAATCCGTAGTGTAAGTAAATCCGATTCATGTTAAAAATGTTGTTTAATATATGTATGAGTACTTTAAATAATTACTTTAAGTACTCACTTTATGTATATTTTTCAGAAATCCAGATATTCCTGATGAGGAATCAATGACGGAAGAAGAACAAAAGCCCGAGATTCCTATGGTCCTTCAGAGAGAGCTTAAAATGCTTGGACGGCGATTTCCAGTTAGTCCAAATTCAACTTGAATGATTATGTTTATCAGTATAAAGTTAATTTGCAGAGTACCTTGAGAGTTTTATATCTATGCAGGTAAAGATCAAACATCGTGGACGGAAATTACCAATACAATTAAATGCTTCTCTCGGAGATCCAAAACTGCCGAGGGTACCCCCTCTTAAAATAATCGTCCCAATAGGCTATCCTGAAGAAAGTCCTGTCCTCATCGACTTCAAAAATGATTACAGTAATTTACAGATTTGATTTGTAGTGACATTATTTTAATTTTTAAGTGATCATGTACATATGTACACTCTTTTTTCAGGTGCAACATCGTTTTTGAATTCGATTGCCGAGTCCTTCAAATCTCGTAAAGTACTTTTACCCACAATGTTTACGGTGTACGAACTTCTAATCTCCTGGGAAATGAGCGTTCGACAAGTTGCTAACCCATTAGCTAAACGAAAACCACTGAAAAGATTGCCAAACCCCACTCCACTTACTGGCCGTCTCGGGTTGTCGTTTTTATGAGTTTTAAGATTCTCAATATATGTATAGTGATTACAAGATATTATCTATGCAATATCCAGGTCCAACATACTATGAATCACAGTGCGTACTTTTATCTTCATTGTTTCATTGTTGGCATGTTATTTTATTGTTCAATTTGTTGTATCCCGGAGGGTATGTATAATCATCGGTATGAGACAATGAATTTGATTTTTAGCCATAACTTTTGTTAACTGACTTTGCACTCAATTATTTAAGTGACATTGAAATAAAAGGTTTTTATTTCCTATTTCAATAATAATGATTTGTTAATGTTATGAATCTTGTCTGGCTTCTTTCACCTTGGCCCCAAACCGTGATACGAATATGTCAACACCTTTCTGATTAATTTCCATGTAACCTGGAACATCTCTCTTACACTTTTCCAAATATTCTCGCACCTAAAATAATGAAGTTAAACTGATACAATTAAGTACACTAAAAGCACATTGGAATTTCGTAGTAGTCAAATGCTAGCGTACTTTTGGAAATTTTACAAAATCGTGACCAAATCCTTCCATTGTTGAAAGTGATGAAACCACAGCAAAATCCGCAATTGTCAATTCATTTCCAGCCACGAATCCAGAGGAAGAAACGTAAACTTCTAAATATTCCAAAGCTTGGTCCACCCTTTTAATTTTTTCTGGACTGAATTTCTGACCAAAGAAAATTACAGGGAACTACAATTAAGTAAGTATATTTTAAGGTGTGTATATTTCATCATGTAAATTATTTTATGTAGGATAAACTTTAATTATATAAATATTTCCTACATATGCCTCCAAAAATCTAGAGTAAAGTGCTCCCATGTCAAAATTGAGTCGGCAATCAATCAATGCCCGTACTTTTGGCGTTTTCGGGTAGTATTTATCAGTTTTGTGCGAATATTGATTGCACAAATACTGCATAATGGCACGACTCTCATTTAGATAGAGCCCATTATCGTCCAGCGTTGGAATTGTGCTTTGGGGGTTTTTCTAGTAAAATGGAGAAAATTCAGTAATTATGAATTTGAACAACAATTTTTTATGAATATATGTACTTTAATAAATTCTGGGGATTTTATAGCTTCTGATAGCGGGACCGTCTCCACGATGTTCAGAGTGACTCCGATAGCCTTCGCGGTCAACAGGACGCTTCTGCATGGCGCACTTGCCAATGTGCCGTAAAGGTCAAGGGTCATTTTACGAGAAATCTATTTTCATATATAAGTACTTCGGTATAGCAAGTGATTCTCGTTTGGGTGGCGTGTGATAAATAATTTAGAACAAACAAGATCCGAGATGTGGAAATTAAACTCATTAACTACATAGTTCAATGAGCTGAACCAGTACAAACCAATTTTGACCAGTGTTGGTTTGATAAGTTTGGAATGAAAGCAATTACGATAAGCACGTGTATGCTAATATAATCGATTGTGCACAAAGGAAAGAATGAAAATGATACAGCTTGAGCGATTCTTATCAATTCACAAATGTATTTCGTACATACCGATATAAATACATTGTTTCGCCCAAAATTAATTAGAGGACATAATAATGTAAGGCACATTAATTGACGGGTATAGATTGGCGTTGCCATTATTTATTTCAAAAAATATATTCAAATTACCACATGGATGTTAATATGTAACTTTTATAATCGTGGAAGTTCATGGGCAACCATAACTTCGGGTCTGAGAAGACAATGCCTCTGATGGGAGTTTAGCAAAAATCTTTTCCCTAAGCCCAATTAATTGATGTCCCCTGTAATTACCCCGTTGGTGAGTTCATGTCCCAGTTAGACCACGCCGTGTCTAATTTGGTTTTAAAACGGGCTAGAAAATCATCTATTCCCTTCTGGTTGATTTCCTCATATCCAACTATTTGTATTCTGCACCTGTTTAAGTAGTCAACCACCTACAAAATTAACAACAATTAACAAATTACTTAATTATTCTATTTTTCACTCCATACAAATTTCATACCACGGAATATTTTTTAATAGCTAATAATATTGCATGCATACTTTCGGAAACTGGTGAATCTTTTGTCCAGCAGCCAAAATTGTAGAGACCGTAGCGACTACAGAAAAATCTGCAATGCTCAGAAAGTTTCCAGCTACGTATCCATTTTCCAAATAAATTTCCAAGTAGCCTAAGGCTTCCTCCAATTTCTTCATCTTGTCCGGAGGAAAAGTGGACGCACCGAAAAATAGTACTGGAAACTATGTAGTAATTAGAATTGACAATAAATTTTTGTTACCTATTCTCTTGAAATCGGCTACATTTTAGGCACCTACATAAGCCTGTTCAAAACGTTGCTGCAACGTTCCCAATTCAAAATTAAGTCGAGCATCGACAATTGCCCGTTTTTCCGGAAGTTTTGGATAGTACTGATCATCACTAGGAGAATACTTGTTACAAAGGTATTGCATTATGGCACGGCTTTCGTTGATATACAGCCCATTATCGTTCAAAACAGGGATAGTTTTCTGAGGGTTCATCTGCAGAATGGGCAACATTATTTCCAATTTTTCAATACTTTAATCCTGAACACTCAGAATCAACATGTATAGAATGTATTCTTGCATGGTTATGTAATTTACAAAACTAGCGATTTATTGAAATCTTAATAAATAGTAACTCACCTTTAGAAACTCGGGGTTCCTGACGTCATCGGTAAGCGGAATGGTTGTGATCATGTTTAGCTTCACCCCAATTGCTTTTGCCGTTAAGAGGACGCTTCGACACCCAGCAGGGCCAATCTTTCCATACAAGTCTACGGTCATACTTAAAGATTTCTGATGAACTGAATGAAGGTTTACTCAAACTTGGTAAGGGATGAGATTATTGAAGTGATGTTCATGTTTAAGCCAGTTTCGTCTGGTGAATGGCAGATATTGAGTGTTGAACAAAATTAGCGAGATAAGCATCATTGATGATGATATGAGTACATACATGCTTGACAAGAAAATATACCTTAAATGTAAATAAGTATGTGTGTATATTTAATATAAACATGCACGTGTGCAAATCTGAAACTAGCCAAAAATAGCCATGGTAAACTATAGGGTTGTCATTTTCCGAAAATAAAGAATACTCCATCATTGACATATCTTTATAATATAATGAATTAATGTATTTACTTTTATACGTCTAGAAAGCGTTGGTACAACTGAGGACACATTATATACGCATTTATGTATTGACTATCTATTAGTCAATTATTAACTGATGGTAGTGACATTACCGATGCCAAAGCTCCAAAAGAGCCAATGCTTGGAATTAAGCTGTATGAATATTACATGTAATGTAATATGTATTTCTGTAATGTACATGAACCAAGTGATACTTATTGGAATCTGTTCACTGGCTTGGAAGTCCAGTGGACTCTGAAATCGGTTTTGTTATGTATTCAGAGCCGAACTTTCTTGGAAGTCGTCTTTACGTTACAGCACCCACCGGAACCGTTGTCATTGCAACACAGTACACGATTTCCTCCATTGAACTTGGTTCCATTGCAGTGACTTGGAAACTGAAACTGAGATTGTGCAGTGATGCAGAATGCACATCAGCGATTTGCATAGATACAACCACCGCACGGAAGAATTATTACATCAACAAAAACGTTCCTTCGGACACGTCGTTGCAATGGCCTATCTATGTTCGAGCGTATCAAGGGCCCACCGACGATGCCGTATGCCAAGCGGACGCATCACCACCTATCCAGAAGAGCTTGGCCGTTCGAAGTGCTGAACCGCTGCTTCAAAAACGAGCTCTGGTATTTCTTTAGCTTGTACAAGAATATATTTTATTTTATCACGATGATTTAAATGTTTCAAACAAAATTGGGATGATCTGGGATAAGAGATTTCCATTTACATAATTACGCCATATGTATATGTATGTAAATGTGCGATATAAAACGTATTTAGACAATGTTTTATGCATTATACAGTCAAATAAAGCTCATTGTCCTGCACCTGTGAGTAAAAGCAATAGTCTGGTTTGCACAAGATAAGCATAAAATAACAATTAATAAACATAGCATTGGTGCGGCAGTATTGCAATACTTATGTATTACTTGAGGAATTAGTAAGGGTACATACATATCGGAAACTCTGATAAGTCATAAAATGAATCAAATACTATTTTTTCATTTAATAATTTCCGTTGTGGGACATCAGGTAAGCAATTGGGCATCATACTATTAAACGTGAAAAAAAATCATATGCAAGTGTACTCAATTATATAAATTGGGTGTTAGGTTATACTAGCCTCTAGTCAGACCGTTAATATAGAGCGATCAGGCAGGCAAATAATTGGCGACGAAAGTACCCCGGTACCGACAAGCTCTGCAGCGCCAACGGATGATGGCGTCTTACCAGACACAACAACGAACCCGCTATCTACCACAAAACGTACAACGTCTAATCCTAAAATTTTGTGGGCATATTTTGAAAAATATGTGTGTTTCCTTCAATGAATAGCACCATCAGTCCCACCTGGGAGCTCTGTTGTCTTAAATCCCGGTGATATTCGGACTGTGGTCAGCAACAGATTCGGCCGGACCTACAACAACGAGGGTAGAATATCAACATGGCAATTTTATGTACTATACAACATAACCGTTACCCAAATCATAACAAACCAAACCTTGATATAATCCCTCTTAACTTTCTCACAGGCTAATAATTGCATCCTGAATGTAACTTGTCCATGCTTCAGACTTCCAGTGTCATCGAACTGCTTAGAAGCATATCTCGAATTACGGACTGGAATTTTGTACGATGCTCAAAAGTAGGTAACTATTCAATAATACTATTTAGCTGGCCACATTTTTATATACGATTGGACCCATACATAGATTTTGTGGAATAAATCGACCTAACGGGTTCGCCTCTGACACTGGAGAGATCAGAATGAAATACAAACCTAGCAACGAGCGAATTCCTCCTGGATTTACTTGTTTCGTCGCTTGTAATCCCTTCGGAATGCCCATGATGAATCCCACAATCCCAATTATTGGATGCCCACCATAAAACATTTAATTACTGACAAGAAGCTTTGAGTAACAACAAAAGCGTGTGGTTGCGGAACTGTCTTCGTTACTTATCCCATATATGTAAATACATGTAACCAGCTTAAAGGTGTAAAAACAAGCTATTACGATAATATGTTCCAATAAAAAAATAATAACTAAATGTCTAAATAGTTCTCCAAGCTGTGGAAAAACGTCTGTACACATGTGTATGTACATATATAATTAAACAAGTAAATACTCATACATACATACATATACATAAGTTTTATCTTTTCGCACCTTGCTATTTCCATGATGTCTGAAATTTCCTAAATTCTTGGCATAATTCAAATGCTTACAACAAACTTTATTTGAATCAGAAGTTCATCCAAGAATGTCCCATGGCTTTCCGGTTAGGGAAATTGAAATTATGCATATGTACATATGTACATAAGTAATGAATTTTAAGATTAGAGGGTTAGTAAAGTAGACTTTATACTCGTAGTACGAAAAACTTTATATTAAGTAAACTGTCACTCAAGTTTATTATTCAAACAAATTCAAAAAGTATTGACTGGACTGGAGTGCATAAAAGCGCATATTTTACTCATCCTCAGAATCTGCCCTCAGTTTCCATAACACTGACGATGCATTTCATCAGTTAAGTTTGGTCGCTGTTTTTTTAATTTTATGACGAAATTTATGCTTATATCCTTTTTTCTGATTCAAATAAATTGATTCAAATAAATTGTACACTTATCTTCAGAACACGTAGCTGGATGGACGAACACCAGTCTCAATTCACCTCCGTCGCAACATCACTTGAACCAGATTCTCATTTTGTGTCATGTCATATGCTGCTCTAGCCGAATGTTTACTGTGGTTAGTTAAAGTTTCAAGATATTCTAGTCTAGGGAAATTAAAAATTTAACATTTAAATTAAAACATGAAGACTTTATTACTTCTGCTCTCTTCTGTCGTCTACTTCACGGTAAGTGAAGGTCTACTTCAATTTATACTGATAAATAATAATAAGTGATTGTAATATTGTAAACTAAATGAGCATAATAAATTAAAGTTTCAATCAAACAGTCTAATAATTATGACGATTTGCATCGTTAATTCATAAAAACTAGTATATTAAGAATACGTATAGTTTTAGAACGAAATATTTACTTGTTTGTTAAATTAAAAAGCATTTTTTATTTAAAAGTTCAGTTTACAAATTTGGTCTGAAATCTATCATTTGTAGACACGAGTCGTGTCACACGACTGTTGTTTTATTTAATAAGTGGACGAATTAGTTTTAATTTGTTTTAATCTTGATCCGATGTTAACTTTATTTCAGGTGACATTTGCCGAAAAGCTATCCCTCGAGGAATGCAGTGCACTTGGTTTCTCCAAAGATAATCTACTCTGCTCCTCCTGTGCATTGTTGCCTGGATATGACTTAGATATTCTCAAGTGAGGATTCAGTAATGTTCGAATTTCGTTATGATTAGTATACTTAAAAATTTATGCAATCTTTTAATCCAGGAAACACTGCGACTCTTGTTGCGTACAAGGTTCATCGTCTGTCCAATCCGAGTCAGGAGCAAACAAGGTGAAAACCTATGCCAAAGCTGTGCTGGAAGTCTGTGCATGCAAATTTCCGAGCCATCCACAAATCAAAGGTGCTTAGAGTTACATATGTATTAATTTGAATACAGAAACTGATAATCTTTATGCTGACGAGATATTTCTTAAATTAAATGATTCCAGCATTTTGTCAAAGCGATCTCCCGAAAAAGTTTCCAACCCTGACCATAAAGTATATCGGTGGTCAAATGCCTCAAATCAAACTCTACGAAGAAGACGGCACTGTTGCAGAAACATTAGCGATTAACAAATGGGACACTGATACAATTGTAGAATTTTTGGAAACGTATCTTAATAATGCAGGAGGTCAAGAAAGTAACGATATTACAGACTCAGAGTAGAAACCAAAAGCATTATCATGTTATCATTTCATGCTACAGTCTTTTATACAAAAATAAATGAGGGTGGATCTACCGTACACATTTTCTAATGTTGATAATTTGAATGATTTTGGTATTTTCTACATATCTCTACGGATTCATAAATATGCATATTTATTCTAACTGGGCTTTGTTATTAATCAATTTTAAATAGGTTATGCTGTTTGAAAAAAATCGAAAGAAATTATGTCTTTGCAGATGCGAATATAAGTAATGTCACGTATGTACACCGTCCGATTTTCACTCTCCAACAACGAAATATACATATGCATACTGAGCGTATTCGTTATTTCTTCTTATCCTTTGTATCGTAAAATAGTTTACAAAGATAAAACAAGGGGTCAGGTTTCATAAACATCGTAAGCATAGTAACGCGATTTTATGGCAAAATCTTACGACGCTTACAAAATCTCGTAACTGTCGTAAGTTATTTTACGATACGAAGAATACTAAGGATACGAATAAATAATGATTCATTATTAATGAACACCCTCACTTATGACTATTTACGTCGGCATTACGGTTGATACTAATAATTTGTCCAACTAGTTATTTACGATGTTGTAAATATGTATGTACATATGTGGACTTTTCTCAAAAAGAATATAGGTAATTGTACACATACATACATCTCTGCGAATATAATCTATACTAAAATGAATAAAGGAAACATATGTGCGTACCCTATTATTTTTAAAAGATAACTATGCAAATTTAATGCGCCACTATTCATATACGAGACATCATAAAAATTATTGCAATAATGTGTTATTCAGATCACGCCACATCCACGCAATTGAGATTTTCAAGTGTAGTACTATTTGTATACAATTATACGGTCTTTTGGATCTTAAAGTGAGTAAGATTGCACATGCAAATCACATTAAAAAATAAGTGCATATTAATTTTGTCCAGACAGTAGCTGCATCAGCAACATTGGAAGTATTGTAAACGTATTTCACTTCAACCTAATGCAATATACATACATAATACATATTATATACGCAATGCACAACAACACATTATGATACATACATTGATGAAAGCCATTATTCCACTAAAGATGCGAAAAAGCAATCAATGCCAACTCGACACAATTTATTAGCAAAACGTATCTGTAAAATTGCAACCATTGCAACCTATCCTACCATAAGTAATGAGAAATTACTCGTGGTGAACTGAATCCTTGACTAAATTATTCAGTCTAAACAAATCAACGTCCAACTTCACACGCCAGAAATTCTCTGCGGTCTGCGCAATAATTAACCATGCAGACAAACTTCGACCCTTTCGTCATCATGGAAACCGAAGATTTAAAGAAGAAACCACCCCCCTTCGACCTCGGTGACGTGCCAGTGCCCTTGGTAACGGAATCACTTTCTACTGGAATTGCACCATTGAAACCGCACGAAGAATGTAACCCTGATTGCCACACGTTTATAAGTTTTTCCGCGAGGTTTGCTGACGAATCTTCTTATCAAATGTGGCGGAGATATCTCTGTCAACATTTTATGGAAATGAAAGGTAGTACAAATTAAAGATGACAATATTATCTTATCCAAAGAATTATTGGATGCACATAAAATTTTATTTGAATCTGAAAATCAACCTTTTGTTCATCATCATGACAGAAAAGCGTTTGTGGTCTGCTAAAGCTACCGGAAGGAAATGTACGAAATTATCAACCGAGAACGAAAGCCCTTACACGGATTTCTTACATCATAATGATAACGTCCTACGCATCCCAACGGATTCCAGATTTAAGCAGGCTGTGACCCTTTCTTCCCCGTCAAGGACTAACCGGATTCCTATCGTTTGCATCAATCTGGGGTACAAATGGTCATTCAAAATAACGGGTGAGTGTAAGCGGAATATTTTGTGCACACTTTATTTCCGTTTTCATACAGCGAACGCCCATATTTATGAATAAATTTGTGTATATAGACCATTTTGTCGGGGGAGAAAAAAGCTATCACAAACCAAAAGTCTTAAACGGAAAACAATCATCGCCTTTGAAGGCAGCAAACAAAAGTTATACGACTACAACCGCAAGTGGAAAAAATTTCGTATATTTGCAACTATGGATGATCGGTATCATTCAGAATATGGTGATCTGGTCGGCAATGACCATGATCCAACACAACATCATCAAATCCAGCCAGGTAATGGGGACGAAGGTGAGCTTGAGCTGGGAGTGAATATAATTAGTAATGGATACGAAATTGAAGAGATTGAAGATGAGGAACAACAAGAAGGTAATCAGGAATTGGCTAATAATCCAGGTACAATTCGTCAAAATCTATTTCCACAAAGTAGGGATCTGTCAATGACTAATCACGATATTCCCAATTATCCTATTTTAAATAATGAATTAAGCCAAAATCAAAATATTATGTCCACTCAAAATCCCTTTGAATTTTCCCAATTTGACGATTTGCAATATTTCCCGAATGCATTAGATGGGTTAGAAAATTATATGCCCACATCGTCACCTGTGAGACTTGAAGATCAAGTTGTTCCTCGTCATTAGTTTCGTACCCAATATTTTATGTCTAACGTATTTACATACATATATTTCATACATATATTTACTTCAACAATATTTTGTTTTTATTTTAAAAGTTAGACTTTAGTACTAATACATTTTCCTTGTCATGTATATTTACACTATCCTCGATTTTAAAGTGATTTTATTATACTGTTATTGTATGTTCTTTATTTTACTTTTTATTGAATAAATTAACTTTACATGAATCTATAAATATGTACAATCTCTAACTTTGTCTTCACAAAATTGAGAAGTCTTCGCCTTCATTTTTATCTTGATAAACTGAAAGTCTATCACAAGTTATTTTTCCGACATTTTAAATTGTTGCAGCACAATGAAGTATGTGATAATAACGCTTATGATCTACATAGAATAGAAACTTTACATAGTTTATTTGATTTATGTTAAACGCAATTTCCTAGTACTTGGTAATAATACTCACCGATGTCACATTTTTCCTTCCCACTGTAAAATATCCCCCTGCACTCATTTTAAGAGGTAATGCTTTAATCAAGCGGACAAAATTGGCCATCTGTTTGATTTCAAAATATTTGAGTTGGTGAATTATAACAGTCTGCATTAATTTGTTACCTCTTCTTTGTCACCCCCTCCGATCCACCCAGTCCCATAATTATCTCTCTGACCCGCAATAGCTACGGCCTTCAGCAGCTTTGCATTTTTCACCTTCAACATTTCCCCCACGCCTGTGACCGCATTGATTCGAAACGCCGCCGTTGCAAAGGTCCCCTGAACCAGGCACGTTCTCAGGTACGAATTCGGCCAGGGAAGGCTCAACGTGGCCACGTAAACCATACAAACTGAGGCAACGATGGAAAACCCTAACGAAAATATTAAATACTCTCCCACAAAAGTTTCAAATTTTGCCACAATATTTTCTATTTTTATGTATCTACTGTTTAACGATTTCCAAACATCAGAATTTCCACTCTTTTCTAAAACAGACCATGAGAGTGCCTTGATTTTCTTCTTTTCACTTCTTTCGAAAATATGTACGATGTCCGTCGACTTTTCATTGTTTTCCACATCTGATATTAAATCCGCCAGAAATTTTGATATTGCCGATGTAGGAAAAAATATTTGAATATGAAAGAAAACAATGCTATATTCCAAACAGAAAAATGCAAGTATGTAATACGCAGTGTATCCCCACGGCGGGGGACGATAGCCACCCAGGAAACCCAAACTTGCAAAGAAAACCCCTTCAGGAGGATTCATGTAAGAGTCGTAAGCCCAAAAGGTCATGTAACTCATAGAAAATATGCTAAACATGATTGAACTTATTGTCCAAAAATTGAACAATTTAAACTTTTTGGGAGAATGTTGAATAGCGTAAGTCTCTAAATGCATAGCCATTCCGAGAAATTTTGGACTTGTCAGAGCAACCAGAAAATGAGAAATAACTCCAAAAAAATTGACAAATAAGAGCCCAATGTTTTTGGTGAGGTTGTCCGTTGTGGAGGTGGACGAGTTCTGAGACCTGTCCAGTATTGAGATCGCGATAGGTTCGGCGACCAAGAAAGTGCAGTATAACTTCAGAAATAAGGCGATCGTCAAGCTGCAAATATACAAAATAATTATTTCATTTTTATGAGTAAGTTTCAAAATGTCAGACTCTGCTATGACGACCTGAAAATGAATCTTAGAGACCACTTTATAGAAATAAAGTCTTCAAATGAGCGAGAAGAATTAATGCCTTTCACTGGAAATGACCCCGTCCAGTATGCCAACTTGCATATGACCTTTAGCTTTATGAATATATTTTCTACGTTTTTCCTCGAGTCGGGAATTATTTTTTCGAAATCTATTTTATTGTTGTCCATTATAGAAAAGTCCTTATTATGGACTCTCCAAGGGCGAATGATTCTTCATGAGTGCCATTAGAATTATATAAGTGTAAGCATTTATGTACATACATACATACGTACTATGTATGTACATGTGTAGAATCTACATTGTAGATACATAAATACATATGTACCCAAACATGTCCTCAGAGCACAAGTGAATCTTAATCATTCATTATACCTTTACAAATAATCTAAGTGCAGTGAAAGTGAATGAAAAATTTCAATTAAATTTGATAAATTTTCTACTCACTTATGTATGAAGACATTACTTATGTGCATAATTCTGAAGTGGGGTAATCATTCAATCGGACAGAATTTACACACAGGAAAACCCCACTTTGCATATGCACTTATGTATGTATGTACATATGTTCTCGTATAGGTTATGTGGTCCAAATGAAATTAATTTGATACTATTTATTTACTTGCGGGTGCCAATTGCGTCGTGCGGGTATATGAAATACTTATGTACATATGATTTAGTTAATACACTTCTTATTAGAAATTCTAATTTAGAATGTACCGTCGTATAGGTATGCATGCATGAATTTATAAATTTAAGTGCAATAAGTTTAAGCGATTCGTGGTTAAACGTCAACAACTTGATTGCTTAGTGATATTGATTATCGAGTTTACTGATTTCCAGCGAATTGCATGAAACAAACAACAGACATTAAAGACCAATAGTGTGACTTCTTTACTTAATTACACAATTGTAAAGGCTTCGATTCATACAAAATGACTCCCCAGTAGGCTAAAATTTTATAAGTAATTTTGCATAGCCAGGTTCGAAATCTAAAGATTTCGAAATCACGAAACCAGGTTTCCACTTTTAGGAATTGTGAGAAATATAAAACTTACAACTCACTGTAGATTAGATAACATGATGGATCACTTTATCATAAAAAGTTTGATACTATTAAACTCGTAATATGCATGAAGAATTATTTTGAGCATTTTTATATCTATCAGCATCGGACAATTACTTCCACCTTGCTTCTTCCTTAGTCTCACACTTCACAAACTGTGCAAAATATGGTGAACTCGTTTTGCTTAGTACCGTGTCCGTGTTTTTGGGATCCTCGCAAAGCCTTCGTAACCCCAGATCGAGTAGTTTTGATCGTTGTGTTAGTTGCGTTGCACAACAACATGTTATGATCGAGAAGTGGACGAATACGAAACGAGATATGTCCACAACAAATAGCATGGCACACAAGACACGGTATTATACGGTTCGTACATATTTACCTTATCATATCATGCATAATATCTGTATTCTTTTTTCTCAAGTAAATAATGGCATGCTGAATACTTTAATTATGTAGTATTAACTGCTTTCTCAGAAACTTTCACTATATTATTTACCCAATAATGAGGGTATTCGTTATTTCTTCGTATCCGTAGTATCGTAAAATAGTTTACGAAGGTAAAACAAGGGGTCAGCTTTCGTAAAAATCGTAAGCGCAGTAACGCGATTTTCGATGACAAAACTTACAAAATCTCGTAAGTTATTTTACGATACGAAGAATACTAAGGATACGAAGAAATAATGAATACCCTCAATATATGTTTATTTTTATGCAGGATATTTGGCAATTCAGTGAAAATTTTTGATATCAAGAAAAAAGTGATGCGTAACTTGGCAAATTATATGTTTAGCAGCAGAGATAATTCTCCTTAGACCTGTAATAATTTCACTCGAGTCGGAAATATATTTCCCCTTGAGTCATCAAATTTTATTATTTATTTATTTCCGTTAATCTACAAAATAATCTTACTTAAGTAAATCGACATTTCACGAAAATCTATGAATTATTTAATTTTTCGACGTTTCTCAATCCACAAAGTGAGAATAAAACAAACGCTTAGACTCATGATTTGAGCAAAGACCCCATAGATGAAAACTCCAGGATGCAAGAATCCCCATCCCCTCGTCATTACGGAGCGTAACACACCCAACGGAAAGGTTGGTGGGAGGCAGTAGCAAAATATTCGGTACCACCAAACGGTAGTTTCAATGGGCCAGAACGTATCTGAAAATCGTAATTTTAATTAATTCCTAAAAATTCCTAAAAATTCTCAAAAATTAACTAACCTGACCCATAAATGGCAAACCACAAAATTGAAATTGAAACGATCACGGCGTTCAACTGGTTTTCAATAGGTTGCACCGCCAGAAAGGATATTGCCGTGATTGATGCACGCACAAGATAGAAAATAAGAACGATCAAGGCCCAACTTCCTTGAACTTGGTCACCACGACTCCACCAAATAAAACCGAGCATGATGCCCATCTGCCAAAGGATTGTGGGAAGATCGGCGATATAATAGGAGAGAAGAACCTTGTTGTAGGACACACCCGTGACCAAAGTTCGGCCCAGAGTCCTCTGATTTCTGTCTTGCAAGTGCAATAAAGCGAACCCTTCCGAGAAAAAGGCCCAACCTCTGGAAGCAATTATTATTAATTGGCGAAATTAATTATGATCAAATGCTTGAAAGGGATCAATGGTAACGTTACTACTAATACTTTACATCATCAAGGTCGAAGGTAACAAGAATCGGCTCCATGTGTCAGACATGTCTCCATAAACTGCTTTGAACTATGTATGGATTAAAACTTTAGAGGTAATAATAACTTATATACGTACATATTTAATTAATTATAAAGCATATTGCTACATACCGTCAAAGGTAAACTAACTACCCGCTTATCAATCCCATATCTCGTTGCGGTTTGCTCTCCTAGCCTCAGCATGGCGGCATATATTGTATGATGGATAAAATATGCGTTCATAAAATCTATAAAAAAATAGTTTATGCTAATTTCCATTAATTCCACGCGAATGAATATTATAAGTCGCACGAGAATGATCTAGTCGGATAGCAACGGTAGATCCTTGAATTGTCTCAGTGTCAGAATGAATTTGAAAAACAAAGCGTTTTTCATATTTTCAGAGAAGTTGGATGGGATAACGATGTAGCCGCCGATTTGTCCTAATTTTACAGAATTTATGGCATCGATATCCGTTGACTTTAACATCTGAAATAAATATATGATCTGATTACTTAATTAGTTGCAAATCACATTAATCTCCATAGTATACTGACTAATTTGAGTCCCAAAAATTCAAGATTGTTCATGAACTGGCAACTGTAGCTATCTGGGAGAAGCAAAGTGGATTCCAGAGTCGCTAATTGGTTGCTATTGTTAAGATGAGGATCACATTTGCCGTTAAATAATGACATGTTCCTATTGAACAGATCATTGTTGACAACCCCGAGACGTAATCCAATCGGATCATTGCCCATCGTGTACATAGACAAATAGACATTCGACACGAGAAACAACAATTCCATGAAAGCCATCCTGTCGCAAAAAAATATATTGATGTTGCACACTTTGTAAATGTTTGTAATTTGTATCAAAGTAAATATTTCTAAATAAGCTTACAAAGGATATCGCATGAAAATTAGCCAATTTCTTTTCGAGAGGGCATAAATCTGTTTAAACTCCTTAAGAATGCGTTCACGGCGACATTTTTTCTGTACAACTTCCTCTTGAAAATTTCTAATATGGGGGAATCTTGATATCATGCTATTCGATTCAGCTACTCGCATAAATTGTTCACAATTCTCGTTATTATTTTCAGGAGGCGAAGATCGGCATTTGCATAGATGAAGGACAGCGTCATCCAAACTGATGGCGTTGCATCGCTGTAGTAATTCCAGAGGTGGGCTCTCAACCAGGAGAGATCCGTTTCTTAAGTAGCCAATCTGAAATGTATTTATCCAATGTGGTAAATAATAGAAGCACAGACTTGTCACGGTACAAAATTATCAAACCTTTGTACAATTTCGAGTTTCGTCGACATAATGCGACGTAATTAATACGCTTGTGCCCACCGTTGCCACCAAATCTAGAAGATGCTTCCAAATGCTGGAATATTTATAATAAAAATGTTACACTTATTTATGGTTGAAATTTTGTGGATTATTATACCGCTCCCGCAAAAGTGGGTCGACACCTGGAAGTGTGCATAAAAATTAAGATTTTGGTTATTAAATTTCTTTAATGGTTTTCAGCAACCTGTGGTAGGCTCATCCATGATTAAAAGTTGTGGGTCATGTAATAAAGCGACTCCCAAGGAGACTCGGCGTTGTTCTCCTCCACTGCCAAAGTTGTGATTTAACAATTTGACCCAGTATGAAATTGTCAGTTGATCTAACTCACCTAATTTGATTAACATATTTTCCCAAGCCAGGCAAATTCAAAAGCTTCTGAAATTTATCCAATTTCATGGAAATATTCTTTTGCGTCATGCCGTGCAAAAAACCATAGTAGTTGAACGTCTCTAAGATAGTGAATGAATTATAGAGTGCAAGTTCCTACAAAAAACGCAAAACATCCACTTGTATTTTGGTCATTGTATTTTGGGGCACATCTGTACATATACGCACTTGAGGCATATATCCAAGCAAACCTCCAGGGATGCCATTTTCATATGTCTCGATATTTCTGCCCATGATTTCAATCCGTCCACAATTCAATTTTTGCAATCCAACGAGACATGATATTAGCGTGGTTTTACTATCATGTGCATAATTAATATGTATTTATGTACATATGTATGTGATGAAAAGTACACGTATTTCTCACATACCCACAACCGCTAGGGCCAAGGAGTCCATATCTGTAAATATTTTAGATATAGAAAACCCAACTTCATTACCACTGAGAGTACTAAATGTGACTAAAGATCAATTTTTTATTTCTACTTACATTGTCCCCTTTTCCACTGTTAAATCCAAACTTTTGAAGACAAAATCATTCAAAGATTATCAAAGATTAGATTCAAAGATTATTTTGTATGATTAGAAATCATACAAAGATTTTGTAGCTTGCACAACTTTAATAGCTGGCGTCGTCCCATGCAAACCATGATAATTACCGACTTCAAATTGTTGAGTTGTCATTTTGCTAAAAAAACGAATAATTTCGTATATATTTATTATGCTAACTTTTAATTTTATATTCTCATTGCGTTTAAGACGACAAAGGCATAAAGAATTTCTTTGCTAGATGCTAAGCATGAACTGGTTTGATTCGATACAAACTAAGAATGGCAACAGAAAATAACCTTTCAAATTAATTAATGAAATGGAACTACTTTCCCGATAACGGGAACGAGAAACATGTAGTAAACTAATATTTGGTTACATCGGAGAACGAGATAACGAGAAAGAAGCATGTGGGTATTTCCAAGCCGGTATAATTTACATCTGTAGTTTCTTGATATGATATAGATAATAAAAAAATACTTTCAAGTATTCCAGTTGCAACCAGGCCAGGATCTAAATAAAATTACTACTTTTGTTCCTTTTAATCAATGCAGTGCACGTTTTGCAGGAAGCAAGCCATCAAAGTATGTGAAAGCAGGTTTTATACTGGGCACCTTACTTCCCGTATGGGAGATGAGAGGCCATGGACCTATGGCCTCCCATGTTTCCCATACAGAAACCACCGTAAAAATGTTCTCTCGCGTACTTTACGTGCCCAGCGTACAAACAAATGCAAACACATTCAACGTGTCACGGGAAGTTTAGTTAATTATGATTTTGATCAAATCTAATGTTCCTGTCTGATGAGAAAATAATTTATAATCTGATTCGATCTAACTCGTTTCGAATTTTTAGTTATTTGGAACATTCTTTCTTCATAATTAATTATTCAGAATTGATATTTAATTGTTCAAATGGAAAAATCGGTTGGAAATTGACGGAGATCTGAAAAAATTAAGCTTTTCAAACCTGTAGTGAATGCTTACTTAGATGATTTTTTCCATATAGTAACTATGGCCTCATCTAAGAAAAACACATGCGACTTACTTTATCTACAATTTTAAAGAGAGCCCAAAGTAGCATTACCCCAGTAATTGTAAAGAATTGCATAAGTATTTTCATAAGTACTCACTTTATATAGTGCGAAAATATTAAAGGTACTAGAATTAAGTATACAGGAAACAAGTAGTTTTCCATAACTACATAGTTTTTCGTATTTTCTAAAAAAATCAATATACAGTGTCGGACAGATGTCTACGTCCACATAGTCGCGTCAATTTCATTTTCAAATTGTCACTGAACTACTGAACCAATTTTCATCATTGATATATCAAATTCTCACAAATTTAACGTAATTTCATAGCACATTATTAGTTTTCCGCTAAAAAATTTATTTTAGGCCAGAGATGTATTTTAATTCAAAATGAAAACAATTGGATGGACAAAAGTCAACGTCCAGTAAGAGAAAACATACAAAAAAAACTGTAATTTATAAGGAATGTTATAACAATTAATTTTTAATATTTGGTTGGGCCTCCGTTCGCTTTAAGGACGGCTTCAAGGCGTCGAGTCATAGAGTTTACCAAATTCTTGGTCACATCTTCAGAAATGGTTTCCCAAACTTCACGAATTCTGGATTTAAGGCCCGGAATTCCTGAAAAAGATTGTTTTCTTATTTCTCTTTCAATGTGGTCCCACAGATGCTCAATGGGATTCAAGTCTGGAGATTGGGGAGGCCATTCTAGCTTCGAAATTTTTTTTTCTTGAAGTATTCCATGGTGTACGTGGCAGAGTGTTTCGGATCGTTGTCTTGTTGGAAGACAAATCGTCGTCGAAGTCCAAGTTTTCGAACAGATTCCTGGATATTACGGTCAAGTATTCCCTGGTACCTGTATTGGTCCATAATTCCGTCAACAAATTCCATTTTTCCTGCCCCACTTGAAGCCATGCATCCCCACACCATTACCGACCCGCCGCCGTGCTTAACTGTGGGGTTGAGATTTTTTGGATTCAAAGCTTCTTTTGGATATCTCCACACTCTACGACGCCCATCTGACCCAAAGACATTGAACTTTGACTCGTCAGTCCATAAAATATGTCCCAGAATGTTTGTGGCTTGGAAATGTGGTCTCTGGCAAACTTCACTCGTTTGGTTGCATTCCTCGGTACAATAAGAGGCTTCCGGACTGCTCTGTGGGATTTCAAATTTCCCTTATTCAGTGTTCTTTGGATGGTCATAGGACTAACCTGTTTGCCGAACATCTCCTTGATCTCGGTAGATAGCTTTGGAGCACTAAGTGAGGGTGTAACGTTGACTTTGTTGAGCACGTGGCGTACTTCTCGGTGAGCCAAAATCGGTTTTCGACCACTTCTGACCTTGTTTTGGACTGAACCATTAGCTTTAAAGTTCTTAATGATTGTCTGGATGGTTGTCCTTGCTAATTTATACTTGGTCCATATTTGTCTCTGCGACAGCCCCCTTTTTGTCCACCCTTCCAGTCCTGAATGACAAGATCTCGAATAGCGATAGGAATTTCCTTGCGTGTCGACGCCATCATATTTTTCTGGAAGAAAATTATTTAAAAATTAATGCGGCATATGTTATTGATAGATTTATTAAGTTACCTGATTTTATAAATTGGAGAGATTTTTGTTGTTGACAATTAAAGTGAAGTGGACGTAGACTTTTGTCCGCTCAAATTTCATCCTCTCTCGCTCTGCACTATGATTCTCAGTTTTCCCAGAATTTTCAGAAATAACTCATATGTTTTATGAAATTACGTTAAATTTGTGAGAATTTGATATATCAATGATGAAAATTGGTTCAGTAGTTCAGTGACAATTTGAAAATGAAATTGACGCGACTATGTGGACGTAGACATCTGTCCGACACTGTATAATACAAATTATATATATGCATCTTATTTATAATAATTATTTTTATCTGAATCTTATTCGCTGCAGACTGCAGATATCAGTGCCCAAACCTTTAATTAATGAACCTTGGCTCCTATTTACAGATATGTAATCAGATCCAGACATCTTCATTTCATGCCAATCATTTGTTCTAACTTAATTGCTTTTAAAGCTGTACGTGCAATTTCATGTGAAATTTATTCATGCACCCAATAGTTGGTATCAAAGTACACAAGCCTAAAGAAATTTGGAACTGTGATTACTCCCACGAGTCAACGTTCCGCATATTGTACTTTAGGTACTTGTATACGTATTTATGTACATATGCATTCACGAGTATGAAAAAGATTAAATCTATCGTCACGAGAACCGCCCTGGCAGATTATGCACATATCTGGCTTTGCACTATGCTTATCTTTAATATTATACTGGCTCTTATGTGTTATCAATTCGGAAAACTGCTATTAATTACTTACATATATATCTGTATGCGTTGTACATATGTATATTCATGGGACGGTAACTTGTTACATTTCCCATAGAATATTACAACAGATTTCTAACTTAATTCTTAAATACATATGCTTTCGCCATCAATAGTTGAGTTCAAGCTTGAAAAGCACTGGATCAGTTTTTTAAGTTGCATTTAATTCAAGGAAATTCATAGAACATATTTTATAAAATTGGGTATAGTTATGTAACTTAGGATTAGTGTCCAAAAATGACACTGGTCTCAAACATCATAGATGACAGATTGTCAAGGTGACACTCAAGATGACTAACGTAGAAAGATATGTACAAATTCTGTTAATTTATTTGAAAACTAGTGTATAGCCCGGCCAAGGCCGGGTTCTAGAGTTCCAGTGGGGGGTGTGCCCAAAGCGAAAAATCCGTCATACTATACTTTAAATAATTCCCAGTGGAGACTTTGTCATACTACATACATATATCAGAGTGAGGGTTTGCCCCAGTCATACTGCATTTTAATTAACCTGGTCACAGTACAATTTGATTTCCCCCTGTCGGAGTAGTTGAATAGCTAATTACTTAAATTCCCGTCGTGTGGGAGTAACTGCATAGCTAACTATTTATATTCCCGCGCTTCACGCTCCCGTTCAGTTCCATAAACCCCAACTTCTATAATTAACGCCAAACTATTGACGGATTCGGATTCAGCGTCAAAAATACATTCGAATTGATATGCGACATCACGAATAAGCCATATTTAGCCGCCACGGTCACGGGGGCCTCGGGGGTCAAAACCATTAATGGCGTTGGATTCAGCGTTAAAAGATACATTCGAATTGATATGCGACATCACGAATAAGCCATATTTGGCCGCCACGTTCACGGGAAGGTCACGGGGGCCTCGGAGGTCAAAACCATTAATGGCGTTGGATTCAGCGTCAAAAATACATTCGAATTGATATGCGACATCACGAATAAGCCATATTTGGTCGCCAAGGTCACGGGAAGGTCACGGGGGCCTCGGGGGTCAAAACCATTAATGGCGTTGGATTCAGCGTCAAAAATACATTCGAATTGATATGCCACTCGCTGTGGGTGGAGTTTCTCAAACTAAAATAATTAATTAATAGTGTTTATCACGATCACTTATCATGATAACCACTATTGATGAGTGATGTATTGCTGCTCACTCACTCAATTTACTTGAACACTGTGTTTCTCATGCAGTATGAAAATTCATGCATGCAGTGGTTGCTCCGCTTCCTTCTTTGTCTACTCTACGGGGTAACTTGGACTGGATCACAGAGTCAGGCAGCGACTTAACACTAACGCTTTATGGAAGTAGATGTTACATGGCACTCTATTCAACGGACTAACAATTGTCCAGAGACTGGACAATATCAAAGAACATTTTTTTCATTCCATTAACGACTATCTGAATACTCTTTCTACCTACATCGCATATTATCTATGTATTTACAACGCCCTTCAATTTAAATAGAAACAAATATATTAGATTCCGACAAAAGAACTCTTCATTCATTCTTATATTCTGCTATTTTGTCTTCCATAATGTATTGTATTGTATGCTTTTGATGTAACAAATGTCACGAACAATGCGAAAATAACAGGAGCATGAACCCTAGATATCAAGCGATACAATATTATCTTAAAAATCTTGGTGGTCCAAATTTTAATATCTTAAAGTGAAGCTACAAGTGCAAAAACTATACAGTGACAATTATTTCCTCTGGTACCTTGTCCACTTATATTTGTATGATGATTTCAATCGTACTCGATTCTTGAGGTGAATCAGATATGCACATATCTTTTCGAGCGTCTAAATAAATATTAATCAGGACGTAAAAATGTATCCAAAAACTGAGATCAACTGCATCCAAGTAATTTCCTACAAATCAATCCCTTCTTCAAAATCTTCAAAATATAAAAACTTGGAGGTGGAAACTATCTTTGATCTCAAACCAAAATATGCAGATCAGTCTCCAAGCAGTTTGTCCCTTCGTGCTTCACACTATCTCCCAAAACTTGTCAATTTTCCCACTCGAGCGGTTCAGCTTTTCGGATTCCTTCCTTACAAATTAGATCAGAATTCAGGTCTGCATTTCTCCCCGAAACACGCACCCTTTTCACTACTCCTTGCGTTTCTGATTTTCACTGTTGCGTGGAAGATATTGTACTACACTGTGAACATTGAGGAGATTTTGTACCCAGTCAAAAATATGACCAGCAACGGACCTTTACGACGATCATCAACAACTGAGAAACTTTCAGAACATTTGGTCACGTCCGTGATTCTATTTTCCACAACTGGAATACGAATTCTTGCCCTGATCGAGGGAAACAAAGTGACCAAATTTTATTCCAAGTTGACCCACGCTCTCGAAAATATTAGAGTTGTCGAAGGTGGGCATGAAAATATTGAGGAATTTGTGCGATCTTCTGGAACATGGATTACAAGAGGAATTATGGCGTCTGCTTCGATGCTATTTGCGCCAAACTTGTATTTTACAATTTTGCAATACATTTCTATATGCCAAGAACAAGATGACACCTCCACGATGAAACGAATCCTAGTCGGAGTCGGAGTAACGGTAAAGAACGTGATTGGGATTAGTGAATCATTTTACATTTTCTGGATGGCTGCACTAATTCAAGGCATACAGCTCGGATTTGTGGTACTCGAACAAAATTTCAAAGGCAACAGCAGCAAACATGAAATTAAATCTGAACCAGAATTTGAGGAACACGTCGAAAACATTAACAATTTAAAATCCGTCGTGGAGAATTTCGGGATGGTTTTCTCCCTTCAGATAATTTTGATGATGTTGAGTTACTCGGTAATTTGGGCGATTGATATCTTCCTCGTGATCAATAAGGCCGTAACTGCGTTTGGCGTGGGGGACCTCGTACTTGATGGAATTGTCGTGGCGATGGCGCTGTTCATGTGCAATAATTCGGTCATCCTCGTCTTATTGGCGATTGTATCACAAAACTTGGGAGAACAGGCGGGAAGAACGATAGATTTATTTGGACAGTATGGATTCGACAAGTACTCTGAGGAGTTGAGAGGAAAGGTATTCATCACTTTAATGAATTTTGTGATAAATAATATGAGACTGAAATTGAGATGAAATTGAAACAGTTGCAAGGATTCTTTAGCGTCATGTCCCCTACGATAGTAACGCATGGTTTCTACATTTGTCCTGGGAATTATTTCAGTCTCAACAAGAGGACTGTGACTTCGGTAATTCTATTTCATAACAACTATGTGAAACGGTTAATTAATAATGCTATCTGGAAATTATAATTGTAGGTATTTGGATTTCTCACAACCTATGTTTTTGTGCTTCTGCAGTTCCAAGGGACAGAAAAATAAGTTATACCATTCCTATTTACGAAGCACCTATTTTATCCACTTTAATTTCAGTAAATAGATATATGTACTCATTTATGAAGTATATATGTGTATTCACATACAAGGGTGTATGTGATGTAGTTATCAGTTATTGCGTAAGTTCATATAAGAAGTATTTATTGTGAATTAAATATGGATTAAACTTCAAGTTAACTTGATCAGAAACACAGAAGTTAAGAAATGTGTACGTATAATTAGTTTTGGAGTAGTACATACATAATACATATAAAGTTGGATTTGCCTGTTACATATTTAATAAACAATTCAAAACAGAGTTAAATAATATCTCATGCATCGAGTTTAATGTTTCTTTCCTAGACAAACACTGTCGCACCTAGAAAGCGTTTCCATATGAATATGAAACTCTTCATTCTACATATGTATAAAGCATAGATAGTTACATATGAATATTATCCAGATAAGTATCTAATATGAATTTTTTGTCTGATAAATTATGCTATACAATCTTTGCATCATCTTGCTCCATGTTTTCATTCACATGATTCATATCCAAAATATTCTTAAACTCTTCGTTGATACAAAATGCCAGATAGTCTGCCTTTTCCTGAGTTGGAATAATCCTCTTGTCCACCGTAACGCCGACACGTAGGTTGTCAAGGGCGGTAAGAAATGTGGCTGACATTCCTGTGGAAACGGTGAAATTTAAATTCAGCAAAAATTGGATTTTATTTATTTTGGGACACCCACGCCTTACCAAATCCTGGATTCAGTTCTAGCCAAAGAGTAATGTCGTCAAGCCAATACCTATCAAAACTCTGGTGAGGATCTTTCGGCCCGGGAAAATTTGACGATATTACGGTCAAATTAAATTTTAGCAATATCTTGCACAGCCAAATTGGTGCTATCGTAACTATTGGAGCTAGTGCAAAATTCGTGGAAGTATTGGGCGATTTTCTTAAGCTCATAATTGACTGTTCAGCAGTTTGTAGATTGTGTTGAAGACATGGTCCCAGTGGGATTGTTAAAACTCCGAAGGTCCTAAATGAATGATAATGAAATAAAATGAAGCCAATTAAAGTTAACTTGCATCTATTAACTATTAAATCTGTAATCTTAATCTTTATCAATCAAATGTGTATGTAGATATGTATGTACATACACGTGCATATGCACAATAAATGCATACATATTCATGTACTCGTACGTATGTATGTACATATTCATAGTGTTGATAGTCAAGTTAACTCACCAGCAATTAACTAATCCGGTCAAAGGATGTGTCTTCCACTGAAATGGTATTACGGATCTCATGATTTCTGGAATTTTGTCCTCCTGTCCCGTCCCTTTTAGAAATGCACGAATCCCACCACCCAACCCCGTATTGAATAACGCCGTCAGTGAAACATTTCGTGACTTGCTGATATTTTTTAGGCCAGTTAACGGAATTTTTTCGGATCGCACAGTTAGCCATTCTTCAGTCATTTGAGATGGAGGAAGCTTCCAGATATTTCTGTCTGCGTCGAGGAAGGTCTGCTTGAACTGATAATATGGGGAAAGAACCAGTGTGCCCAAACTGGTCATAATAGTTGAACAAAAGGTCTCGGTCCAAGATGGTGAAATTTTAATGACTGGAACACCTCCCAAATTATTCACAAACATTTTGAAAACACAGTAACCATCGCAAATGGAGTGATGCATACGACAAATTAGGATAAATCTAGACCCCTCGCTAATTTTGGTTTCTTCCCCAATGTGAATTTTAGGTTTGGAGGGGACAAAATTTCGAACTATTAAAATTTCCCAGGGTGACATTCCTTGACGAAATGGCCGTGTGGCAAGATTTCCCATAACTTTTAGAAAATCTTCTTCAGTGACCACATTTTGTTCAGGTTGAGACATTAAAAGGTGTTCTGTGTCTTCAAAAAATCTGATGTGCTCATGGAGCGAGAAATTCGATTCTCTACTCCAAAACCTATATCCAAGCCAGGATTTCATAAAATAAGTGAGTTTTTCGTAAAGCAGATTTCCATCCTTGATATCTCTTTCTTCCATAACTTTGGCTTGGAAAGTGGTCCGAATGTGGTCAATATCCGGTTCCCCATGATAAGTACCTACAGTATGAACGACATCTAGACTTTTTTTCGTTACGTCGCGCAATCCCACAAAAATGTCTGGTGAGTTTAAAAATAATAAATTTTAATTTGGAACGTACATGTATTTGTACATGTATTTATTTAAAGTACATGTATTTAATGAGTGTTCCTTTAAGCTATTGTAAATTCAGACTAAATCCGATTCAACAAAATATCCATTTTAAGTTCATTTTATCAATTCAATGTTGATCAATGCATTCGCTTGCACATTTGCATATACATATGTGTGCATTCATACTAAAAAGTTTAGATATATATGGAAAATTCGATGCAAAACCAAGCACATCAGAGAACTGCATAATGTCCGTTGCCACAGATTAGTACCATGAAAATTTTAAACTTTATATTCTATTAAGATGTGGTAATTACCAATCTATGTACACAAAATGTATGTCAATATGTCAACTTGAGTTTGACCGTTTAATTTGGGTACTTGGGGTTTGTTTAGGTAGATGGATAGCATTATTGTAATAATGTTATCTGTAGATAAAACTGGAAATTGAACTTCTCTTCCAAAAATAAAATGCATCCATAGTCACCCAGAGGTTAAACTATATTTGGTATATGCAAGCATAAATACAACTTGAGGTATCATAAGATTTGCATCAACAAAGTTCGCTCCAGTTAATTCTCAGTATGCATTAATGTACTAACCAAGGAGTTGAAATACCTTGGCATATTGACATACATTCTGAATATTTCTGAATATACACTGGAGATTGCCAATTACCACATCTTGACAGAATATACATAAAGTTTAAACTTTTCATGGTACTAATCTGTGGCATACATTGTACATACATATGGATTCATATCCTGAAATTATGTGTATGCCATAATGTTTACGCATGTACATATGTACATACACATGTACATAAGGAAGTAAATACTTAATACCTTTGTCCTAGTCCTAAGTTTAGTATTGATGTTATCAACCAAGGAAATCAAGTAGTAATTGAATAAAAGTTATAAATAATTTGGAGCATAGGAGAATAATATTTACACGGACCTGCCACTCACTCTTACATGACCTCAATTGTAATTCCTTGAGTTAATCGGGTTATATTTAGTTCAGTTAATTATCATGTAGCTAATTCGTACATAGTTTCTGTTTAACAAGAAACTCACAATATGCTGCATAAAATTTCATTTCGGCGTACTGCCCACGTTGGAATTGACTTGTGGCTCAAATTCTTCGAAGCGATTTTTGCACATGGGCTGTATACTGATAATTGTTAATAAAAACATTAAATAAAAAAGAGGCAGATAAGAAAGATTTTAAATTATTAATTTACATAAAAAACTTCTGGAAATGCAATTATAAAAATTACACCAGTGACAAGGCAACCCTGGAAAATCTTATACAATTTTCTAAGTGTACTACTAACACGTTGGTAGTGTACTACCGTAAAAAGAGGGTTGTTACCATAAAGATGCAATTTGCAATCACGTCAAAGTCCGATAAGGCATTGTATAGGCTACTGGTTACCCCTATTTTTATAACGACAGCATACTTACATGGACTGAAATTTGGTTTAAAAATGCGTACAAAAATTAATTCCGAAGCTAATGAGTCAAGATTTAACATTCGACGCATCATGTTCTTATCTTCATTATTCGTCGAAAGATATGCTTCGCATCAACTCGGCAGGAGACTACTAAATATGTGTACACTCTTTCTGCAAAGTCCATCTAGAAACATTTCACATATATTTAACCCGACGTTGTGATGCGCACTTTCGTCCAAATCAGTGATTTGAACGAAAAAAGTTATTAAAATTTATTTTATTTTAAAAATTATTTTACCTGATTTTATATGTGATTTGAAATCACATATACCCTCCATCTTGTTAGGACCTCCACCATTTACATTTTTATTTTAAAAATTGTCATTATTCTTACTTTACTTTGTCAGTTGTAAAATTGATGATATACAAGTGTTCATTGTACATGTGTATATGTATTTGTGCAAGCTGATTGGATGGCAATATGCGGTCCATTACTCATGATCAGCGCTGTTCAGTTTTGATGACAAGAAGTTGAAATTAAAATTCAGTTATTTTTAGGGTTGCCCCGGGCACCGGGTAGTTACCCGGTACCCGACATACCCGGCCTGTTTTGGGATACCCGGTACCCGGCCGGGTAATTTAAATGTTCATTTTTTTGCAAAACCTTACAAAAAAATTATAATCCGATGAATTTCATGTTGGTCCTTGGTGTAAAATAATATATTTTGAAAAAATGCGTACAAACTAGGTCAATTATTAGGTGAAAATTATTATCCAGATATTAAAATTACTTTGGGCGCACTCACGTCAACCCATGCTTACATATCTCCCAGATTAACCATGGCAACATAACTGGCGATGTTTTGCGAAATTTGAGACATTTCTCAAAGCATTCGCTAGAAAACCGCTGGTTTTGGAAATTTGCCCAGCAATTAGGCACATTATAATTTAGCAAACTCATCCTCCCGATTATCAGCGAAAAATAGTTGAAAAATCCACGAAAACAAGATCAAAATAAGCGTCTTTAATAGATCTGCGAGACTTTCAAAGTGATATTTTGGGACTCCCCTCATGAAACAAATTTTTAAGCTGAACAAATTTGCTAAATGGGTGGCGATGATTAATAAGACATTGTCGTGAGTACGCTCAGTCTGTACTTTATGTTTGTTTTTAACTTGCAACTTTTTAAAACTGGTAAAAGTGTTGTAAATTCTAGAGAAAAGTGGAATAGCTCCTTTTATGTTTAATATATAAGTATTTCCCGGTACCCGGCCGGGTAGCCGGGTACCCGGCGAACATTTTAGGCCGGGTACCGGGTAGTAGCACTACCCGGGGCAACCCTAGTTATTTTGTCACGATTTTCCTATTTGTCGCCTCAATCAGAAACTCATAGCCTTGTAAACAATCGTACATCTCTCACTGTACAATATATAAAAATGGAAAATTAAAAATCACTGTGTGAGTAGAAAAGTGAGTTATGTATGTAAGAATTTTAAAACATAAATATCTTTCACCTTCTTCAGAATCAGAAAGACTATTTTTCCTGAAGACATTGCCCACAAAACTGTGGGGCACGATTTGCAGGGCGAACGCGCGATTGCGGGAAAAGCAGTGTGGGAACCGGAAAAAGTGTAAGTAAGAGGCCGTCGTAAGACGAACGTCTAATTCTGATACCTTAATGCAGTATGTTTTGGAAAATGCTTCCCACCTTTTTCCGCATGGTTTAACGCGTGAAATATTGAGTCGAAAGGCTCAAATCGAAAAAGAGTAATTCATGAAGAGAGACGAAAATTTTTTAGCGACTCCTCATTTTGACTCTCATTGCATGAGAGGATTTTAAATACGAGAATTATTAAGATAGGTATATAGAATGAAATAGTTTTTTTTCGCGCTTGAACGATTTTCAAGTTTGATGGCTCAAAATTTCCGCAATTTTGTGTACATAAAGAATCTGAAATAATACTGGCAGTTTTCGAGATCTGAGTCAAAATGTGCGAATTATTTGGCAGTTTTATGCCAAAATCGTTCAAACCTGGGCAAATATCACCGGAAATAATTTTTAAAAATTACTTTATATTAGAATTTGGCCGCTGCCTTGATTTCGGACCCGAATTTTCTTATGTGTTGAAGTTTGAAAAATAATTGCATATTCCGTATTTGTTTTTCCACGATCGAAATATGGGTTATATTGTAGGTTATTTTTATGCTGATAATTCGAAGGACGAATTAAATTATGTTTCAAACGATCATCGACTTGTGCATGAATTTCTTCTGCTAATGTCGGATTAAACCAACGTGGAGTCCTACTACTTAAACAACTCGGAAAAATTTCACTCTACTGATGAGCTGATTCGCCAACACATTGAACTTATAAAGTCGAACCCCGTTAAATAGGTGTACTTCATATATGATGATTGGAGTTTCTAACAACTTCAGGGTAACACTATACAAACTTCAACCAAGTTTTAATCGAATGAGTTGAAATAATTATTGAGTTTTTGTTGACATTTATTGATGTATAAGAAATTCCGACGACGTAAAATTCTGGTGCTGTCAAAAATACAGGGGGCGATAATGCAAACAATTTTTTATATCTGTATTGTCGCTTTAATAATTGTATTCTCTCGTATTCATTTTCGAATGTTTTATTTGCATCTCTCATAAACTAGGAAAAAAATCGAGCATAAAGGAAACTGCACCAAGTTACAAATTGTTTCAAAAGCATATTTAACGTAGTTGCAGAAACGTTGAACGACGCTAATGAAAAAATACGTAAATTTGTCAGAATCAAGTTTGTACACAAATATTAAACTCCCTTATAGATGGAACAACTGCAACTGATTTAAAAATGGTTGACATTTTCCACATCACTGTATTGCAAGCTTTAATAAAAGATCAACTTTAATCCCAAGCCAACTAAATAATGTGTGACAAACTTTTAGAAAGCGAGGTATTAAGTCACACACAAGTATTTAAAAACCAGGCATTATTGCGTTTCTCAAAATTTTTCGTCGGTGTTGACTGATTATTTGCAATGCATCAACTCAGGGAACATAAAATGATAAACATATACATAGATATATTTAGAAATTTGAGCGTCACTGAAATAAAATATATTGAATTCAAATGCAGCGGTGCAATACAAAATGTACATTCATTGTGGCAAAATTTAACAACTCTCATGCTAGAATTAGTTAAAAACTGAGAAAACCTGTAAACGGGACAAAGTGAAATATCGAAACATTTCTAGTCATCTCAAATCCATTCATCGAGTCCCTCAACAACTAGACTAATCGGGTCAATAAATAATGCAAACTCGAAGAATCAAGCAAAAGTCCCAGTTCGATTCGAAATGGACTCGACTCGACGCAAACATTCCAAATCGAATTAATTAGGACTCGAACTCTTTTCGTTCGTAGCTCTACTATCAGGCCTAGCATTTTGCAAATTATCAAATTTCAATCTCGAAAGGTGTTGGAAATAGAGAATTATAAATGGACAGAAAGCTATTTTTGTAACTCAGTATGTCTCAGATTAATATGAATTTTACGCTAAAATTAGTTAAAACCTGGCTGACAATGTAAAACAATGCCATGAATTATTTGTAGCTGGAAATAATTTTACTACGCAAACGTGTGGAATTGCTAGTCAAAGTGATATTTTAAAAAATACCCTAGCAGTCAAGTGATAAAAAAATCGTTACAGAAATGTGTGTAATTTGATAAGTAACGATATATTTCCCAAAATTAGCAACTGATTGTATATTTTCTTCTCATTTCCTACTCGTCAAAATGCACATACATACTTCATGCCAGTCGCATGTATTTTCCTTTAATGTTAAATTTGTCATTTGACACATCTGATTTTGTATTTGTCAAAGTGTACTTCCAGCCAGTTGTATGAGTTTTCTTCTGATGTTGTACATCTTAAAGTGTACTTCCAAACAGATTTTCTTCTGATTTTGTAATTGTAAAAGTGTACTTCCATCTAGTAGCGTATTTTGTCCATATTTTGTGTTATATAGTCGAAGTGTACTACGATTATCAAGGTGCATTTTGTAATTGAATGCTGCTAAGGGGATTTTCTAATGACACCAGACTAATGTACTACGTTTATTGACTACTGTGCAATTTCATTTCGTTTTTCAGTTTTGTACTAGTCAAAATGTACTTCTAACTGGTCGGGTGTATTCTATCCTGATAACTTTGTTTCGCCCGAGGGTAATTTCGACCGGCCTTCGGCCGGTCGAATTGTACTACCCCGGCCCGAGGTGTACTACTAACAAGGTTCGTAGGTAGGTAAGGTTTTCCAGCGTTGGACAAGAGGTCCACTTGAAGAGGGTTTGCGTGTGCTGCAGGATGACCTAGTTATTCCTGATTCTTTTACCAGACTTAAAAAAACGTCTCGAGAAATGTTTTCTCGTTGGCTTTAATATTGACGCAAATCCGCAAACATTGCCACGCATAACCAAGGGTCCAATCTATCCTTCCAAGAAACTAGCAATAAGTTTTTAATTTTAAATTTTAATTATAAATCTTAATTATAAATTTTAAATTTAAGGCACCCCAATTATTCCGTTAAAGTCTTGCATTATTGTTATATATTTCCATCTTTTTTTGGGGCTGCCAACTAAAACATAAACACAACACAAAAACAACATACAACGCCAAAATACAGCAATTTTGACCTGCTGTAATCTGTAATTACATTTTTGCTCGTGAGTTTTTTCTGAAACAGCACAAAATCATTTTTTTATGCAAACATAAGAATGCGAGTCAAATGTCACAATCGAATTTTTTCCTTACTAGACAATAGGTTATCCTTAATTCCTTATGTATCACGGAGGAAAAATAAGCTCATGATTTTCTAATACTCTATCAATGTACCTACATGCATGTGCATGTGCATACTCGTATTTCTTATGTAGTTGTCCCATTCGTTTAATTTAGTATGAAAGTTCTTAATTCAACAATTAATAGTTAACACATGTCAACTTAACTGCTTATTTCATTTTGCACCCAATCCTTATTGTCATTGATTATGCACAATATTGTTGCATACAACACATATAAAATATGTTTTTTATCCCATCCTGTCACAACTTAAAGGAAACAACAGCTAATCAAACCCAGGAAATTTAAAACTAAACAAAACCTTTTCGAATACAAATCTTCCACGACGTAATATTAATTTTTATGTCCTTTATTTCCGCACTAAATAATTTATGAAATGAATAAAACTGGAGCTAAATAAATAATGGAATCATTCAACTAACAGTCGAGACAAAGATTAATATAAAAAGTTCTATAATTTCCTTGGAGACATATCATCTCAAAAGAATTATGAAGTCCCAAAGTCTCATTTTATTCTTCGCTCTTGTTCTAATTTGCATTGGCACCGCAGGTAAATACTTACAGACAAATATATTTATGTACATACAACTTGAGCAGCTCCTCTTTATCATACAATTTGTTCCAATATATTATCACACTTGTGGAAGAAATAATAAATATTCTTGTGCTTATTTTCCAGTCGCAATTTCCTGTCAAGACCAAGGAAACAATCGGGGAACAATGTGCGTCAATGGCAACTGCCCCAGCGGTTGGAGGAGCGTCTTCTATGACAGTGGATGCAATGACGGCCAGAAATGCTGTATCTAGGCAGGTGTCTTGGGATGAAAAATTACTTTTTCTGTCCAATAATGATTTCTTACAGGAATATTTTTCATTTCCAATAAAATTATTGAATGAAACTAAACTCTGCATTGTGCAAAACAACATGTAGCTTTATAACAATTTAGAACTCCAATACCCTGCATACACATACGTTTGTAGTAAAATTGTAAGTCCTATTTCTTAAATTTACACAAAACACGTATCAAATCGCATGCACCTTGAGACGACTCATTACAATTAAAATTTTCAATGCGACACAAATGGACTGAGCCACTTCATTTATTTAATTACTCTTCTCTACATTTTACTCGTAATCGATACGGTTCTGGAGACAGCGTCCCCGAACTTATTGCAATCCCTGATGGTTCCATCCCTGGAATGATTGATAACTCAAATTTCTGCAGAAGCGTGGTTGTATACAGGAATAACGAATTCCAGGCAAGACTTTCGCCCAGACAAATCCTCCTCCCTAAAGATGTAAGATACACAAAACTTTACTGGCCCACCTAAGACTTATCTAGATCAGTACATATATTCCAAATTACCAAATCCGAACATTAAAATTCTCTCCGCCTTCACAATTTGGTACTCCCCTTGGTCTTCTTTACGTAAGAATCGTTCTGGTCTAAAAACTTGTGGATCTCCCCAATATTCCGTGTCACCCAACATGGGTCCCAGATTGTAAGTCACGCCAGCTCCCTATTAAGTACATAAATATGTACGTGACAAAATTTAATTGTAAAATTTTGAATTCGCCAACCGGTAGTACATATAAATATGCAACTGCATAATATTTGCTACCTTGGGAATAACATACTCGCCCACGGTCAAGTCTTGCGTTGCAACCCTAGGCCCTGGCATTGGTAGAATAATGGCGGTTCGAAACGTCTCCAAAATTGTAGCTTTTGTATATGGCATTCTGAAATCAGTTAAATTATCTCTAGTTGAAAAGTTGAATTCAATCTGACCACAAAAGTGACATTTTTGATCACCTATTTTCATGGTGGAGCGTTGGAACGTTGTTTGGTCCAATGACCTCTGCAATCTCCATTTGTACCCTTTTCTGCACTTCGGGATTCATAGCGACATACAAGAGCAGCCAGTTTACAGTGTTGCTCGTAGTTTCCGACCCGGCGAGAAACAAGTCTTGCAGAATTACTATGAGCTGTTCAACTGAATCAGAATACAAAAAATACCAATTTATTACACCGCTATATAGACGACGACTACGACTTAAATTTACTCACTGTTATAATTTTCATCGCTTCCACCACGTTTTTCTGCCTCGTGAAGAAAAACTTCAATAAAGCTTTCAGGGTCTGGATTGCTTCGTGCTTTTCGTTTAGCGTCGATCTCATCTATAATGTCCTGCATAAAAACGGTTAACATTACGTTGAGTTAATTCACAAACTACTCGCATATCCATGCTTATCGTACCTTCAGGAATACTTGCATTTCTTCATAGCAAGCTACATGTTCTTCATGTCGGCTCCATTTCGGAAACCAGTCCTTCACCCAGGGAAATATTGAGTACTTATTTGTAAATCCCACAGCATGGACAATGTTGTCATTAAGTTGAACAGCCCTCCTCAATTTCGCGTCCCCTAAGGAAAATCTGTACCCAGCAACGAGAGACCAGAGAATGTTGATCGCACTAGATGCCTATTTTTACAATAGTAGAGTTTTAACATACAGTGCTTACAATGTGATTTATTGCATTTAGAAATACTTACTAATAACCAGGCGTCCACGTCCCAAACGCCATCCGTCGATATCTGACTTTTGATCTCAGCCACTAAATCTTTCACTTCGTCCTGCATAACGACAGTCATCGAATTTCTCTTTCCAAATCCAAAATCTCTCATGGTACGAATTGTGAATCGTTTCAGTTCTTGCCAAGATTCAAATCCGTTCCAGATTATTCCTAATAAACAAGCGATACTGTCAGTTAATTAGCAATTAATAAAAATTAATTTTAAAAAGTACCCATATTAGTCTTCCCGTATGCTCGATCTGCTACAAATGGCCAAACTAATCGAGCCATGGAAACTTCTGGTCTTGATAGAATATCTTTTATTGCTTCGTAAGATGAGATGACAACTATGTACATAAAAAGTGGGGTTAAAATCAATACAGCTTTTTAACTTCATCATTGCAGAAGGGTCTAATCTTTGGTATGAAATCTCTTACCCATGTAATGCACACCGAATCCAAGACCCATGATGTCACCGTATTTTTTGGCCATTAATCCCAACGCTTTGTGGGGATACTTCAAATCTGCGAGTGCCATTTCGACCACATTTCCAATTAAAGGCCATCGATACGGACCAGGGGGGAGATCTTGAGCGATGTGTCCACTCACAAGTACAAAACGGAATAATGCAAACACTATCAAACACAATGTAAATTCAACAATCATGACGAATTTGAGGTTGCACGAGTATCGTTTTGAAATTTTTCCTAGATCAGCTAACATGCGTGTGTATACTCATCCTCAATGTTGGAATGTCCAGTAGGTAAGCATAACTGTCCATGAACTGACAAACTAAAGTGCTACGGTCGTGTCACAAAAAAATAAAAAAACACGTGTGTGCATAAAAACTGGTTACTCCATTTATACAAATGTATATACGCCATGTACAAAAATTGAAATGATTGTCCAGATACACGTCAGGCGAATCTTAAGGTTTGCACTAACCAATTTTTACCATAGTTACATATTTAACGTGGTTGCGGCATGCGAAATGTTTAGTGGAGATCATGAAACATTACCTGAATAATGCGAAGAGCCAGTGCGACTAATAAAAAATGGCAAAAAACTGGTTCTTTGTTCATCAAAGAATTACTACGTAATAAACAGTTTGATCGAAACGTATTTAGTTTACCTAATCTTTAGTTTATTGTACAGTTTGAAATGGAACTTTATGTGCATATGTTTTTATTTATTTAGTCAACTTACATAACTAAGATGTGCATTTGTAAAATCACAAAATTACGTAATTATCTAGTAATTCATGTTTAGCGAAAACTCAGCTTATTTTACATACACATAGCACTGCTATTTGCGTATCATACTTTCAATATATGGATTTAATTTAAAACACATTTACATAGGCAGATGCGCATGCATATATGTACTTATTTTCAGTCTACTTCAATTGAAAAGGGCTCCGCTCAAGGTAATTTTGCCTGAATCAAAAATGTCGATGCATATAAAACCTCCCTGAAACACATTTACAACCGTAACTCGATTTTATTTTAATTGCTTACCTCCACATGAATTGCAACCATTCGTGTCTCATCGGTGTGAGGAATGTAAATTTCTGCTGATCCGCTTAAAGCGACGCGAATCGTTTTACCAGAACAAGTCCCGTTATAAACATTTCCCGAAATTACGTCACAATAGTCACCCGCAGGTAGGCAAGTCTGATATGAGTAGTAAAAAGTTGTGACAATCTTATATGTATTTATAAGGTTACCTAAGTGCTACTAATTATGTACCATTAGAAATTCATCCATAGGAACATTCTGCTCATTATTCATTGCCACGAATCCTTTATTTCCTCGACAAAATGCGATTTGGTTGTTCCCATTGTCCCACCAATTGGTGACTGGAGTTCCATGGACAACATTTCCAAACGAAACCATGTTGAATATTTCTCTCCAACGGTGCTCACATCTAAATTGAAATGATTTGAGTAAAATTTCATCCACGTTTTCATTCGGATAATTTTACAAAATTCCTAATTATTTAAAAACTAACATCCAGCCACCCCCACATGTGAGGTCATTATTAATGGGAACATCCAACGTGTTGCCGTCATCGTCATGAGGTGGGCCCATCTGGCCGAGAAATTTTACTAAATGAGTTTTTTTTATTTTGATAGAAAAATTATGTATGTATGCAAATTTAAATTAAAAAATACCCAATTGTTCCTGTCTTTGCCATCTTGCCAGTCTGGTTCCCAGTAATAGGAAGACATCACCCTTTTCAAACCAAATGGCCAAGCTTGGGCGAACCCCTGTGCCATTCGGTATAGTCCACCGTTCCGAAAAGTTAATATATTTGTATCGTAGAACCCTTGGTATCTCTGATTGTCATGGTTGTCCACGAACACGAGGACATTTTCGGACGCATACATTCCCCAAGGTTCACCTAAGTTCATTTAGTAATAAAAATACGAGATAAACTATGCCGCATTATTTGTAATTACCAAAATTCCAAAGGTTTTTCAAAGGTGTAAATCCACGAAGGACATCGCCCAGAAACATCCCGTATTGGAACTCGGTCGTTCGTCCGAGGTGATGATATTCATTGGCGTGGACCGGATCAGTTCCTCCGGCAAATGCTGATTTTGTAGCAGAGCATTTAAAGTACATAAGTAATAAAATTGTGACATTTATTTAAATAATTACCCAAATCCCAAACTTCCATGACAATGAATGGCTTCGCGTTTTCCGGAAAACCTGCAGAGGTCGATAGATTATCTAACCTACTGAAAATCACTTCTAAATCCTGGACCCACATGTACTTCGAGGCATCGACTCTTGGAAATAATTACGTAACATTTTGATGCAATTCTTGAATATTGAAAGCCATAGTACAAACTTTTAAACCCATTTATGAGGTCTACCTGAATCCAGCAACTCCAAAACCAATAAGTTTGTTGAGAAATTCGACAATCTTATTCTGCACGCTTGCCTTCTTCTGGTTCAAATCTCGCAATGTGTCCAACTCGCAATTTTTTATCTGAGGGCAAAAAAACTATTTCATGTCCATTTACATATAATAAATTGAATCTACCTGAAAATTAATCTTGCCTGGGTAACATCTTGATAATCATCAATCAGTCCACTGTCTGACTCGCACTCGAGGCCGTCGCCATGCCCATTAAAATCCTCCGCAGTATAAGGAACTCCTGGATAGCTTTTCGTGGCGGGGTCAAAACTGCTTCCACCCGTTCCAATGCAGCAGGAGCTTCGTCCCGACATGTGGTTGAGAACCACGTCGACATAAATTCGGACACCGACCGCATTGCATCTTTGAATCATGGAGGCAAGTTCACTTTCGTTTCCAGATCTCGTCGTAAATTGATAAGAGACTGGAGTGTAGCGTTCGGACCATGGGCGAAACGGGGTCAATTGAAGAACATTCTCAGTTACAGGTGATGTCTGGCAAAGTTGGAAGTGTGGTTATTTTACGTCATGCCATAGTTGAAAGTAAAGCATAAAATTATTTCTCGTTTACTTGAACACCTGCGTATTTATATGGTCCAAGAAATCTTTCGCACTCGTCTGCGATATTGTTAAACTTCCATTCAAAAAGGTGGACGATAGATTGTCTTCCTTCGGTGAAGTGGGGGTCCTTTTGTGCTTCGACACCATATTTTACAGTGAGGAGGAGAAATAGTAGAGTAGAAAGTAGAATTGGATTGGACACCATTGTGACATAAATTGTTATAAAAATATAATGATCGCATTGGAGCTCAGCGAGGGTAGAATTAGAAATGCATAAGAATATAGTTAGAATTTTATCTATGATGAGATATCATTGAGTGTCACTTATCATTATCAACAATGATTTCGGTGAGATATAAATAAATACTTAAATAATGAGTCGAGTGAAGTCATGCAGACTGCAGTTTTGGAATTAAGTAGATACTAGTAGATACTTAAGTATCTACTAGTACTAAGATCTTAAGTAGATACTACTAGATACTGCAAAATAGGCCCGTCGATAAGCCCGTTACCCCAACATTAGTGAAGTTAGCCTCTCCTGTTCTCTCTGCAGAGTGGAGAGAGGAAAGGAGAGGCTAACTTCTCAAAAAAGCCACCGACCCAGCAGCGATACACTCGCCTGCTTTATATAGTTTAGATATAAGTAAAATGTATGTAGGTAGGCATTTTTGCATGCAATGCCCTGCTGTGATGCAAATCGTAGTAACTCATACATAGATATGTACATACATAAGTACAAGATGCATAAGTGCATCCAATTAAGTATCCTTTTTGATTACATATGCCAAGTATGTAATTATTACTTGATTATAACCAAAATATGTCAAATTAAAAAAAAACACAATCAAATATATAGTCCCAAAAGTTGCTTAGAATTATTGTTTTCACTGGAATAAAGGTCAGTTGAACGTGTACATATGTATTGTACCATCGTTGTACCATTATGTATCTATGTATTTGTCTATACAAATGCACACCAATATTTGTATAAGTAAATCATTCAGTGCATTACAGTATCCAGGATAAATTAACTAACAGAGAAATGATATTGTGAAACGTAATTGACTATTATGAAACGCCTTAACGCCTATTTATATCTCAATCCCTTCACAGAATCCATCTGCTCCTCGTAGTTTGGCCAATTGCAAAACTCCATGATAATTAGCGTACGTTCCTGCAACGACTAGGATATGAAATATCTGATGACTCTGACCCTGCAACGAAATAAAGCACAGTTTAAATTTCGAAAGAGAATTCTTGTGATTTTTTTTACCATGATATCACATTTTCCCTTGTACCACCTCTCTGGGATTCTCGATGAGTAAAAAAGAACTCCCAAGATGTACAGAACCGCCATTAAAAGCAACCATCCGAACGGATCTATTGTAAATGCTCGAATAAATCCTCGTACTGAAATATAATGAATGGCTGGAATTACACCGCTGAGTCCAAATCCGGCGAATATACCTGAATAATGTATGCATTTCATATTTATAATCCTAATAAATGCATCAGCTACATAGAACGAGTGCACATACTGGCACGGATTGGTCGCCATCGTGGCGTTCCGAATTTGTCTGACAATGATGCAACAATTGTCGCCAGTCCAAGAAAAAATGTCACACTCCAATAAACCATTTGACTCCATGTGTCACAATTAAATCCGTAGTAAAGCCAAGGAAAGAAGGAACCCATGCTCAATGTGGATATTCCAACGTAGTCCAATCTTTAAGAACCGCAAAACAGAACATCGTATTAAACAAGAAGTGGCAAAACTTGAAGTAATCACTGATCAGTCAAGAATAGCAAGTTCGAACCGCGTGACATCGAATCCACAGGTTAACCTACTTTACTTATGTAAATATGTACTTGCTAAATAATTTGCACACCGATTCCGAGTGGCAGTGGATGGCATGGAAGGTCGCGGACAGGCTGAAACATGTTACCGCTCCAAAGAAGAATACAGAAATGACCAATTTTTGTTCTAGTGGAATCTTCTCTTGATTCATAAAGTGAATGGCTTCCCCGATAAACGCTAACGCTCCCAAGAGATGACTCCATATATTTATAGTCTATCATTGGAAATTGGAAAGTATGACATAAATTGCGTCCCCTTCGTGCACTATATATGCAAATTTTATACCTCAGTATGAATACGGAAAATACTTTTACAGCATTCTCGAACAGATGGGAGTGGTGGTCGGTGACCAGAAATAAGAAATTGGTTGTCCTGAAGCCAATTTGGTAATGTCTGAAAGACAACGAGATGTATAAGGTAAACAAAACATGAAATCAGTATCATTTTATGCTACCTTAAATTGACAACACTTCCATTCTCTAAGACAAACTTGAGGTTGTTCGATTTTGGATGAGTTCAAAAGTCGAAGGGGTTTCTTTAAAAAATTGGACTTTGTTACAAATTGTTCGTACTACCAATTCATCAACATACTTTTGCTTCTTTCTCCTGTAAGGAAGAATCCCCCAGTGCAGTTGGGCGTAAGTTTCGTCGTGCCATTTGTATTTGTAAACACGTTTTATGATACGAAAATAAATTCTTACAATACAATGAAATTGTTGTTGGTTGCCACCGGAAAATTGCTTGTCATTACTTACGATTAGCTGAGTAACAACAAATTAAAGTAGATTCTGAGCTAGATATACTTCTGTATATAGACGATGAAAAAAACTCTACCGTTTCGGCTGGTAGCTGTCTATTAGGTAATTTGTACATTATAGGAAATGTGAAATATACTTCAGGATAATTATGTATGCATTGATCGTACGAGCGTATATATGTACATATGATATCCAATGTCAGATAACCAAGGCTGATGAGGACATAAGTAATTTACGTAACGCACATGCACTGTGTACTTTGGGTGAGAACTATTGATAATCGTGTTTATGTACATATTTAATGTATGCCTGTATATATTTATGTGTGTACAATGCACGTACCTATGTACATACATATGTATTGCGAATGAACTATAAAGGATATACTCGCTAAAGTGTCAACTCCATTTATAAATTTATGTATACCGAGTACATATGTATGGCAATGGGGTAATCAATTACAAAAAAATGTCTTGACAAAGCGTATGCATATGAAAACAAAGATTTGGTCGGCATGTATCTACATATATATTTAGACACCGTAAAAGATGTCTCAAACTGATACAAGCATAAATGAAAACCGCAATTTCACAAGCACCCATATTTACGTATATATAATTTCGGGAGAACAACGTTTATTTGTTCGTCTATTCTAGCCTACAATGGTTGAGCTTCAATCATACAATGTAAATAATTTAGTTACAAATACAATACAATAATTCTCATTTTTCTACACATCTCACACTCAGTCTATGCTAGGTATGCGGGGTACAATAATGAGGATCCTCTATCACCTGACTTAAACTAATTAACATACTTATAATCAACGTATAAAGAAGTAGTATGGCAGTCGACCTTGCTTCCTAAAAGTCTAAGTCTTCTTGTTTTTAATGTCTTTCTAGGAGTAATTATTATTTGTATTCCACCTGTCAACTCGCTCGTAAGGGTAAAATTCCCATTATAAAAAAGCTAAACCAACTTAACCCATACATTTACGTATGTATTTATTTAGTATGAAATGACAGTGACAGGATATTCAAGTGGATGGATGACTGGACTCTTTAAAAATCAGAAATACGTATAAAATCGGGCAGGATTTCAATTTAAGGCGGATAATGTAGCATAATTAATTAAATTTCATAATTAAATTTCAAATTATTTGCAGCATTTAATTGTAAAAGGTCCTAAGCTGGTCAATCGTCAAACCCAGTCGTCGTCATCTTCCTCCTCGTCGTCCATAAAATCGCGGAATTTCCGGAGGAGGTAGGACGTGGGACCGTACCAGCCGGGGTCTGAGTAAAGGGGCGACGGGACCACGACAGGCAGTGGACTCTGCTGAGTGGGGGGGATCGGCAAAATTCGCCCAGTTCCGGTCCGAATACCCGGTCGGCTTATGGTCCTATTATTTACTGTAGGAATTCCTGGCAGTTCTCTCCTCCTCAAAAGAGATCCCTCTCTCCCGAAAGAAGGGGAATTTATTATTTCTAAAAATCCTGAGAAAAAATTAGGTAATTTTATTAATTTTTAACCACATTTTTAACTAGTTGCCTGAATTGTTACCATTGCTGCGAACTGGTATCCTAGGCAGTTTTGGTGTAGATGGGTGAGAAAAGGTGGGATGAAGATGGGTGGAGTCTACAAGTGGGTGACACACACATATAAAATTTGGCATGCTTACAGGAATTTAAGCAACATTAAACACTCACAATTTTGAAATCTGGGACCACGACTTCGATTATGTTCCCAAACTTGGGAAGGGAATATATTTCTATTTGGAAACGTTACTTCACTATAAGGTGTCACTACTCCACGGAAATTGGGGGAGGAGACGGGTGTCACAGAAAAGGGGGAAATCTGGTCATATTCAAACCCTCCTCTCTGCGGTCGTGGGAGAAAAGGTCTCCTCACCATTTGATGAGGGTGAAGAGGGGGCTGATTTCTTGCTTGGAATTGGTAATTTACCATCCTTGGGGTGATAGGGAAAGAGTTTGGTCGGCTTGGTCTTAGCGGGGGAGGGTAACGCAGCCCGTTTCCGGCGAGCTGCTGATTTCTTCGGTGATTGTAAAGATTGTCACTTTCATTTTCGTCGCTATATACTTCAAATCTATTGAAGGAGGGGTCATTTCTGCGCATTCGTCGTCTCCGACGAGTCCATCCGTTGGGGGAAACTTCCATCTGTGGGTTTGGAGGGACATTCCCCTCCGAAAACTGCCCCTGGAAGCCAAGGTTGTTTTGCAATGGTGGGAATATACTTTCCTGAATACCTTGATTCATAACCATGGCGGCTTGATGGACAAAGTCTGCAAAATAAATTAGCAATTAGTGCATGGGTAACATATAGAGTGCTAATTGGCATCTTATCATTGAATCCTACCTCCTCTTGATTCTCCATCATCATCCCAAAAATTTAATTCCTCCTCAGTTCCCGGGTAGAATTCTACTACGTCCGATAAATTCGAAGATACCCGGTTCATCCCCGTACCGCTTAATTTCTCCGCTTCCACCGCTTCAACTACGACCGGGTGCAACTTCCCTGATACTTTTTTCGCCTTCCACACGTCAAAAATGACCAACCCTGCATACAACTTGCCCACCGTCATGACCCTGTCTTTCGAACCCTTCGGTGGTGGTGGTGGAACGAGAAGGTCCAACATTTTGGCGGCTTGGAAAGGCCAAACCTTTCCAATAGTTTCTCTCAATTCTCTATCCGCTTGGTCCATTTCCGGAGCGGGACGTAACTTGATGCAAAGGTTGTCTCGAATTAGGGCGAATAATGTGGTTGAAAAGTGCACTTCTCCCGAGTCATTCAAGGGCATGTTCATCCTGATAAGTTTCCGATAAGCGAGACGATACGGACACTTTCCACCGAAACCGAGTGGGGGGTCCATATTTCGCAGGAGGTCGTACATCTCGGTGAAGTGGATTGTTCCCCTAAAATAGTATTCATTTTATGGTTGCCCATTTTTCTAAAAAATGTGTAGGTTTCAAAATAAGCTTACGAAGCAGTTGGGTCATATTCTGCCCAAACTCGTATGAATTCATCGAGGTGATGTGCACCAAGAATTGAAGAATCTCGTGTGAGGTAGTCAAAATTATCCATAATTACAGCAACGAAGAGATTCAACATCTAAATAAATTACACAAATTAGATTTCAAAATGTTCTCACACTGTAAATTTAAAATAACTCATCACATAAAATGCTTACAAGAAATGAACACAAGAAAATGAAGGATATGAAATACACGTAAGACACGTTTGAACCACATTCCGGTCCTTCCTTTCCTGCGAGTGGGTCACAAGGTTGACCCGCTACACAGGACAACATTATCGACGGCCACGACTCCCCCGTAGCACATCTGCGTGGGTCAAATTAGTATAACAACATATACACCAACTTTTCCCCAATGTTAAGTTAATTTCTTATCAACATACCGAAAAAGTAGCATCAAACTGTGAAAAAAGTTCCGGTAGTTGTTATGTCTTGTTATAGATTTTTCCGGATTTAGTTCTAAAATCATAACGCACATAATCAGTAATAATTTAATAACCATCACGTCTACACAAATAATTGACTTACCAATATTCCCGAAAATCTATTGATTAAAAATGTAAAAAAACGCGTTATTAAACACATAATTACTAATTCTTTCCTACTCATTTAAATATTTACCTGCATTCCAATTATTGCGTAAATGAAGAAGAGCATTGCAATTAAGAGACAAACGTAAGGCAGGGCTTTGAAGGACTGAACAAACGTATACAGCAACATCCTCGTGGTTTGAACTTGTCTTAAAAGCTTGATCAATCTCGCTGCTCGGAACATTCGGAGAAACGCGAGGTTTAACAGATCCGCCTTTTTAGATAAAATATTAATTAATGATTAATTACTTATTCTAAAAAAATAGTTAATTAATTCAAACATACCGTATCGATGATGGATCCAATCACAGCTAAAATACAGCACAAAAAGTTTTAGGAAAATTATCAAACTAATCTTACTTTCTCTCATATTTTTGACAACTTACTTATAAAGTCGAAAACATTCCATGGATCCTTCATGAAATTTTTCACCCCGTACCCATACACTTTCAGACAACATTCCGTCGTGAAAAGCACGGTGAAAGTGATGTTAATGTTGGATAGAATATTGTTATACTCGGCTGGAGAGTTGTGATACTGTGAAATAATTAATCATCCCAAATTAATCAAGGTACCCATCAAGAAAATCACTCTAGCAAATTACAACCTTCATCATTAAGAGGAATGTGTTGAGGATGATGAGAAGCATGATGAAATACTCGAACGGGGTCGACGCCACGATTCTCCACACTTTAAACTGTAATGAATCTCTGTCCTCGGGCATGTACCGTTCCAGAGGACGCGCCGCGATTGTGAAATCAATACAGGATTTCTAAATATGAAATACATAGCACCGTTTTAGTACTTCTTTAAAACAATTAATTTAAGGTCGATTATAAAATTTCTCCCCCACTCACCTGATTCTTATCGATGTCTCCATCCTGCAACTCTGACTCGCCTTGTTCTTGGAATGTAATGATGATCAAGGCAACGAAAATGTTCACAAAGAAGAAGGGAAACACGACGAAATAAACTATGTAGAAAATTGACATTTCAACCCTGAAATTTGGCAGTGGACCTTTATCCTCCCACGTGGCGGACATTGAGTTTTGCAATATCCTGATAAATAGAAAGTTTATAAATGAGTATCAAACTTTTCAAATTTCTGAATTTATATAAAATTCTCTCTCCTTACGTCGGCCACCCTTCCCCAGTCTGTACCGCAAAAAGGGTCATCATGGATACGAGGACGTTATCATACACAAAGTCTTGCTTATCCCACACCCTTGGCACAAGTTTTGGGGGTCCGTCTCCCCTGCCGATGAAGAATTCTCCATGACAATCCTTTGCATTCATGCGGCTCTCGTCGTTGCAAAACTGAAATCTCCCGTTGAAAAGTTGAACACCAATTACAGCGAAAATAAACTGCAATCAGAAATCCCAGTTAAATTTGTCCTAGGTTTGTAACCAATTTCGGTAACATTTTCTCACCCACCTGAAATAGGAGGTAGACAATGAGAATATTGAACACATTCTTCAAAGAGTTGACAACACAGTCGAACACAGCTTTAAGTTTTGGAACACGTTTTATTGTTTTCAAAGGCCGAAGAACACGGAGGACGCGAAGGGATTTGATTGTATTCAGTTTTGCGCTTAGGTCGCTCGCACCTGCGAGGTCCTCCGGCACTATTTCCCCCTCGCCCACTCTGCCAAACAGAATTTACCTTCAATACCTCACATCCAAAAGTATGTAAATATGTAGTGTTTCGCAAATAAATAAAGTTTTAATTGAGGCAGTGTAAGTAAGTAAGAAGTATTTGAGAAATTGCTCTACAGAAGTGAAATGTTAGCAAAAATTAATCAAATTAATTGCCAATACCGTATGCGAAGCGTAATGAGTAAGTAAATAACACTTAGAATGGTGTGTGCAAATGTGTTATTTCATGTGCAAATGTTATTTTCAATGACACCATGTCGAGAATGTCGAGAAGCCAAATAAAATCATGGAATTAGCAGGTGACTAAAACTACCGTCATTTGAAATTTGCGAGACTTTTGCCATTTTTTTAAAATTTGCGTTCCATATAAGCGACTAAATTCAACATAATAATTTCTATGATAGCTATTTTGAAAGTACAAACTAAGAATAATCTATGAAACTACTGTATGTACTAGAGCTATGAATATATTCTAATTTCTACCGCTTGGAACTCACTTAGGGGGAGTGAAAAAGAATGCGACTATTGCGCAGATGACCTATGGTATAGAAAAGTTGGAAAATCAATTGAATGTAAATCACCAAACCCACTACTACATACAACTACGTATAATTTCCTTACAACGATACTATCTAAAATGTTCCACAGGTCACGGCAGTACGCCCCGGGATGCCAAACTATGCCAAGGTCAATGACCTAAAACATCAAAATTTACCAACTAAGTCTATTACCTACAAACAACATCAACAAGAACATCAACAATTTCAAATTTGTAATTAATTAGCAGTACCAATAACACGACTAAGCACCATGTCATAAATATATTTGTAATATATAAATATGTCACCACACGTTTCTAACCAACCAACTTTGGGAAATTTACATACGTTCAAATCCAAATTAAATCCTTCTTTTCAAATATCCTTCAGCACTTACTTTTAGGAGCATTTCCGCCGCAAAAACTCCTGTAAATGCGTAATCCACAACCTCAAGGAATTGATTGGTTGCTGATTTCTCATCCACGGGATCTTCCGCCGCGAGGGCAATACTGCTCAGGGAGATGACGAACATTATGAATAAGTCGAAGAAACTTAAATTTACGATCCAATGAGCTGCCCTCCTCACTCTATAAATTTCGAGAAAGGTGTAACATTTTTGCAATTTGTTTTACACAATGTTGCAAAAAATACTTACGGATTTGTCGGAGAAAAAATAAACATTGAGGAGTAAGGTAACATTGGTTTTGGCCCCGTAGTTTCCACGACTTCTGCAACATCTTCTAGCTCGGGTGCTAATCCTTGTTGTTTCTGTGACCACGTGATGAATCATTAGAAAGGGAGCTTTCTCTTTTTTCCAATATCTTAATATGCAATACCCTCTCCTCCTCCTCCTTCTCTTCCTCGGCTGCCGTCATTTCCTGCGCATTTGCCAAGTTGTCGACAGCAATGGCGAGGAAAACGTTTAGCAGGGTGTAGTTTCCGAACAATGTGAGGATAATGAAATACAAGCTGTACACCATGCCCCCATTTAGACCACCTTGCGATCTAATCCCGAGGTACATTACTTCGTTCCAATCTTCTCCAGTGAGAATCTTAATTAACATCATAACAATTGATTTATATTTTACACCATCTTTTCCATTTTATTGAGCATAAGGTTGTTTACCTGAAATACTGTCAATAACGAGGTAACAATCGTATCCAAATTAGTTGCTGGTGTCCCATCCACAAAGTTAAAGGCACCACCGAAAAGTTGCTAAAATAATTTTTACATTATTCATCGTTTTAGTTGATTATTTAAATTTATAGTTCATTTATCACGCTATTTTTTCAAAAATTCAACAAAGCTTTACAAAAGATTGATGTAAACCTACCATTCCCAACAAGGCGAAAATTAAGATGAACAAGAAGAGGAGGAACAACAAGGAAATGATGGAGCGCATCGAGGCGAGTAGCGAAATGACCAAGTTTCTCAGCGACCTCCAGTACTTGGTCACTTTGAATATTCGGAGCAATCTGAGCGCCCTCAGGACCGATAGACCGAAAGAAGAGTCGGGTTTGAACTGGGAGTAAACTACTTCGAAAATGGAGCCAGAAATGACCACGGTGTCAAATCGGTTGAACGAGGAGTGAAAATAGGTCCGAACCCCTAACGCGTAAATTTTTACAAACATTTCGAATATAAAAAGACCTAAAAAGCCGAATTCTGCCTTAGCTGGAAAACAGAGCAAAAAATTTTCACATTTAGTAATACAATTTTACATCAATCTAATAATTAAATAAAATTATAAATAACATTTACAATTAAAGTCTGTCAGCCTGAAATAAAAGCAAAGAAAAATTGATTAGTCTCATTCCCCATTCAATAATTTAATTTGGTGCTTTCATTGAAATTTTACCATGTCCAGTTTTCCAATATATAATTTAAACGTACCATTTTGGCTGATTGTAATGCTCCGTTGCGACGCAGGCCGTGTTCAGGAAAACGAGGACGATAACGCTCCAATAAAACCACTGTTTTTTGACCACGTTACGTATCCAGTATCTGAATCTTTTCTCATTCCTCCAAAAAGTCGACGTCGTACTTCTCGATTTTTTGGCAGGTGAGGAGTATACTGGATGGGGACACGTAAAAAATTCATTAACCAATAAAAAATCAATTGTCGATATACACAACGTAAATGACATAAATAATTAAGTACCATCTGCTTCTGCATCTTCGTCGGTATCTGTACTTTTGGCATTCGCTGTCTTCAACTTTTTTCTCTTTGCCTCTAATCGCATCCTCTTTTTAAGAATTCTCTGCTTATCGGCGTCAGAGGTTCGTTCTTCATTCAAGATGACTTCCTCCGCTATTCATAAAAAATAACAATTAATTTTTACACGATAACGGATTAAACAGCGTAAATGAAAGCATCACCAACCGCGACATATCCATTCAAGGAAACCATTCAGTTCTTTCTCCATTTGGGTTTGGCGTCTCAGCTTTAGAAATGTTTGGCGATGTTCGACGCGTTCCCTTTCTTTGGCAAATTCCCTGATGATAAGGCAAAATATGAAACCACTTTCTCCGCTTTCACCACAACGGAAAATGTGCAACAACTCACCCGGAAAGTACTCCGAGAACTAGATTGAGCATGAAGAAAGACCCAATTATGATCAGAGGCACAAAGTAAATCCAGTTGTAGCTACTCCCCACGGCATCATCCGTCTGAAAATAAAATCAACTTAATTTATACCCTAATTTTTTTAAAGATGGTCAAAATTGGTCACCTACCCAGTACAAAATCGTTGTCCAACCCTCCATCGTAATGCACTGGAAATTAGTAATAGTATTTAATTACAATAGTTAAGTACTGGCACATATTTACATATTTACCTGGAACACGGTGAGCATGGCGAAGCCAATATTGTCGAAAGATGTAATACCATAGTTAGGCCCGATCCATTGATCCAGACATATCCTTAAATTGTTAAAATTAGTTAGAATTAATTAAAAATGTAACATTCTTGGTTGAAATATTACATAAATTTATACTAATGTACATTAAAAGACATTAAATTAAGTTGTCTTACGAGTTGTCCGTCTCACACGGGTAGCTGCCGGTTGGAGCTCCCCCGGATAAATTGGACACGCACGGGGTCGCAAACCCCCCGTCCAGCACGATCTCATCCAGGTCGTAGAGACTGTAACACGTCCTATGAAACTCGCCGCAGTAGAATTCTAACCCTATAATGGCAAATATGATGATTGCGAAGAAAACGAGGAGCCCAATTTGGAAGAGGGGTGCCATCGCTTTCACTATTGATTTCATGACCACCTGCAAACCTGGACAAAGTGGTGAAAGTTAAACACCTGAAAATAATTGTGGCAAATAAATGATTGCATAATCACGTACTAGGAACTCTTGAAACCAACTTGAGAGGTCTGAGGACTCTTATTGCTCTCAAATTCTTTAAATTTATTCCTCCTTCCTCCCCGGATGCGAATATCGTGATAAAACCAGAAACCACGACCTGTTGAAATTCCCATAAATTATGAAATACCTACATTACTCAGAACAAAAAACTCGTATTTGTCACGTGCCACAAAGTCCATTATGTTCCAGATATTGCGCAAGTACGCGCCGGGATGAAGAATAAAACCTAACGCTAATATTTTGAGGGACGCTTCTGCACAAAAAATCCCGAGAAAGTAGTCCTCAGTTTTTTCCTAAATAAAAAATTCAAACCATTTGATTTCCAATATTGTTTTATTGATTAGAGTAAAAAAAATGTACATGTACAACTCACCAACTGAAGTGAAAGCAGCGTCCTATCCTTCTCTGGTAAATGCTCCTCGCACGACAGCACGACACAATTGGCTAGAATCGTGACCAACACGGCATACTCGAAAGGGGGCTGGAAATAAATACATAAATTCGATAAGTCTCTTCTCCTTTGTTTTTGACCCATTAATAATTTTTCAGAACACGTGCCCATCTTTTTTCTTACTCACCCATTCTATAATGAACCTCGTGATTTGTCTCAATTTGGTATTTTCCGTCAAGACGAAGAGGGAGGAGGGCAGTGGGGCGTCCGGGTCTTGTCCTTTCTTCTTTTTCTTCGCCCCCATCCCTCCCAATCGCCACTAGCACCAACACGAAGCGAGGAGGATCCACACCACTCACTCACCCACCCAAAGTCTGTCGCAGGCCTGGTAAAAATTACTGAAATTCGAAAGAGAAAGTGAAAGTGGAGGAATGTCAAACTACTTATTTTGTTATTTTCTCAATTCACCAACCACCACCTCGTGCTCTACGAGTACCACCACCACCATCATCACCACCACCACACTACTGCTTTCTCCTACCCGACCCGGATCCTCTTTCTCCCATCCCATCCCATTTCACCGCACCACACAACATACCAGCTCGTCGCCTGCCTAATAGCGACTGACTAGACAGTATAGCTGCTGGGTGACAGTCAGTCGGTAGTGCAGGTATGTCGAGTATGGGACTCTCTGGGTAGGAGAAAGCAGAGGAGAAAGGGTGCGTGAGAGTCAGTGCGGATGCAGAGGCAGTCAGGCAAGCGAGGCAGAAACACATGGGGCAGAATTGATCGATAAATCCGCAGTGGACTCCAACACCACTAAGACTCTGCCACACCATAGCACGACAACCACCACTCGTCCCACCACCACCACGGCTACACTTGCTTTCTCTCTCGAGAGAAAAAGATATCCACCAAAAATGTATGGATGGACAGAACCAGGATATGACTCAACTTGCAAATAATACAAATATCAAACTGGGATGACTTCTTAACTTACTTTTTACAAGTTCATCTCTCTCTTTCTCTATTTCCTCTCCAGTTAATTAGGAACGAGTCGTTTAAAAGAAGTCAGGTAAAAAATGGCAGGTTATTCGTTTTCTTCCTGAATTTCATGACAGATAAGAAAAAGAGAAGAAGAAGAAGCAGATGTACGAAATGTGTATGACGAGCGTTCTAGTCGTGGGGCAACTTATTGCTTACGTGTTGAATTGAGCTTTACTAATTTACATGTTTATATGGCAATGAAATGCAAAAGAGTAATTATTGTTGAACAGTTGAACAAATAGAGTTGAGCAAATGTGTCTTTTTTTAACTTTCACCAGTTCACTTTCACCCGGACACACACTACACACACACTACTCGGGTTCGGGTCTGGCCCGTTTGCTTCATTGCGAAAATGAGGGGAAAGGAGATAGGAGGAGGAAGTGGGGAAAGTTCACGTTCTCGGATTCCCTGCTGCCTTAACTTTCTCTCTCTCTCTTTTTCGCTCTCTTCATTTCCTTAGTGTGATATTTTGAGTTAAAAAAGTGGGGAGAAAATGGGTCAGAAGAGAATCTCGCATGTTTAGATATTGCGGAGTGGATTGCATGCAAATCTGACGATTCTGGAAGGCAGGGTTGCTCGCCTTAATCGTGCAGGAGGGTTTTTTACTTGATATTTTTTGCATGCATTCGAGTCATCATCACCCATTTTTGGCTAAATCTATACACTCTGGGCAAAATGGGTGCATATATTTAATAGCAAGGCTGACATTTAATATGGGCTCTATTTCAGCCTTTCTTTACGTGGTTGTGAAGGATTGCGTGGAAGGTTTAATGGAGCAATATTTATACGTGCATATATATATATATATATATATATATATTGGGCATTTATATATTGATATGTATGTATTCATGCAAGCACGATATGCACATATGTACATACATACGTAAGTATATGTCATGTATTTACTGATAGATATATGCACACATATTTATATGTAGAAGAAATTTATCTGATAATCAAGTCAATAATGTTCTCAGCACAGGACCAAGCGTATTTATGAAGTATTTGTTGATAATTAAGATGTAATAGTGACAACGGAGGCAAGATCAATGTTTTATTTCATAGAGACATGTACATAAATGTGTAGATTAGTTAATTTGTTTCATTTTGTCCGATTCGATTTTAGCTGGAGGTTGGTGAATACGTGAATAAACATGTTTATTTAAATATTGACTGTCTGACCGACTGTCTACATATATTTGTGCATATACATATATACAAAGACACTCAGCAGACAAAAATCGAGCAAAGAAGTCGGAACTGCATATGTATGTATATATGCATCTACATATTGATATAGAACTACCTACCGTAGTTATAGATAGGTCAATATCTCTCTGGAGTCCAGACACAGCTCGTCGAATTCGTCACATTGTGATAACGTTTAAATGCTACATTTCTGGACGAAAATTGTCACACGCAACTCTTTTCACATTCCCCTACCTTGATCAATAGTCAACCCAATAATCTATGGAAAAACGTGAAATCATCTCCAATTCAGTGGAATTGAAGGGTCATCTACAACGATACATCTAAAAGTATTGATCTTGTTAATCGACTAGTTTCCTGGTGTAATGCTTATGAATAAAGGGTTATCATACTACTAACACACCTCTTACATTTTGCAAACAATTGTTGTATCGACTTGATTTTTTTCTTTGCATACTTATTTGGAAATGCAGGAATATTTATGTCTGGTCTCTGGTTTCTCGTTGGTCCTATGAGATCAACTTTCCTTGCCGTACTCATACATGCATGTACATATGTATATACATAATAAAATATTGAATTAAAACTAATTTTCAATTGGCAACATCAATATTGTGCAGCAACAATTGCAACATAATTCCCGACACTCTGCATAAGTCTTGCGATGTTTGCCGTAATTAGTAGTACTTTTCACCCGCTGCAGCGGATAACAAATCTCTTCAGTATGATGAAGGGACGGTTTATCCAAATATTCGAGGACTAAATACATAAATACTATTTGAATTATGGATCCCCATATTGCCAGCGTCAGATAAGAATAGCTGGCGATTGATGAACTGTCCGTCATGCTCAGGGTAGTGGTGAATAGTGTCAAGATTAGTCCACCTAGGGCTTCCCACAAGACGGGACAAGACAAGATTATACGTCTTGTCTCGTCTTGTTCCAGTCTGCGGGACGAAATATCAAGACAAGAAGGGACGACAAGCTGTCCCGTCTTGTCTTGCGTCCCGTCTTGCCCGTCCCGTTCAAGACGGGACAACACGGGACGCACATGTTTTAAATGGGTTGAATTTTAAATCCATTCACAAAATTCAAGTTCGCTTCATGATACAAATTGTTCTAACTAATTACAGAATAATTTAACCAAGGTTTCGACTGGTAAAAATCACATTCCACAGGGGAGTGGAAAAAAGACATTTGCTATCCCTAAAACGGAAAATCTCTGTTTTGGTTTGATCGAAAACTGCTTGTTTGGAAATTTATGTTCTCAAGACTTGACTTCATGTTCGTATTGTACACAAAATTTTTACTTCTAAATTCTACAGATTTATATTACATGATAACGGATTAGATAACGCTATCCAAAAAATATTCGATGATTCGTTTCGACCGAATTTTCAATTTAAGGGAATTACAATTTCACTCAAGTTATATTTTACTGAACAAATGCCACCGTTGTGCTAAGCTTCAAATTCAATTTTAATGAATTCCGAGACGAAAGTATCATATTTAAATTGTCGCAAGACGTCCCGTCTTGCCGAGACAAGACAGGACAAGACGTTGTTTGTCCCGTCCCGTGTCCCGTCTTGCTTGCCAAAATGCGGGACGCAAATTTCCGTCTTGTCCCGTCTTGTTATCCCGTCTTGTCAAGACAAGACAAGACTGTCCCGTCTTGTGGGAAGCCCTAAGTCCACCAGATATCATTGTCGACAAAATTATGAAAGATATTGCCATATATCCGAATTTAGTGCGTCTCTATGCACAAAAGAGAAAGTTATTACGTAGGCGTCAAGTTGTTTTACTTTATGTTTTACAAGAAAGAAATACACACCTTCTCGTTGTCAACGCTTTTACATGACAGAAGTGTAAAGATTCCAGAGGCAAGCGACAGCATAATTATTGCAATTCCAAATCCCGTACAAAATGAGCGTGCCTTTTTACTTTGTATTGTAGGAGATTCTTCTTGTTTTTCTTGTACTTCTTCCATTAGGATTAGTTTTTCAACTGCCAGCAAAATTGACAAACTCATGGCAACCACCTTTGTTATGAAATGGTACAATCAGAGTGAAACATAAAACTACATTGAAAAACGTGAATTTTACCGTACGACATTTATAATTCCGACCTTTGTGGCCCTGTTTCTTGGAATATTGTAATAATCACACATTATTTTTCTAGCTTTTCAGCACACGTTAATTTAAGTTTCTTCTTTTTTAGCCGCGATAAATATGTAAGAAGGTCCAAATAATACGGCTAAGAAATTCTGACTAATGTGCACATGAGTAGAGTACCAATTTATTTTACCACAAATAATCTTGAATCTGTATCTACGTATACCCATATGTACGCAAGTTAATGATTCATTTGGACAAAACAACGTGTCAACGCATATATTACCTGGATAAAATATTATGGATTATTAGTATGTATATTATTAAATATTAATATGTGTAGAAGGCATTTAAGATGCAGAGGACAATGATCTCACCTGATGTTATAATTATTTGTAGTTAGTGCGTTGGGAAATATTTAAACACGTATTTACATATTGTAAACAGATTCGATGCGCAAGTCTTAAAAATGCTATATGCAGATATTTCATTTAAATATATATATAATAATAATTAAATATTAATTCGTGCTCTTAGTTATCATTGCAATTCCAAAATAATTATTTTATTTATCATGAAGTTATAGGTACATAATCTATTCATGTGGACATAAGACAGTAGCTTTGCTTGTAAACTTGATGAATTTCAATCTGAAAAGTAATTACTCAATTTCTCCAAACTTTGACTTATTTGATGCAACAAATAATGAAATATTAAGGTTGAAACTGATGTCGCAATAGTTGTTGCAATTTACATACATCATCTTGGATTGCATCTCATTCCTTGTCCATCATATGAACAAAGTAATCTTGCAGTGCAAATCAACCTTGAGTTTTACATAGAAAGATCATGCACATATCCAAAACTTCAACTTCAATAATATGTATTGCTGATTAACGTTATTTTATCATGCAGGCACTACTTTTGTTAAATGTAAAATGATGTATTTATGAAATTGTTTTATGTATTTTGGTAAATTGTTGAATATGCGTCTAAGATTACCCCGTGACGTGGTGGTGGTTGCCATGGTGACGTCAGGGTGGGATTTTGAGTGCGCGTCGTCCTTTGTTATAAGTCGTAGTAAGTAAGTAGGTAGAAGAAATCTACACAGTCGAGTTTTAGTCGTTGTCAAAGTCAGACATTTTGGATTTTAGTCGTCGTGGTAGGAAATCAAGAGTAAGAATTGTTAATTCTTTGTTATTGATGTCCACGATTAATTTGTCGTTGTAGTAGTCACCAATCAACTCGTGTTAGTGCAGAGCTCTGAATTGTGTTGACAATTAGTAATTTGTTGGAAATAAAATCTAGTTTAAGTAGATAAAATAATCGTATATTCACTCAGTCACTTTCTTTAATTCCAACGAGCAAAGCACAATTAAATATTCGTAAAGACACTATACTCCGGGTAGGTGATAGCTTGGTTTTTACAACTTTTGCAATAAGAAGTGTAATTATTAAGTTTCATTGATAAAAATAAAGTTTATGTGTACAGCTTCGTATAGCCCGAGCCAGGTTTAAATTAAGTCGTTTTCAATTCTCTTCATGTCAGATAATTAAGTGCATTGCTCATTAAGCAAGCTATAAAATTCTCGTCCTCTTTGGTAGACGATTTTAATACCGATGACACACTTGTCAGCTGTCCAAAATCTCAACTTGTTCCAATTCTTTTAAAAATTGGAGGGTGTTACTTCCAGGTACACAATTTCCTGAAATTTGTGTAGGTATGTCATATTCCTGGATGTTATACATAATACATTTTCCCGTTAACACCAAATATTTATCTATCGGATGAAATAATCAAAAGCAGGTCAAAAGAAAAAACTTGTTGAATCCCTCGAACAAAAACATTCCCGAGTTTGAATTCATCTTCTTTGACACGATTTTCACATTAACGCAGTGTTTCAAATTTATAGGCCAACTTAAGTATGTATAAAATTTGCTACTATTTACACCCACCGCAAAAATGACCTCACCATTCAACTATTCAACCGATCTTCGAAACGGCGATCGAGATGTGCACTTTAAAACTAAGGAAGTTTGTCACAATCGACGTGTCTTACGCAGACTTACGGTTAAATGCATAAGCCCCTTCTCGGGCTAAAAAAATAGGTTAATTTCACAATGACGCATACAAAACGTGGTTCAAGTGCAAGAGTGTAAGGCCAAGTTCATTGCTGTGATTATGTATCATACAATTTATTATTTTCTTGTTGCAAACATAAACCATGCATTTCAAACACATCATTTACTAACTAGCCTCATACATGCAATGTCGACTCTAAATAAAAGAATAAAATTGGATCTGCTTAAATCAAAGATTTCAGGTATTTATCTGTATATTTCTTTTATATTTAAGTTCTGACTTATACATAATTCTCGTCAGGTATGTCAGTATTGTAAATTGCAGATTTATGTATTTACTAAATAGAACATGAGAAGCTTCAAAAGTTCGAAGATATTTTGGATAATGCTGTTTTGGACGGATTTCTTCGTGGGAAGAGATACAATGTCGAAGCGACGTTGAAATCTGTGCGTGAAAATACTTATATATGTTTTAAAAATTTAAATTTATAATTACATATGTACATAAATACATACATCCAACGGGTGCACATCAAGGAAGTGCCATCCTCCCAAGGAGTCATAAGCTTTCTTTTGTTCGAGTCTTTGACTTGCTGAGAACCTATTTAATTTCATGCCAATTCTCCTTGCCAATCTTGCATTGCTGTTTTTAAGTTTATGAATTGAAATCTCTGATTTATGAAGCCCAAAAAATAGTATTATTTGACCTACAAGACATACAGACCGAAAAATAAAGATTTTTTTGCAGAATGATTTTCGAAAGATAATGATGTCATCACTTCAAGCATTTCGATAATCTCACAATATCATTAGGAATATTAATTTACGAAAGTTTTTTTTCTCAGCTGGAATACTTTATGTACGTGAGGACACAAAAGTACAAAGCATTTACTCAAAAATATCTCAACCCATTATCCTCAACATTTTTGAATGTCGGTAAATTCAAAATATTGAAAGGTAAAGATGCCCAAGGAAGACGAGTGGGTGTCGACCGTTTTAGTAAGTGTCTAAGCTATAACTGTCTAAGGGTAGCATCATAAGGGGAAAAAGTCAAATAGTTACAATTTGCATATTTGTTGAATGAAATAGTTTGAACATACAATTTTAAATCTAAATTAATCCTCAGACTTGTGGGACACGAGGAAATATTCTGTAGACGAAGTCATGGCTGAAATTGTCATGGTCGTCGATGAAGCCATCCGATCCTATTTGGTGGATTCGGATAGGAATGACGTTGTTCTAATATTTGATTGTGAGGGTATATCTTTCGACAAGGCAAGACATGGGACGCCAACACGTGTTTTTCAAGCACTGGATTTATTCATGGTATGAAAATCACATTAATGTACTCAATTTGTGTTCATAAGTTGGATCACCTCTTGGTTACAGAATAGTGTCCCTATTCGTCCGGCAGGTCTCCATCTCATTAATGTGGGGCATTTTGTCTATTTCTTGATTCGCATTTTTAAGCGATTTATGAAAGAGAAGATTAGTAACAGGGTAGGATTTTAATGGAAATTTAAATATGGGGAAATCATTAAATAAGGTTCATTTTACTGTTATTACTTATAGATTCAAGTCCACGCAACCCTTGACTCCCTTCATGAACATGTGCCCAAGCTAATTCTTCCGAGATCACTTGGTGGTGAGCTGGATAACGAGTACGCCTTCGAGACAGAGCTTGTTTCAAGGATTAGGAACAATTCGGAGTTTTACAAGAGAATTGCGGATTATTAAATTTATTTTGTAGCAAATAATATACTAAACCCAAGTTATGCGGTAGAAATAAATAAATTGTTTGTACTCATCGTGCATATGTACCTCAAGCATATCAACTCATATAATATGCATAATCAATTATAACTCGTCAACCAAATGTAGTAATTGCATGATAATTTATTTTGTCTATCAATCTAATCCAATTTATAATCCGAATATTTTAAACAGCCAAGTTAGTTGATATGGGCCTGAACCCTGACGCAAATTTCGATGATACCACTGGCCTCGTTGGAGATCTCTGCGTCGACTGGCACAGTGTTACCCTTGAGGCCGTCGCTCGGGGTAATTGTAAACCTAATCGTGTAAAGATTTCCTGGCTGGACGGACGAGTTGTCGAGGACGGTGTCGATGATTGAGATCGGGAATCCCAGGTAGGTCGCGGTCACCTTGAGTCGCAACGCTGGTGCAGCCGAGGATGGAATCAGGTCACCCTCACTGGGATAGGGCGTACCTAATGTTTTGCAAAATAATGTGTGGATTAGTTACGTAATTTAAATTCGGAATAAAGCTGAAATTAATAATCTGACCTGGGTTCATGTAGGCAATTGCACCTTCACAGTTTTGAATCCTCATCTCGAGAAAGGTCCCAACTCCCCCTGGACAATAAGCATATAATTTTTAAAAATACACACATAATTTAGAAGAAGTGCTTGCTTACCGCATCGGGTATGGTCAACCACGCCGGCGGAGGCGACAGCAATGCACACGGCCAAAATCATGAAAATCTTCATGGTTGTTTTTTTGCAAGCCTTTTCGAGAATGAGATGAATTTGAAGTGAAAGCAGCTAATGAATCTGCATCTCCGACAAGAAAGCTTTTTATACTCGGTTGTGCATCGGACTTTTCGACCTTATCGTCATACATGTTTGCTTTTTGGAGGATGGGTTTAAAACCTTAATTGCAGGATTATGGAATTATCTCAACTCAACTATAATGCAGGAGCCGAATGGGAGTTTTTGTTGCAAAATAAGGTTTGCATTTGATCACAAGTGGTTTTATGATTTATCAACCTGGATCCATTTCATTTTTTCGAATACAAGGTTTCGTTATTGTAGTGAAAAGCAATTAAACAATTGTACTTTGTTCAATTTGTAATCTTAGTTTATTTATTACAAACAGACATTAAACATTTGCCGGCAATTCCGTGAAAGTACATAAGTGCAAGTGCATTATCGTAAACATAATAAATATGTACATACGTAAGCAAGGCAAAATTTCACCACTGAAATTTCTTGCATTTTAGTATGTATGAAAAATAAAATGCACACCTCCATTGGGAATTCCAGTGGGATTAACGAGTGTGAACTTTGGTTAATTATAGTTGGACTTTGTTAGTCTGGATATTTATGTATGACTAAACATGATTGCCACTTGGGACTGTCAACTTTTTCTGATTCATGTTTTAATTAACGAAGTATGTATGGACTAAAAACATACGCATTTTAATTGAATAAAGAAGGGCGAGATTGAGTTAAATTGATAAATCTTATGGTCCCCGTCAGTATTTGGATAATTGTCAAGCCATACCAATTTTTAAAGAATTACGTGTCAATAAGTCATACATATGTACCTCTGAGAAGTAAGGTCTAGGAGTGCAAATAAATTTAGGTCGATCTAGTATATTTGGTAGATATTTATTTGTAGTTCTTGGAATACGTGATTTCCCATCAATCAATTTGACAAAAGTCCTCCACGAGTGAGTTTTACAAGATACTACTTATATGATGACATTATAAGTCCTGGACTAACATTTACATACGTTGTCAAGTGCTTAGAAAATAAACAAGTTGCAATGCATGCATAAATACATTTGTGTTTTGCACCTAAATACATATGGCATCTTACGTGTCACTATGAACGTATGTTCTATTATGACAACCAGGGTCCTTTAACTGTTTCCTTGGAGGATTTCTAGACAGGGTCATGTCAGTTCAAAAATTCTCCAAATTTTTTTTTTACATATTTTAAAGTTTGGGAATATGCGCTATTTTTGCTGGGAGAGTTTGGTTGTCAAGAAAAATTTAATATTCTATAAACCGTCGTAAAATGATAACGATTTAATTTAATTGCAAATTAAAATAATTATAAAATAATTGAACTAGGATCAGTATCAAAAACGGTACGTAAAAATTTTTCGCATGCATTTATGACGTTTTATAGAATATTTTATTTTTCTTGACAACCAAGTTCTCCCAGCAAAAATAGTCCATATTCTCAAACATTAAAATCTACAAAAAAAATTTTGGAGAATTTTTGAACTGACATGACCCTGTCTAGAAATCCTCCAAGGAAACAGTCAAAGGACCCTGATGACAACAATTTGGAAAAAGTTTTATTTTTGCTAAATAAGTACGTATAATTGATACATCAATACAAATTAGTGCCGCTTAATTCTTTTATGTGCCTGTTTGACCTTCCCCTTGAATTTCATCATATTTGTATTCTACATATTTACTTGTGTTTATATTGGTACATACAAATGCGTATATATGGGTACATACATATATAGCTATCGCTTTATTTAAGTAAATTATCCAACTTTACTTTCTACTTTGCATAAATAGGTATTAGAGTTAAGTTATTACATTACTGCATGCATGAATACTTATTGAATCAAGGCCTGCTTACGTATGTATGTGAATACTTAAGTATACATATGTACATTACTTTCACTAAAAATGTGATCATGTACTGTTCCGAATATTCATGATGTTCTGCTACTTATAAGTTCATTAAAATAATTGTACCTCAAGCTACCCAGAAAACGTCATCGCATTCTATCAGAACTGCAGTTCTGAAATGTCAACTATTTGTATTCCCTCTTTAAAAATACTTTTCGAGTTTAAAAATAAACATTACAGAGCAAAATTCTTCCCCAACTTATGAATTCCTTCATGTCAGCTTGACAGCTCAACAGGATGTCAATATCTCCACTGCTCTTCAAAGCTCTACGAAATTTGGAAACTCTAAATTCTTGGCAAACTCAAATTCCCATTCAGTGGAAGAATAAGAAGAAGCAATTCACATGGAACGATTCCTGGAAGGATGTCACCCCGTGGTACGTCTCCTTCTTTCTTCTCGTCATTTTACACACATTTTTCGGCTCCCTTGGAATCATCGGCTATATGCGAATGGTTCCTCAAACGGATAAATTTGCCCTGGTGGTTAGACTCCGTTGCATGTACTCGGTCCTTGGATCCTTCCTTGGAATTATTATCGCCATCGTGATCTGTTTTGATGGGAAAGACTACATAGAGTTTATTAACAGGATTATTACCTTTGATCAGCATGCGACAGCAGGTAAAAAAAATGCTACATGATTCACAGTTTTTGTATTTTTTAAATTTCTATAATTTTGAAAGTTGCTCAGAATATCAATCTGCATTTCAGAACTTCGTCGCCTCGAGGTCAAACCGGTCGAGAAATTCGACCCATTCGCCAACGCCATGTACCTCGTGGTACTCCTTCTTTCGATTATCCCTCCCGTCTACTGCATCCCTCCAGTCATCCACGGTCATACCGTCCTTCAGTACATCGTCCATCAAATTTATCCCAACTTCATGAAGAAAATCGGCTTCAGGTTGATGATCAAGATAGTCAATTATTTCGTAATGCTGGTCTCCGTCACGGAAATCTTTCGCCTTATTCCGCTCATGTTCTTGAGCCTGAGTTTACCAGTAATCACAGCACGAAATGAACTCGAGAGTATGGACAGGTATGGAAAAATGGTCATAAAAATCAGACGCCTTGAACTTCACGGGAGTAAAGTCATTCCCCACTTCTGCGCCATGCTAGGCATTTATTGTCAGGGGTACATTTTAATCTCAATCCGACGCCAAATCTCGGCAGGGCACGATTTTATCGTGTTTGTCGTCAGTATCACGCTCTCCGTGGTGGCAAATTACTTTACCATCGTCCTTTACCCAATCGTACCGCAGAATGTGTACCCCGCCTTTCCCACCGTTGCGGTTTCGACAATTACGGTGCTACACTTGCTAATTTCCATAGCGGTGGACGTAGTAGTTAAAGCTAAAGAGTTTACGGTCGAGTGGGGTAAACTGGTACCGGTACGAAATCGATATCTCGCTAAGAAGTTCAGGGCCTTGAGGCCGTTTCAGATAGTATTTGGAGTCTACGATTTTCCCCTTGTGGTTTTTAGTAGGTCATTAAAAATCAAGACTTATCAGACCATTTGGGATTACACGATTAATACGGCACTGACATGGCCGCTGTCTCTGTTCCAAAAGTGAATGTGATCCTGACCACAAATTGCAACTTAATCAAGAACATTGGTCTTGAGACGATGGGGGTACCACTTACATATACGTACATACGTATGTACGTACAAATGTACGTGTTACCTTGGTCTTGTTAGTGTTTACCGACATTTCCACCTAACTTGTCCCAAATTATGTCAAAATGTTTGCTGGTCGTGTGGATTCCTATCACGGAAGCGAGCGACTGCGTAAATGACATTTCCTGAAATTGGGCTCTTGTATACCCGGATTGCTTTCATTCTTCCTATCCGATCATACCCTTGAGTGACAGAACCAATTAATATCAATGAAACCGTAAAAGTAGAAAGAGCAAACGAGAAACATCAACTTAGGAATTGTAACCAAGAAGAGAAAGTTAGTAAATTACGGCTGAATTGTATTCTTTGAGCCAACATTTTTTATCAAAATGTCACAGCTACCGTAAAAATGGACATATATTGCCTTTAATAAATAAATTGATCTTATCGACTTTAATCATTTTATTTGTATTTCTAATTCTAAACCTTAATTTGGCTTCATTCTTTATCACAGAAGTGATAAAGATATGCTTGTCATACCGATGCATGTTAAAATTTACGCAACAATGTATGAGTTACATAAATACATTAGTGTACCTAAATATGTGTATTTACATTACATTCTATCCGTTCATCTCAAAAATCCGTTGCATGTGTATGTACTGCACGTAGGTATTTATATACTATTACGAAAATTGTTTGTGTTAACCTTTTATAAATAGGTTGTAGAAACAAAGAACCCGACGAAAAGTTTTCTCCAGAGCGCAATTTGTATTACATTGTGTCCTCCTTGACCATGATGTGATTTATTATCTAACCATCGCGAAGTGAAAGCGTTCAAACCTAGACGACGGAATTCGGAATCCGTTTACGCTTCATTATTTTCATGTGTCTTCAAGCAGAGATGCCAATTTCGCGTGTTTGTGTAACACTGATTGCCATAACGACGAACCCCTTCTATCCGGTTTCTCACACAGATCCACTTGGCTTTACGACGTGATCTGACATAATAAGTCTCTTCCAGACCAGGTACACACGGCCTTGTTTGCCAGCAGCACTTTTTCATTACATCTCAGCCAACCAACTTATTTAACTTAATTGATATTAAGTGAAAGCACATCCAGCATCCTTCGAGACGGAACCCTTGCCCTGATCTGAGCATTATAATCTCGTTTTATGCATGTGCAACAGTTTTCAAAGTCTCAGTATACGATCGGCACTCCAACGCGGAGCATCTCTGCAGTCGCTCCTCCCAATAAAAAAATCACGACACAGTAGAAAATCATTATGGTTTGTGCAACCATAAATCAAACACTAAGCTCCAACGAGGCGGAGTTTAACGACAGCTTAATTAGTCCGTCGGCGGATGACCTTATTTTGAATAGATACATGGACGTCGTCGTTGTGACCGTGTTAGGGTTGTCGTTCATTTTTGCAGAAACTTGTGCATTCCTTGTCGTCCTGAAACGTAAAAAGATCCGGTATGTAATATTTTAATAAGAATTTCACTGATTAGCCCGAGTCAGGGATTATGGAACCGGTCTGTGTGTCTGTGTGTCTGCGACACGCTAGCGGACTAACCACTGAACCGATTTTGACTAACTTGATGTTAAAATTTGTATCTTAAACAAGGCCTTGGATAAGTTCGAAGATGGGCAAGATCGGTGAAGTAGTTGCCCAGTTGGGACCATTTAGGTATAGGTGGGTGGGGTAATATGCATCAAAATTTCAAAATAGTGTTAGAAAGCTCAAATTTGACACACAAGTTACTAATGGTTTGTAATGAAAGTTTCCGTGGTGACATTGGGAAAATTTTAAACCAGAGGGAAAATTAGTTAAAAAAGTTAAAGTGTAACCAGTTTGACCCAAGAGGTTGAATCATACCGTTTTTTAAAAGGTGCAATTTTTAGCTGAACTTTGGTATGAAGGCTAAAACTCACTTCTAGGTAGCAAAATCATCAAATATATACATACAACTTTGAAAGTTCAATATTTGAAAGGAACTGGCCCTGACATTCAAGGGAAAGGATTTGTAAATACTTCAAAAAATTTTGTGTCAAATACATGAAAATGTTTAGAAAAAATTCAATACGGGGGCGGTATATAATCTAGTCAAATCAGAAAAACATTTAGAAGCGGCCACTGTCCTTGACTCGGGCTAAATGAAGGCTCTGCCTTGTATCTTTTTAATTTATCCCTTAATTAAAATAATTTTAAACAGCAACTCTATTTCAGTCAAGTAATTAGTCCATCTTCCTTCTTCAATTTGCATGCTTCTCTCCTCTTCGTCGTTCTGAGCCCGACTCTTCGTCTAATGAGACAACTTCACATCATTCCATGCAATCCTGGTGAATGGAGCTGTGGTGTTTGTGGTGTTGGGATTCGTAAGTTTTAAGAGAGATTTGTCTTATACATAATTTATACATCGTATATGTAACAGACAGCACCAAAAATATAAAACTACGCTAAATAATAAATGCGCACCGAATATTAACTTTTAAGGAACTCTTGTCTCAATTTATCCATTCTGCATGGTCGTAATCTTCTCTGAGCTGACAAAGTCGAGAGAAAGCAAGTCTCTTCCGTGCTGCTTTCTCCTCTTTATTCCATGGGTAATGGCCATTCTCGTCTCACTCCCGGTATTTTGGACATACGTCTACATTCAGGAGCAACCTGGATTGCAGAACGGTGGGACATGTGCCAGGGTAAGAATACCGCACTTATGCATAATCGCGGTATTAATCTTGTTTTTCCAATCACTTAAATGTCAGACAAGTGTCAAATTGTGATCTCCCAAAATTTCCAGATCATCCTCCTGGGTTCTCCCCTGGCGTATTACGGATATGAGTCAATTTCCGTGTTTCTGAGATTTGTGGCACCGTCGTCTTACATGATTTACGGTTAGTGCGTGCATGCCTATGTACATACGTATGCCACCTGATACAATATGCATGTTCAATAAATATGTATGATTTAACTTAAACCTCAGCAATGCGTCGAATTGGATTTTGACTGGAATTTCTATTCATCTTTAAGGTTAGTTGAGTCTGATTAAATTCATGCTTTCAAAGGTGGATCAAAACTTGTACGTTTTTAATTACCTTTCCAGCCAATACCTGCCAATATTCCGATAAATCAGATTCGTCGCGTCCGCTTTGTGTTTTATCACATGATCTTTTTTATAATCACCTGGGTCCCCGTGGGGACTTTCAACCTGAGTCACGTACTCACCCACCTGCCATCCTTTTGCCCAGTTGTGGAAAAGCCGGATAAAATTGTGGGCATCTCTTTCAGCGTCATGTTCCTCCTACAGACAATTTTTCAACCTTTTCTCTACTTCATTACTGTGTATGACACTCCGTTATCGGATTATTTTCAGAGCATTATGTCCGCTCTGTTCTCAGAAGAGATGGCAGGCGAGTGAAACGTGCGTTCCTATCAAGTACAATTTCCTTTAAGGACATTGAAATATAAAGGGTTTTAGAGACTTACATGAATATGCAATTAGCTTAAAATGATTCTACCGTATTCCTAAGTATTGAATTGATATCAATTTGTCAAGCATGAATTAAAAACCATTTACGATTTGTACCCAATAAAGCAGAATCAACATTTGAGAAATTTCCAAATTCCACAAGTAGGATTAATTTCTGAGCTTTGTCAAGCATTGCCGCAAGTATTTATCTATTTATAAGTGCATACCTGGCATTTTATTCCACGTTTAAGTATGTATGTGCATCCTGCTACCCACGTATTTCTCGTCGACAAGTAAATTTAAAGGGAGAGGACAATGACTAATTCTAATTTCGGGAAACGTGACGTTTCAAGGAAGAAAGGAAATAATCCGATTAAGTTCCACTTACATAAGTTTGTTAAATATCTGTTGTGTGGGATGATATCTTGAAACGGAAGCTACTTTGCAGCTAAATTTGAAGTTAAGTTTAAACTTAAGAGATGCTAAAGACTTATGTATCCCATATATTTAATTGGTCGAATTTATCCATTCGACTATGAAATTAGACTTATTGATCTTATCCAGAGTGACTTTCTTTACCCTTACTATGAGAAGCAAGTTTATTTCTGACACAATATTGAACTAAATATTTATAATGGTTTATATATTCAATGAATATTTTCTAGAAATCAAATACGTAAATCCCGAATAATGCCAAAAATTGTTACCCAGCCGGGAATCGAACCACGGCTCCCTTGAATTCATGTCAAGTGCTCTGACCTCTGAGCTACTAGGGCAATTAGTAACATTATAGGGACTTTTTACTGATATTTGTCTGTGGCCTTTTTGAATATATTAATGAATATTTTCTAATTGATAAGTAAATGCTAGTCATCGCATTTTAGTGTTTATCGATTGCACATACTTTTATTCATGTAGTCTACGCTCAAAACAGAAACCTTATAATAGTGAATCGTAAACGAATTTCCAACATATACAAATAAGCATAATAAAATTACCTAAATTAATTATCCATGGAAGAAAATAAATATGCATGCTGGTTGCTTATCAGTTTTTATACTAAATCAGGGTTGCACCAACCAGGCAATGTTTGCATAAAACGAAAACTGGGTAACGCCTGAATAGGGGATGGAGACGTAAAAAGTGGTTTTACATTTTAGATTTTTTACCAACTTTAATAGAGAAGGCTAGTCAGTCTCATGCTATTATTCTACAGATCCGACTATATTAAAAGATAAGGACAACTCATGAATTTATGTATATGCAAAAGTAATTTGCATATACGTAATATGTACACTTGTTTGCAAATTTCAAGTAGAGAGAACTGCGATCAATCTCGTGGATGATAAGTGGAGGGAGACTAGGCTTAGTATTCCACATATACATGCGTACATATAGAAACCACGTCACAAGACCAGCATTAACCTCTTTCTACAGTTAAACACTATTGTATAACCTTTTTTGTCGTACAGATGTGACTTCCCATTTTTTTCTAGAAATATACGCATGGTATTATAATAATATTATATGTTCATACTTATGTATATACATACTAATTTGGAATATACAAAATTTTTATGTATGGTCCAGAATTTCATAACTCGATTAAATTCCCTGGAGTAAGATATTTTTTACCAAGTGATACATATAATCGCACTTTTGTTTAATTGGTACACGCAAAACGATGTAATGCGTAATTGATTGAAATAATTGTAAGATAGATAATTCTGTTTAGCGAATGTGTGTAACTGGAATTACTGGCAGCATGTAGGTTAACATGTTAGGATTGTATGTACGACGAATCTCAAGTTCGCACTCTTATAATCCTTTAATATTTACACAGGACAACATAATAAACTTCTGTAGGATGCTTGGTTATGTATGTACATATGTATGTATGTATCTATATAAATGCATGAAAATATTTGCCGTCACTGTCAGTCTTCTTTGTACAATTGAATATTTATTACTAGCCGGTGTTTACGTACGTACTCCTTGAATATTGGTTTCACATATTGTTTTTGTGTTCTAATAAAGCGACAGTAATAATTTGTCTGCTTCCACCAGTTAGTTATGGAGTCAACCGAGGATAAGCACCACCCCCACGCGTGGCTGGCACAACAAAAATTCCAGAAACTCTTAGGTGTTGGTGCATTTGGTATGATTTTCGAAACCAGTGACGCCACAACCTTGTCCGCAGTTAAAGTTAACTTTTTAAGAATGGACAATGGCACTCATGGTCAAAACTTGGCTGCACCTTTTCACCTACTGAAACGTATACGTCACAAAAATTTAACGAAAATTTATAACGTGTCCTTCAAAGATTGGAAAATCGACGAGTTGGAAATTTTAATCGCAAGATGTGAAAATTACATGACTTTTCATAGAGAAACGTTGCAAATGTTCTACAACAATGGACGGGTTCCTCCATCCATGGTTGTGCAAATTGAGTTGTGTGGTCGAGACCTGTTTTCGTGGTTGAAAATCGGGAAAAAATTGGGTGCACATTTGTTTGAAATTCAGTACCAAGTAATTTGCGGAATCCTGGACGGTTTGAGACATCTTCACCAAAATAATGTAGTGCATCGTTTCATCACTCCGGAAGCTGTCATGTTTTCCCACACTTTAACGACCGAGTACATTCTTCCCGTAAAAATTTCAAGTTTTCAATTCTGCCTTCTCATAAATTCTACGGAACGAAACGATCAAGATGGATGTAAAGTTATATCAGATCCAACGCATTATTTCTCTAATCGATATCAAGCACCCGAAGCCAGGTCCAGCTCCAGCACGGCTACGTGTTCCAAGACTTTCGACATATTTTCCATGGGGCTACTCTGTCTGGCCGTACTTCTTCCGCCAGGTGAGAGGATATCGTCGGAATTGTACTATAAACTAGTGCATGAAAATGACACCAGCATAATACCGGACCATCCAGAAATTAAGAATGCAAAAGAATTGATCATTCAGATGACGAAGCGACGCCCTGCCGACCGCCTGCAAAATCTTGACTCTGTATATTTCAGACGAGATCCAATAAACACCCCATCCAACACATTGACAATGGCACCACAAGATCCAGATTTCATGGATGAAACACAATTTAAAAACTTTCTGGGATCCGGGTCTTTCGGATTTGTACTGGGAACACGAGACAATAAAGCAATTAAATTCATCTTCCTGTCAGAGTCTGACGGACCGGAGCGGAATATTGAGCGGACACAGATTACACGAGAGTACAAGACAATGATCTTAGCGAAAGACCATCCTAACATTGTGCAAATTTTAAAATGCGCTGAAAAACTTTTTACTTCAGAATCCTTGCATGAGATTCTTAAAGCGGTCGCATTACCACGAGAAGTTAACGATTCAGTTAATCTGCTGGCAATGCGTGCCCAAAAACAGAAAATTATAGTTCCGTGCTTCTGTATTCAGATGGCAATTTGTGGACAGTCATTACGGGAATGGTTATCCGAAATGTATGATAAACCATTAACACCATCCATGCAAGATTTCCAAATTCAAATTGTTTCAAATTTACTGGCGGGATTTAAATATCTGCATTCTAATGAAATTATCCATCGCGATTTTAAACCGGAGAATGTACTTTTCTCCTACTCGTCTGGAGAGGAGAGGGCATCGTATACGTTGCCCGTTAAAATTGGGGATTTTGGCCTAGCTCGATTTTTACCCGAGTACGAAGAAATACTCACACCTCGAGTGGGAACAAATTCATATCGAGCACCGGAAGCGGAGACGTCTTTCTATGGGGTACAAGCTGACATATTTTCACTGGGATTGGTATTTTGGGAGGTTCTGCAACTACTAGACTCAAGAGTTAGGAGGTCGATGTTTTACAAGTTGGTGCACGACCATGAAAATCATCCTTTACTTGTTAAGGACCATCCAAATTTGGTTAATGCGAAGGAACTCGTGGTCAACATGACGAAACGACTGTATCGAGAAAGGATTCAAACCATGGAGGATGTGGTTCTACAATTGTGCTAACCCGTTTCTGATTATGATTGACGTAAGCACATTGTGCTTAATCATAGAATGTGCGTATTCGTTAACTAGAATTAATTTATCGTTTAAGACCGGTGCCATGCAGTTCATAGTCATTCTTTCATAGTCATTCTTTTCATAGTTTCGTTTTCATAGCAAAGGCTTTTCATAGTTTGTTTTTTCATAGTCGGCTTTTACATAGTATGTCTTTAAATAGTCGTTACTTAAATAGTACAGTCTCTTTCATAGTGAATAACGTTAATAGTGATTTCACTACATAGTATTGATACCACTGTTACATAGTGTCCAATATGGGTTGCGACATTGTTTTCTATGAATTATTTTTTAGAATTATTATTTTCTAGAATTATTTTCTAGATTATTTTTTCCATGATAATATTCGAAAGAATCTTTGATATTCATGTACTACAGTAAAGCATATACTAAATAATTAGGCGTTTAGTGTGATGTCTCTCAGATTCTAAAGCCTAGGGTGATATTTTGATAACCACAACCACGCTCCCAGGCATGATTAAAGTAGATATTATAATAATTACACAACATACCAAAAGTTAAAATAACAAAATTTAAATAAGTCAGAAGATAAAACTTTATGGCAAATTTGAAATTGATATTTTGCATTTCATGTAAGATATGTATTGGCACTTGGATTTTTGCCTTCCTCTGGAGTGATTTGAGCCAACCGTGAAAACGTTAATCTTCGAAATCAATAAAGAGTTATTAAACCTTTACAACATACGATGAAGATGCTTCGATTGGATCAAAAATGACCCGGAAGCCTCCTTTACTCTAAATTGTGCTCAATTAATGCCTTCGAAATTTTAAGGGGCTATGAAAGATTGTGACTAATTTAAACATATCCTATGTAACATTCCCACTAACTATGTAACATTTCCATTATGTAAAAAATTGACTATGTAGTGCATGACTATGAACACTGACAAATGACGATGTAAAAAACAACTATGAAACGCATGTACTATGAAACAAAAACTACGAAAAACATGACTATGAAACGCTCACTACGAACTGCAAGGCACTCGTTTAAGACCACCGCTGGAAAAGATACATCTTTTTCAACAAAATATCCCGGCTATCATGTTGTCTAAATATTTATCAGAAAGGCAAAATCTTAAATTTCGATTAAATTTATATGCATAATACATATGATGAAATTTTATTATGAGAAGTGGGAGGATTATGTAATGTACCAGTATTATGCAAATTTCTGAATTCAACTTTTTTGTAAATTACGTATGTATGTACATTGGGGGTACTCACACTGAATCATTTAAATCGTTCTCTGTAAAAAGTTTTGAACGTTTTCACGTGAAGGAGCATTGTAATCACCTCAGTTATGTATGTACATATATGTGGGTATAAAATTTACAAAAATTCCAACATGCCTAACATGACTGCGAATCAATTCAACTGCAATGCGTTGAAATTTCCAACTACCGAGAATAAATAAGTTGCGTAATAAGATTGTTTAAACATGTGTACATATGTACATACATGCACATGTATGTGCATCCGAGACTAATAAAACAGAATCAACGTACTTACATAACCCGGACCGAAGTTGGGAATTTATTAATATCGCATTGAAGGAAAGTACCTAAATTCCAAGCAAAAAGGACGCATATATTGTGTATGTGCATAGATAACTAAAATATGTAGATAGAACAAGACTGACTCCTTCATCTCCTTCCACGTAAATATGCACGCCTGCTTCTTCTTTAGTACGTACATATTTATGTCTATAAGTATAAGGACTTGGGCAAAACGCGATGAAATAGAAAAGCGTACTTATTTTGTACTAAATATGTACATAACATGTATTCAGTACATATTACGTATGTAAATATGTACGGGCACCTGAATAAGTATCGGATTAACTAACTCAACAATAACTGTTGCAGTGAGTGAACATAAAAAAATTCGCACTATCACTATTTCATAATTATTGGTGCCTCTGAAGTTAGATATAATTTAGAATATGTTAAGTTTTAGTGCCATATGCATTTGCTAACGAAGAATTTAGGGATCTTTTATTGAGCATTAACATGAATTTCCGCGAAAATAAGATTCAAACAATCAAATAAATTTTGTAAATTCATATTTTTGAAACATTGTTATTGGTTCATGAGAATATTTGTACAATTATTATTAAAGCCAGTGCTACATAATCATAACATGGAGCAATTAACTTAATCAACTAATTGCAGAGTGATTGCATATACATCTTATTTGTGAAATCTCATTAGTGGTAACAACATTACAGAATATCTGTATTGCCTAGTGTGAACTAAGCGTATCTCCAGCAGGAGTACGCTTAGTCCTGTATAAATAACATAATGAGTCATTATTAATGACACTACGTAACAGTGTGTTGTGTGGAATCATTTGGTCGTCCAATCAGAGAGCAGTTCATGCGGCACAGTGTACCACGGACCCAAAAAAACGCAAAAATTATTTTAAGGTCCAAAACCCTCCCACGGGGGTAGGAAAGCATACAAATGTTGTCCATTTTGATTTTCGAAGGGGGTGTGGTCAGGAGCGGGTTTTCATGGAATTTCAAAAAAGTCTCAAATTCCCACTAAAACTACACCCACTTTTTCAGAATTTAACACTGATTAAAATGAGGTATCATACATGCCCAGCAAGTAGTGTTACCTAGGAGAGCTAGCTAGTAGTGCTACCTAGGAGAGATAGCTAGTAGTGCTACCTAGGAGAGATAGCTATAATAGAACTAGCTAGGACAAGTCTATCAAGCCCGCCTCTGCGGGCCGTGTGCATAATGGAGACGTACAGCTAAGGTTCCTATTACGAAGATGTGCAAGATAGGAACTATTTGAGTTTCGCTTAAATTTTGTGTTTTAAATTTATCAAGTTTCTCGGCGTATCAATATCCTTAAACAATATAACCTTTCTAATTTTCCATGTTCGGGTGCGAATTCTTTGAAATTACATGATCACTGAACACTCGAAGGGTAACATTACCCAAAACTGCACGTAATTTAAGGTCATGTCCGCAAATTGCCCCTTTAATATTCCAGCCGTCAAATTTTCACCAGAATTCAATAGACAGATGTTTAAATAATTTTTAGACTTAATTAAAATCTACATTAATATTTCTCACAGTAATATTCATGACCTGGTGCAAGATAATTTAAGTACATTAATCTAAATTTGTAGTAGGGACCACGTCTGGGATTAACTGTATTAATACTTCGCCTTGTAAATAAAAAGTAAAATGGCGTTCCGTTGCATTAAAGGCAACCAAAATTATTCTGCATCAATTCTGCAAAAAACATAAATACGTCTTGAGCATCGAATATATTTCCTAAAATAACACTCAAATAATTATGCATAATTAGAATATCATATTTAAGCTACACTATAATTATCACATTATCACATAAAGCATGTGAGACACCGCCGTATGGTTGAGCATTGGACGCACAATAAAAAGGAACTGAGAATCTTGAGGACCAATAACAAAATGGTGAGCTGCTTACCGCGCGAAATGTTTGTAAACATTGCTTGTTGGATCAGCAGACAAAATTGTCAGTCTCCCGAAATTCATTAGAAACAATGGGTTCCGTTTGCTTGCTGGATCAGCAGACAAAATTGTCAGTCTCCCAAATTTCCTTACAAACGATGGGTCCTGTTTGCTTGCTAACTTACATATCATGCCACACCTCACGAAGAGAGCCGTCAGCGATTCCCCACTCCCACTTGGATCGGAGCACCCGAGCAGTACAGAGCTCTCTCGATTTTAAGATTAAAATTGCTCAGGAAGTTGTACATTTAATTACAAAATTAAACGAAAATGAACTCTCCTTCTTCTTCAATTGGATCTTGTTCGTCGACAACTTCAAAGACGGTAAGTAATTGAAAATTTTTTACGGTTTGACATAAAATAAATACTACTTCAAATACGCTCAGTAATTTAAAAAATTTGTTACCCTTTAACATGAAATAAATTTATTTGATCCTCTTAGCTTTGCTTAATTTGCGATGAATTGCCTGCAATGTACACCATCGCAGCGAACAATAATGCTGGGGATGGAACAAAACCATGTGGCCATCATTATTGCGTGCAGTGTTTGATTAAACACGTGAGTTCATCAGCGAGCGGGGATCAGTTCTCGCCCACCCATCAACCTAGATGTCCGTTTTGTGTGCGGGATATTTGTGGCTTCTTGCCGCTGGATTCCGCCAATTGTAAGTAATCATCTTCCTAAATTAATAATTTTACTTATTTACTTACTTTATTCTACTTTTTATTTTTACTTTTATTTTACTTACTTATATTGACTAAAATTATATTTGCTAATTATATTTTTAGCCTCATTGCAACTTGTTCGTCAAAAGGATTTCGACGGTACCATTGGAGAGATTACAAATCCGTACACGGATGAGAAACTGATGGGAACGGTTTATCAAGGTGCAAAGAAATATTTCTCTTAACTTTGCGGTCAAGTCCAGTTTGTAATTTTAATAGTATAACTAATTGAAACCAATTTATTTATTAGACTTGACCTACTTGAGCATCCTTCGCATGGAAGAACAAATCCCTCCAGTAATCCCGTTCGAGAAAATGTCCCCCGTTCATGCGGAACCCAGCTGCCCACCTCATCGATATACTTGGGTGGAATGTGATCTTCATTTCCTGACTGTTCAGGGAATTGTCAGACATGAAGCACGAAATCATTAGCTGCCATCGTTATCAGCTGCGAACTTGGCTCTCCCTTTCCTAATTAACCTTATTATCAGCTTTCAAAATTTTATTTCGATTGGATTTTTAAATTATTATATGTACTCGCTTTCAAAATTATATTTCTATTTGGCTTTTTAAACTTATTCTATTCGTGACTGTTCCAAAATTCAAAATTTTTAATTCTTATCCTTTGGTACCCAATTAGGTTCGACTCAAAAATATTTTAAATAGCTAATCATAATTATTAGTATGTGCGCGTGGGTGGAAGTAGGGCGTTAGTTATTATAGTAGTTTTTAGTCATAATTTTAAGGCAAAGTATTTAAGGGTAGGTTAGAATTTTTGTGGGAAAAGGGTAGCTCACCGACTATGCATTTAATCTTTTCGATCCCCCTTAATCTATAATTTTACCCCCAATAATTTCAAAGGTCCATCCCGTTAAATGCATGGTTGGTGAGCACAGGGTGGGCCCTCCTCTTCTGATTTATACCCTTTTGCAGTAGAGGCCACAAACAATGTGCATCCATTTTATGAACCACAAATTGAATCCCACCCCTTTTTAGTTAATGAATTTAGTATAGTTTATAGTTTTTAACCTGGGCAAGTTCCATCCCCATTAGGTCCAGTTGTTCATAAAATGGATGCACAATGTACCACGCACATGTTTATTTAATATTTTTATAGAAATTTTTTGTACAATAAAATATCAATATTCCAATCAATTTATCAAACTCTCTATCAAACTATGTAAACTGGCGAACAATTTTTTATAAACTTGAACATTTCATCAAGCTTATTAGCAAATTAGTACTTCTGTGGTGGCGAAATATGAGTAGCCAACTCATTTGTCGTCAACTGCTAGGCTGTTCGGGTCTTTGCTAATTTTATTTGTATTAAGCTCTCAACTTTTGAAACTTTATTGTGGAATTATGCCATATGGAGTTTCATCGGAGTTATCTTGTTAATGAATTTCTAAAACAAATTAAAACACATTAGTAACATTTTAAATTTGAACAAAAATTCATCCATCTAAAAAACCTAATAATCTCCAAATGTTGTCATAGTATGTTCAACCTTAAAATTACAGCGACGAATAAATATAGGTCATGGAGATTTCCTAAACACTTTCCAGTGCTACCGATATCATTATAATTTTTTATTAGGCGCCATCCATAAATTATGTCACGCAAAAATCGCGATTTTCAAGACCCACCCCCCATCCTTTAACATGTGTCACATAGGCACGATATCATTGGAGCCTTAGACCCACCCCCCCATCCCTTGCGTGACATAATTTATGAACGACGCCTTATTCCACTAAGAATCCTATATGCGACTTATGCGTGTATTACTAACCAAGCTTTAAAAAGTTTAGAAATACATTTTGCATGTAGAATTTGTTTTTTACGCAACGGGCTCAGTCTTACAATCATTGCCCGGTTGCGATTAAATTGTGAATTTATTATAAATATTATATCATTTTATTTCTGAAGTACATCCTTGAAGACAACATTCCTCGTGAAAACCTTATTTGAATTTTCTAATAATTTTCCTTGCTCGGTCATATCACGTACATAAACTCTAACGTCTCAGGACCTTCTAACTCTTGAAAATGCAACGTAAAGTTGTCCATGACTGAATACTGGAGTAGCCAAATAAATTCCAACCTTGTCCAAAGTCTGACCTTGGGACTTATTAATAGTCATAGCAAATGCTAGCTTAACAGGGAATTGCAGTCTTCTTAGTTGAAATGGAAGATCAGAATCTGCTATAAGGTCAATTCTAGGGATAAAGACTATGTTTCCCTCAGCTGATCCTGTAAGAACCTTGGCAATAATCAAGTTTGGCTTTAGTTCAACAACAACTAATCGTGTTCCATTGCACAACCCACGCTTTGTGTTTAAATTTCTCAGTAGCATTATGAGGGAACCAACTTTCAATTTTAGTTCATGTGATGCTGATCCAGAAGGATTTAAAGTATTCAGGAATTCGGTCGGGTAATCATCCCTATCAGAATCCTCGTCTGTCATAATTGAGTCAGTACTTAAATATGTCTTGCATTCTCCTTGCAGAATTTTCAAGACTTGCTCGTTTATTTCATCAACGTCTGCATTCGTGGGGCATAAAATAGCCATTTTTGAAAATTGCTCTACTTTTTCAGGAGTTAGAGACTCACCAAAAATATCTTTAATTATATTTTCTGTCGCCAGCATTGCTTCTGGAATTTCTATTAAACTATCTTGTAATCCGTCCACATTTGTCAATTCACCGTTACCAAGTTTAATTAGCCAATCACTGTATTCCTTATCAAGTGATCTTACATTATTATTCAATTTCAAAATTTGAAATTTCCTCCAAAGGTGACTAAATTTTATGCTTGCCTGGACAATTGATACAGCATCACCGTGTGGGATTATTGGCAATGTTTGCCTAAAATCACCTCCGAGGAGTAAAACCTTTCCTCCAAATGGAAGATCATTTCTCATAATTTCTTTCAACAGCCTATCAATGCAATGCAAAGCATGAACTGATGCCATCGTTGACTCATCCCAAATTAGCAGTTTAGCGGTCCGAATTAACGTCGCATCATTCGTAGTCATCTCTATCGATGAAACTGATGTCTCGTTTAAATTCAATGGAAGTTTGTATTGGGAGTGGTAGGTCCGTCCTCCCTTTAACAAATTAGCAGCAATTCCTGTTGATGCAACAGGCAATGCAATATCACCTTGCCCTCTAACGTAGCTTAAAAGTGTTTTATATAAGTAAGTTTTCCCACTTCCACCAGGGCCGTCAAGGAAAAAACATTTTTCAACTGGTTCAGCAGAGTTTATTGAGTATTCTATTGCCTCAAATGCACTCAGTTGTTCTTCTGTCAATGTTGATTTAAGATCTTCCGCGACGCCACGCTCTAACTCAATATCTACAAATCATTTAAATTCAAAGGCAGATGGGAAGGAGGGTCCTTTAGTTTGTAATCAGAACACTTTCTCCCATGTGTAATAAGTGTTTCTGAAATATCCCTTAGCGCATATGACTCACACATATCACACTCTTCGTCAGATGGATGGCCATGAACTCTTACAAAATCCTCGGTAAGATTTTCTTTATGTTCATTCCATAGGCCTGTCATGTCGGAGGTCTCTCCAAATACACAAATATATGCAAAAAGTTCTCGCAGCTGACGTGGCATTGATGCATAAGCAGCATCATTTAATGTATCATTCCACACTGTTTGATCGCAAATCAAACCTCTCGCCTTAGCAACTTCATAAAATGAATCGTAAGCATGTCCTTGATATTTTAGAAGGTCGTCATAACTTGTTGGTCCTGCTACATGAAGTAGCAATAACCTCAAGAAATATCTCTCGCCATCGCTCATACTCACAGAATACAGACGTCCGATAACTTTGTCAGTGTGTCCATCTTTACGACGAACCCATTTATTCTTTGCATTAAATACGTAATACTCTGGAATTTCCGCATACTTGTATTGCCTGGCTTTTGGATCTTGGGTATTTAACTCGAAGAATGCCGTTAATGTAGAGTCTGTATTTTCTGCTTTATGAATTGCTTCTTGAATTTTATTAGGATCGAATGACACTCGTTTCTTGCCTGGTAACTCAACCTTTAATCTTGATATGGAATGAGTTCTATCTTGCATAGGGAATCTGAAAATTCTCCAAGCTGCCTCAGGAGGACTGACATATCTTGAATCAACATGTGTCTTAATCTCATCTATTCGTAACTCAACTTTTGCGCAATCGTGTCCCTTATAAGCGTATTTAAATAAATATTTAACGCTTCTAATCGATGCGCAAATTTCAACATTGATATGACAATTGTATTTTAAACTTAAGTATGGGTTATATGGAACAACCCATCTATTGTCAATTTTAATATTTTTATTAGTCACAACTGGTTCTAAATTGCGTCGCCGGTAAAACGGAAATCCGTTAACGTTAGCCAAAGTTTCATGTTGAAATGGTTTTGGAAAACCTTTCGAACATTTCCCGGCCACCAAGCATGGTGATTTTGAATTAATTTTATCACACGGGCCGTGGATCATATTTTTCGTAACGACATCAAATAGCCTTGGATGTGTTTCGTTATTAGGTATTTCGGCACACACGATCTTATCGATAAGGTCAACTGTCCTACTGGCTTATCAATATCTTTTAGAATTATAAGAATATGAGCATGAGGGAGACCTCTTTTTTGAAATTCAATGACATGTACTTTTGCAAGTACGTGTCCTAGGACACATTTTTTTGTCAAATCCTCCAGCATCGATCTTAATTTAACATTGAATACCCGTGCTACCAAATCGGGTCTATTTTCAGGCTTTTGGCCATCTTCCAAGTTCGCAGTAATTTCAAACCATTTGGGGTTGCATGTCATTGTGATGAATAAATCTGGTTTTCCAAATTTTCTTACAATGGACATAGCATCTTGATAATTTTGATTCATATTTCTTCTGCTACCCTGAAAAGTCGAAGGTAAAATTATTGGTTTTCCAGGAACTATTCCATCCTGTTCTGCAACGGAGTCCATATAGTCAACCAATGCGTCATAGCTACCTGCTCTAAGCTTGCTTTGATTTTGCCTAACGAAATTAAGGTCGTTTGCTTCCGCTTTCACATACGCATCAACAAATATTGCTGAGTAAGTTTTCCGGCACTCAAAAACGGACTAAATGTCTCACGAACTGAAAATAGGTATGAGTAGTACATTTTTAGTGTTACTCTTTTTCTCGAGTTTGTGTTAACATTTGTCGAGTGAGAACGTACGCATAACGCCAAGTCTTCTCCCCAGCCTTGTTCTCCATATGGATAGAGGAGGGGATAGGTCAGGGCATCAAGATTTTTGTTTAGAATACTAATTCGTTTTGTTGTAGGAGAATTTTCGCCGGTTGGTCTTAAATGAATTAGTAAATCTCTTTCTAGTGGAGGCTCGCCATCGGTATTGCTGAAGATTATCGCAACCTCATTACATGTCTGCATGTTATATCGACGGTTGTCAAGAGCTCGGTCGTTAACAATCGCCATTGTAACTTCTTTGGCTAAATGTCCTTGGCTTTGTTCTTTGATTTTCTCCTCCTTCTCGAATTCATGAAGCATTTTGAATGCTCTTGCAAACGGATTATCTTTCATAATATCAAGCAGGTTCGACATCACATGATTTTTGCAGGCAACATTAGAAGGTTCGTTCAGTCTTTGACTGGTTGCCTCATCTGGGTCAAGTATATACAATTGCGCGTACTTTCGTGGTTCGCCTTCTTCTGGATGCAAGGTCCCTGCCCTGTGATAGATCTGACCATGGATTCTGTAACAGTACGGGCCATACCCAGGTGGAGCTTTAATTTGTGCTCCAACTGATGCAAATGCGAATGCATTATTGTAGGACCTTATATGTTCCATGAAATGTTTAGAATCTGGGTCCTTCCCTGTTAAAAGTCGTTTTATGTACTCATATGTTGCAAAATTTTGGATTTTGACCTTTCCTTTGTTGCAGCAAACTGTAAACTTTTTATCGGTTGGTCTTTCTCTAGCAAAATGCTTGGCATTGCAAAATTCACAAAGAACATTCATCTCCCCCATATTGTGTAATTCCACAATGCTTTCTTCTAAATTATCAATTATGGCTGCTCTTGCTGTCATTTTTAGCACGCGACATGAAGCATTGGCTCGATTTGTGCGCAATTGCTCTAATCTCTCATCTCTCTCTTTGGGTGTTTCAAGTTGGCGTCTTGATGAAATTCGTTGATTGTCCTGAATTTTTCGTTTCATTGTCTCTTCGTCAGTCTCTGTCAATCTCACTACTGAAGTTCTCTGAGCATTCGCTAGGCAACGTGCTGACCTTTCCTCTTCGGTCTCAGCTAACCTACTTTCATTGTTTCGTCGAGCATTCGCTAGGCAACGTGCTGACCTTTTCTCTTCGGTCTCAGCTAACCTACTTTCATTGTTTCGTCGAGCATTCGCTAGGCAACGTGCTGACCTTTCCTCTTCGGTCTCAGCCAACCTACTCTCATTGTTTCGTCGAGCATTTGCTAGGCAACGTGCTGACCTTTCCTCTTCGGTCTCAGCTAACCTAGTTTCATTGTTTCGTCGAGCATTCGCTAGGCAACGTTCTGACCTTTCCTCTTCGGTCTCAGCTAACCTACTTTCATTGTTACGTTGAGCATTCGCTAGGCAACGTTCTGACCTTTCCTCTTCGGTCTCAGCCAACCTACTCTCAGTGTTTCGTCGAGCATTTGCTAGGCAACGTGCTGACCTTTCCTCTTCTGTCTCTGCTAATCTGCTGTCAGCTGTTCGTCTGGCATTAGCGTCTCTCCGAAGTGATGCTTGCGACTCAGTTTCTCCTGGTCGTCGTCGATGCATCATAGAATTTTTAGTTTCCGAATCAGATGCTGATTCAAATTCATCTCTGCAGTTTAACCGTTGCTTCTTGCGTACCATTCTGAATAACTGCCAACTTAGGGCTCAAAATTGCTACGAATAGCTCAAGTGGTTGCCACTTAGGGCTCAGTATGTGTCTACAGATAGATCACTCAAAATTATGTATAATGAATCGAAAATGCCAACTTAGGGCTGAAAATAAGTCGACTTAGGACTGTTTCCCGTGCAAATGCAAATAATGCGAGAATTTACGGGTTGCTTGCCTAAGAAAAAATTAATCAAATTAATTGGTAAAAATATAGTTTATATAGAAATTCTTGCAAATAGCGAATTTTTTAATTAGTGGCTGCAACCATTTCCAAACAAAATTCAAACAAATCATCAGTCAAATTACCTACCTAAAATGATTTTCTGAACAATCAATTGGAAAACTCTTTTATTTAGTTAAATTTAAATTTAGTTAATTTTCTGTTTTTTGTAGTTTCCTGCACACAAAAATTCAATGAAAAACAGATTTCCAAGGAAAGCTCAAAATAATTTCGGCAACCCAGTCTGACGACATTGCACAGCAAAGTGATGACCACTAAAATTGTTGCTACCGTTTGATTAATTCAGCTTAACGTTGACAAAACGTTTTTGTTGACTGTTAGCAGGTCCTATAATTATGCCTTGCAGGAGAGGGGGTAACGTAAACAAACGTTTCCACCCTGCCGACACAAATTGGTAAAGGGATGCAAATTTCAGCAAGCTTTCACAACGTTCAGCTAACGTATAACTGAGAGCCAATCATAAAATTTTAATTTTTTAATGCTTTCACTATTGGCCCTATCCTGCAATGTATAATTAGCATTGGAAGATTCGAAAAGTCTTGAATCCTATCTTTCAATGGTAAGTTGGCACCGTCTGGCAATAGAAACGTTCTGTCAACGTCGAGCTGAGACAATAAAACGTCTGACAGCAGTTTAATGCTCATCAGTCGATCGCCAACTGTCAGCTCGGTTGCCACAATTTTTGCAGTTCCCTTGAAAATTAATTTCTACATTTTGCGAACTGTATTCAATTCTTGATTTACTTTCATATGGCTTATAGAGTCGCTTCTGAATTTTCTCCCAACGCTGTGGCCGCTGGTTGGGATGTGGCCTCTACACGGCTCTTGAAAGCACCAAATGATCGATTTTGCGTTCAGTGCGGATTTGTTATCCGGGGTCAGGCGATGGACAAACCTGGTAATTATATTTCATTGAAAATCTAATATTTATGCTTTATTAGTTTTTGATAGTCCAGCGTATACGATGTACTACTATTTAATAAAGTTAGTCTAATAATTTATATCGTCTCTACAAATACAAATTTTACTTTGTTTTTTATAGCTGTGTGCCCACACAAAAATTGCAAGCAGCCTCTAATCTTCCGAGCAAATCAATTTGATTCCGCTAGCAAGTGGGGACGCTGCCGACAGTGTGACAGCTTTACTCACGGTATGTATAACTGTGTTACTAAACATTTAGAGTTAGAAATCCACCTGTCAAAAAACCTTTTAATTGAACGTCGAAATATAGATTCTTCGATAGTTAATTTTGGGTCATCACATCTATATGTATTTTATTATTTATTATTACAGCCGACTTCCCATACTGTCAATCCTGCGGTACGGCTAATCGAGACGCCCTTTCCCGAAAACGCCGCTTTGAACAAATTCAAATTCAGAAACAGCAGCTTGAAGCCAAGCGACTGAAAGAAGAGAATGACGCCTTGAAGCAGCAAACGCATGATCCTGATTTCTTGTTATGGAAAGAAGTGAAGAAGGAGGAGGAGCGGAAACGAATATTAGAAGAAGAAAAGAAGAAAATTGAGGAGGAGGAGGCTAACGCTGATGCCGAACAGGTAGCTGCCGCGAAGAAGTTAGAGGAATCTCTTCTACAGGATGATGAAGAAATGAAGGAATAATGTGGTAAATGTGCAAAATCATAAAATTTTAATGAAGCTTTTTAAGTCTCCCTCTTATTTGTAATTAGTTTGATGATTTTTTAAATTTCAAGAACTGTTTTTTGTTTTATTTGTTTCAATGTTTCTTACTTACTTTCATGCTTCCTACTTAAAATTTACACATGTATTTATGAAATAATTTAAATGAATAAAACATTCCATTAAAAATATATAAAAACAAAATTAAATTTGCCTTAGCATTACTTTTGTAAATATTAATAGCATTAAAACTTATTTTTATTTCATCAAGCCAAACACATTGCTCATCTTATATTAAAATAGTCACACATAGACAGAAATGTTAAATTTAAGAGCCGGGGCTATGAGACTACTCACACGAAGCGGCAATTTCAAACCTTAGCATGTGTGGTCGGCCAACGAATCCCGGCCAGCGAAATACATAGACAACATTTAAAATGCAGACTTAGTCACGTAAATTTCAGATCACGTGGCGTTATTCAGGAAGTGTGCCCAGTTCACAGGACACGTGGCGTAATACAGGGGGTGTGCCCAGGTCACAGGACACGTGGCGTAATACAGGGGGTGTGCCCAGGTCACAGGACACGTGGCGTCAATCAGGGGGTGTGCCCAGGTCACAGGATACGTGGCGAAATTCAGCTGGGTATGCGGGTTATCTGTCATGCCAAGTCAATGTTATTATGTATTGATAATGTGGATTCATGGGTAACGTTAGACTGTCATTGAGTGAAGCGCCCAGTTCAAAAAAGCACACATACATACATACATACATACATACACACAGACAACACGGGGCTATTAGTATTTAGGATTCCAACTGAATACAATATCTTTTAAGGGGTGATCTGATACAGTCTCACCGCTACCTGACGGGGAGTATGTAACTATGTCCTTCCATAAGCTCCCATGTTATCGTTTTAAAAACTTTCAGCGTCGTCAAAAGACAATAAAATTTCGATTTTTTTGCACCAATCGACGCGTATATTTAGTCCCCACAAAGTTACTGAAGTTTTAGAGGATACGTAGAGTATACATGGAAAAATGCGACTTTTTCTGATTTTTTTTCGTGAAAAGAATTATGGTGTGACCATGAAAGCGATTTTAAGGTCAAACTCCAGTAACTTTGGGAGTTGAATATTTTGACACATTTTGCAACAAAAAAATCCGATATTAATGCAAAAATAAGGGTGCCCAAATGTTTTGAAAACTTGGTTTTTAGAAATTACGAAATAAACATGCCCGTCAATTCCAGTGGCCCCAATTTTTGATATGTTGTAGGTCTTTAGTAGTAGAACAAAAGTCAAATTGGACTTATAGTCGAAATCGACCTGCGTGACCTTGTTTCGGCGTCGAAAGGTTGATAGGTCAAAGGTCACCGATCCCCACAAATGAGGTATCATTGGAAAGGTCTCGGTGAGAGGATTCCGAATATATATACTTTATTGGGTGTATGACCACTCCCTCATGTTCCAGAAGCAGAATAATGAAAATCTTCAATTCTCCACAATTTAACACAGCAAGTAGATTGAGAGCTAACATGCAGTAGATGGGCACAAACTCAGAAATATTCTTCGGCCTCTGGAAATTCAGGGAGTGGTCATACACCAAATAAAGTATATATATTCTCGTCGTCGTCTCCTCTCGTCGAGACCTTTCCAACGATACCTCACTTGATAATAAATCCCAATTACAGTTTCGAAAAATTAATTTTGAAATAAAATGAAAATTGTATGAGTTGAACGCCAAATGACTAGTGAAAATGTTTAATATTATTAGAATCTAAACCTCGCTCTTACCCCTCCTTAACAATCTGTCGGATCTCTGAGGTCGGGTTGATTTTAAAATTTTGAAATTTTGCCCTCTCCCAAATTTTGGCTTGATTGCCTGATTTTGAAAACTCGGTATGGATCACATAACCTTTAATTCATATTCTTCCTTATAGAACGATTAGCAAGCACTGTACTAAATTAGAGCTTTGTATAACAATTAGAGTTTTTGAATTACTGACGGACGGATGACATGCATATATGTAAGCCCGAACTCGGGCTAAAGACTTTAGCCCGAGAAGAAAGAAAAATAATTCCACTTTAGCCTAAAGTGGAATTATTTTTCTTTGTAACAAATATCTCCTCAAGCTTGTCTGCTTTTGGAGTAGATCCTAAAATAGATGATACATTCCCTCTGTGAACTTTGTCAATTCTCTAAAAAAAGGAGATTTCCCTATTCTTGGCTGGTAGAGCTGCGAATAAATTGCTACGTAAATTTAATAGTTTTTCTGCCAGAATAATAATTGAATAATAATTTCATGTATGGAAATGCTGCTGTTCCACGGACAGCATTTGACTGATTTTTAATTTTTCAATTTGCGCCATGGCATGTTGGCGAAGGATAATTGAAGAGGTAAAAATGCAGGATATTGGTTTGGTATGGTTTATTCGTTACACAGCTACAGTTGTACATAAAAAACTTCCCATTAACAAGATCTTAAATATTGTCGTCTTATGATTCAGGTCGTTGCTGGAAACCTCCCAATTTTAACCGACTCCCAGGATCAATGAACAGGCATTCCAATTCCACTCCTATCAATTCCAGTAGCCGAGCCCCCATAAAATGGGGACGAGGATCTTTGATTCATCTAAATAGCGAGGCGTCATCTATAACCGGTACTTCAAGCACTGTCATCAACGGTAATCGGAAGAGGAAGCAACGCTGCCCCGTTGAAAATGGTCAGGACAAAGTCAAGGAACGTGCACCCATTGCAAAGAATGAAACAAACACGACGTAGAAAGAAATCAGTTGTCGTATCCAAGAAATTTACACCAAACTGATGTCAGATTCGAATTTTTGTCGCTGGGCTGGGATTATTGCTAGAACCTGTCCAATCTGTAGATTTATATGGATGTCAGAAACTGAACCGAAGAAGCTGAACAGGTAGGATAAAAAATATTTCTGTAGTTTTGAGATATTAACTTTACAAAATTTTCGCAGTGATATCACAGCACTGTACTCGAATTGATGACCCTGTCAAAAACTCAACCATATATATATGATTGTAGATGACACGAAAATTATCTAGTGTTTGATGAAGCATAAATGAAATACAACCAAAAAAACGATGTGGACTTCAAAATGAGGCAAAATAATAAAGTCCATCAGGTCGACAAGAAGACTTCCTCAGGGGAAATTGTCGAGTTGGTAAATTGTGAAATCGATTTGACATTACAAATAGCCTAGCGTTTTACTGTGAAAGAAATAGAAAATTATGATTTTATTAAAATTATGTTAAAAAACACATAAATTGATACTACCCGATTGATACTACGAATCATAGTCTATGATCAAGAGTAAATTGTTACTACGAAATTAATAAAATAAAGGTTATCGTGAGAATTTGAAATTAAAAACCTGCCTTGTCATTTCATCCCTTGTTAATTTTGAAAACTATGCATGCTCAATTTCCTCGTATATTCGTGGTCCCCCAATAAATAACAAGACTTGACACTTTATGCAATCGTAGTTTACAAATTATTTTTATTTAAACACTACTAAACATTAAACAAAAACACTGATAAAATATAAATCTTAAAAGGTAGTAGGTTTTTTGATTTTAATAAAGGACTGATTTGACACTTGACAGTGTCAATTTTCATAAGATTTTCATGAATTTGTAATATCAACCATGATGGATGCAAATGATCATGTTGAACACAACTCCGGGAAAGGGATTTGCTCTTAAAAACATAAATAATCACACGACTTCATGTTATTGTTAGAAATCAAAAACAAGTTGTAGTCTTAACTTTTACATAATGATAATATGCAAGAGAAAGTTATTAACATCGTCACTAATTAAATTGCTATTCAGGTCAAGATATAGTTCCTTAAAAGAATTGAACAATTATTGTGTTTTCATTACAAATTCTACTACCGGTTCCCACACTCATTGCAATTATCAAAGTACAAGATCGCTCAGCAGTAATTATAATTATCGAGCAGTTTTCCTGGGCAGTGATGCTTTCTCCATTCCTTCTTTGGTCATGACCACAAATCTTCTTGGGTCGACAAACGTATCCGTTGTGGTTTCCAATTTTGGAAATGAGGTTGCCAAATTCGCCAAGAAAAACGAACTCGAAACCTTTCACTGGGAAGATTTTAAAACTAAAGATTTTTGGAACCATAATAATCGAAGTGAAGAATTTGGGGTTGTGGCGTCATTTGGGCATTTGATTCCTCTCCAAGTGATTGAGCGATTTCCATTGTAATAAGTTCATACTTTTATATAAAATTCATATCAAATTTTAATGTACGTTAGTTTTTAAAATTTGATTGTTAATTTTATAAAATGTAGAGGAATTCTGAACGTCCACGGGAGCCTTTTACCAAGATGGAGAGGGGCTGCACCAATCCCTCACGCGATAATTTATGGAGATAAGACCACTGGAATTAGTATAATGCAGATTGCTCCACACAAGTAATTACTACAGCATATCATAATTTTGCACTGGTGGTACATGACAATTTTTAATAATAAAGTTAATATGTTATAGATTTGACATAGGACCCATATTATACCAGCAAGAAATTCCCATCCATCCTCATATTAGAAGGCCGGAACTGATCTCTATTTTAGCCGATGTGGGGGCTGAAGCTTTAGGCCATGTAATTTCAGACATTGACCATTTCAGTTCTCATCCCATCCCCCAAAATGAAGAAGAAGCGAAATTATCCCCAAAATTGACCCCAGTTATGGCCGAGGTTGACTGGAGCACTAAGACTGCAGACGAGGTTTACAATTTGTTTCGAGGATTATATGGAGTATTTAAGTTAAAGACATATTTAATGGAGAAACCAATTGACCTGGATGAAATTGGTCTCGTAGTTATGAATTCTCACCGTGATAGCAAAGGGATTGGTGATTCTGCCTCAGAAAAATGTGAACAAAACAATACTAGTTTAAACAAAAGTACCAATTTTGAAAGATTTTACTCGAATAGCCCATTTTATAATTTGGATAACATTAATGTACTTGCTTCTAGTGTACCTGGTCAAATTATATATTATAAAGACATTATCTTAGTTAAATGCATGGATGTTTCTAAAAGCCTTAAGTGTATGCCATACGTATCTGTTAGAAAATTTAAAGTAGGAAAGAAGTGGATGTCAGCTAAAGATTTTCAAAATGGATTTTTATCAAAGTGTAAGCCAGACCAGAGAATTTTTAGCTTTCAACAACAAACAACTAGTGTGCAACCAGAAAATACTATTAAAAAGCAGCAGCAGGAACAAAAGCTCAAATAAATTGTTCAAATTCTTAACGAGATGCAGCAGTGATACCGTTTTTGGCACTTCACCACACTCAATTTTTATCTGCCTTTTGGCAGGTTGGTCGAACCTTAAATAATTGATAATTACTTTGATCGCGTATCTCTATTCTATTTTTACCATTTTTTGACTTGACTGTATGACAACTGACGAAAGTCAGGTGAAGGTGTTAATTCTCTTCGGGCACGGTGAACTTTACAACAACGCCGCATTCTTTCTTTCTGAAACATACCACACGCTACTCTGTTTTACGATGGCTTTTCATACATGCAAGATGAGTCAAATTCAACCGGACACATCTTCGTTGCTTTAGCAAAACCTAAATTCTTACCATTCGTTAAGGCAATTTCATGATAGTCAGTTAAAGAAACACCTACACCACATTTCATTGACGTAGTTCAGTTTGACGGCGAATGAATGGTTCAACTTGCATGAATGAATTGCAGGCCAAGACAAGCAAGAATTTTTATTGGGTTTTATTTTTACCCGAGTGTCTTCCTATTTATAAATGTTTATGATCTACGTGCATTGAGGAATTCGTGTGGTTGGCGATTGATTATATGAATTAGGAAATTTTAGTTTGTTTGTTTTCGTCAACGCGTCCGTTCCGTATGAATAAGTGAACCGTTCCATCCGGTTCGCAGATTGTTGGCGTATGACTGACTGAGGGAGTAAAAGATGACAGAAAACCATCTAACTTGGGGCATAATAAATAACATATCGACACTTTTAGCCAATTTCTTGTTTACGTAACATTCATCCAACCTCAAAACAACCAGAGTAACCTGATAACATGGAAAATCTTTTAGTTTTTCATGCTAGCTTGGGTAACACGGGTGACGAAATTTAGTTGACATTGGCATTGAAACGAAAATTGGATTAGCTCATGATTTCATAAAGACAAGTTTAATAGCAGGAAGGTCTTAACCATGGCTTAACTTTATCGTTATGCAATCATCGAATAAAGCCAAGCAAATCTTGTCACTGGTGCCGATGTCGAATGAAATTTTATTTTCAAGTAAATACAAAAATATGAAATTGACATTCTGCAATATTTACGTATTTCTGAATCAGACAGGAACATGGAAAAGAAAATCTTCTATTTTTTCATTTTACCGTGAAATCAAGTTTCCTAGTATAAATCAGACCGTAGCCTCTTTCTGTCGTTTAATTGACCTTGCCATTGGAATGATGATGGTTTTAAGTCAGTTGGAAAGAAGGAAGTGGCTGAAACTTTCAATCCTAATTTTATTTACGTAAATTTTTGTCGCGTCTTGTCGAATTTATTGGCTTGTTTTTTTGCTCTTATAACTATGCACTCTATTAAATGGAAACCAATTTGTTGGTTCATATAATCATTGCAATTACACGTACAGCAAAGCTAACGAATCACTTTAAGTACATTACTGTGAAACTATTGTACTTGTAATTTTAATCACCAGTTGCATTTCCGTTCTGGACTGACGTAGATGTTCCGCTCCGTCCTTTGACTTTGTCAAAGTCACAGCAAGAAAGTCATGCAGTGCAAATAAGTCATTGTTAAACTCGTCAAGTAAATTATCTCTGAAACCTCCCAGATTCTAAAAGTACAACATTTTAAAATTCGCTTGACTGACTTTCTCCGTTTTATGTATTTCACCCTCGTTAATTTCAATCACTGTCATGCCGCCGTGTTGATGGTAATTCTATCCGATTTTTACACTCTTGTTCTCGCTAAAAAGAGGATTAGATGGGCGTAATGTGGAAAATTGAGACTTGTCAATCTCATGGGAAACTGAGTTTTAAAGGAATATTACGCATATGGGAAATGATCTCGCAATTTCTTCCCACGCCAGGATTAGTTCTTATCCTATTTTCATTTTCCGTCTTCACTGCATCATCACGTGTACTCTGTTAATTGACTGATTAGTTCATTTCTCGCACAATTTTACAAAATTTTTAAATATTTTTGAAACCTCGAAAAACCTCTTACAGATACAATTAGACTTCCAAGTTGTTTAATGAGAAAAGGCTTTTAGCTAATCTCTGATAAGCACTAATGCAAGGGTAGACACAGGGTCACTTATTGTGTAGAGACTGCATCTATTTTTGTACCATGAATGGTTTTATTTATCCGACTTGTTCTTATCATCGTTTGGTAATGAGTGCACTTTTGACTTTCATACCCCGTGCACCAAGACAAAGCCGGAACTTAACGGTTGCGAGGTTGTGTAAGGATAAATTATTTTAATGTTCTTTGAATGCCAAGCCAAAGAATTTGCAATCGCACAAAAAACGTGCATCGTTTACTTTTTCTTCTTGGTGTAAAATTCGCAGTTCAGTTCATCATGATGATAAGAATATGCAGTGTACATACATACATACGTACTGTACGTACTTTGTACGACGGTACATGGTTCGAGAGTCAATAAGAGGCGAAGCGGAACAACAAAGTGTTCGTTTTTTGAACAATTGCCAAATTCTTGGATAAAGTATTCAATTAGAAATGACGGAGATTGCGATTAGAAATCGTTGTTTCTCCTTTTAATGGAATTTTTTATGCAGACTGTGATGCATTTAGAACAAGCTAGAACTTTTTTTGGGCAAAGGTTATGGTTCAAGTTAAAAAATTGGCGGAATTAAATACAGTACAATTAAAGTCGGTTAATGCGAATTTAGGTCATTTTTGCTTATTGGAACAAAAAGTAGACAATTTGCAAGATGATCTGTTAATGGACAATATATGGACCAAACCCGTCAACGGATCTGTTTTTGTAGTGAAATTGAATTTGTTATCCTTGAAATCGCACACTGCTAATTTCAACAAATAGATTTTCTGGTAAACACATCAAACAAAACCATTTAGGTAAAGCTACATGTTTGACATTATACACGCATTTAAATGTGGGATTCAAGTAGTGAGGGGGCGATTAAATGAGGCCAAGCAAAGCAGAATTATTCCGATAAAACCGAATGATGCGTAGTGATAAAATATCCTTTCATGAGTCACATTTTTGCAGAAAACTTTCGATTTCAAATTCCAAACCACAGACAACGATTGACCGAATGAGGTGAGGAGTTAACATGACATGACATCATCGTGTATGCAAATGCATGTATATCGTCGTCGCACCATCACCACCAGCCAAGATCGTGTCGTGTTCGACTGTGTGTGTGGCTTCCTGGGAAGGGTGACAAAGTGACAAGTAATTTAGCACCAATATTTTTAACGACGACGATGAGAAGTGCGAACCTGTCTTGAGATCAACTCCAACAAAGTTTCGTTCTCAAATATGTGGCATTCATGTGTATGCGCTTTTCAGAGAACGCTGCTGCATACCTCGATAATTTCATATCACTGCTTTAAGCTACAAAATAAAAATTTCATGAAAGTGACAGTAATTGGCGGTCCATATTCTGTCAAGAAGAATAATGTGACCAGGCCGTTCACCATATGCGACCTATTTCTAAAGTTTCTTCTTCTCCGCATCCGATCCTAACTGAACGTTCTGTTGTTTGACAAAGACAAAGTTTTGTGGTGCGTTGAAGGGTGAATGGCAATTTTGATATTCATGGTGTGGTCTGGTCTGATCGGCACGAAGCCTTGAGCTAGATGCGTGTTTAATGATCTTTATAATATATATTTACACACCTCTTGTTCTTTGGTGCATTTAATTTTCAGCAGACACCGTTTTTTACCAGAGTAAACAGGACTGGTATTGCAGAAAGGAGGAAATAGTGAGTAAAAAAAATCTGCGAATCTCTCAATGAAACGATGCTCGTAAATGCATTCGCACCAGTTTTGCAATTAGTTAAACAGAATGAAATGATTATGCAAGCTCAGATCCGACTCATGCTCAATAAAATGTTGAGGAATGGGAACATGAAACCATTCCATGAAAGACGTCAGCAAAATAAACCGCAAATACACATTCCACGTTACTTTTTTTTTACAAAAGTATGAGATAGATAAATTTATTTACTGCAAAATACAATGCCCGTCGTCAATAGCCTTAATAATCTGGGGGTAAAAGTACACAATCATGATCGCTTCGTCTTGTGAAATGCACATTTGCGTACTGATTTTGAGGGAAATTTTGAGGAGGTTCTTCTTCAAGTCGGTGTTTCGTTCTGCTTGTTTTTTGAGGAAATAGATGAGGATTTGGGAAATTTTGGAGAGGCTGAGTTTACCGGTGTCTGGAAAATTGGAGTTGAAATAAGTTAATGATTTGAAAGAAAAAATAGAAATCGAGAATGCCTGAAAGTGAAACTTTGCATACCATCTTCATCGACAGCGGCGATTAAGGTGTCCAATTCCTTGATATCCCAGCTTGGCACGAGTGACGCTAAAATCTCGGGTAATCTTGACGCTTCAATGAGAATATCGTCCAATTCTGCACCCTTATATTTATCCACCACGGTCCTCAGAACTATGATTCAAAAAATTTTAAAATTTATTTAAATGCTAGGAGATCAACAAGGAATTTTTTTAAAAGACTCGGACAAAGTAATTACCTGCTTTGGGCTCCATGTCGAAAGTGGGGACGTCTTTGATAGTTAGAACTTGAACCATTTTGTCTTTTTATATTTTATGAAATCTTGCAATATTTTAGAACTCGTTAAAAAAATTCAAACTTGTCTTTCCAATTTTCACAAATTTTCTTAAATCAAGCTTTCACTGTATGATTTTTTTTTTACTTGTGGGGTCTGTTCACTACAAAGCTCTCTTCAAGAATGAATCAACGCGAATAAAGTTGATCCGTTTTATTCTTTCGGGATTGTGTGCAGTCAGTCACAACCCGGGACAAAAACTGTGGTGACGCTTACAACGTCTTCTTGAATGTGGTACTACTGGTACTGTATAAGATAAGTATGTACTTTGAAATGCACCATACATACATCGTACATACATGCATACATACATACATAGATATTTACATAAGTACGAAACTGCTCAGACCAAATGTTGCTTGGTTCAGTGTCAAGACCGCAGTTAGAAATTCAATTGAATCCGAATTGTTCCTTCTCTTTTGCCAATATTGTATTCCTGTGGGAAACGGTTCGACATTGCAGTTTTACAGTTTTTTATACAACCCGTGCTCGAGTTACAGGTGACTCCTCCGTTCATCTGCGCCACAGCATAGCTGAATTTGGTTTTTGGAAAATGCATACATATTTATGACACATGTATACAACCTACACTAAAATTTCAAACTGGGCGATTCGTCTAGATGAAACATGGTTGACTCATGCTATACAAATACGATTTTGTCTCGCTGATATTGTGCATAGAAAATGTATTGGCATGTGGATCTGTTATGTGTGCACTTTTTATTTTAAAGAAAACACTTTTACGAATAAGAGACGTGTGATAAATTGGTACGAGACACAATTTGAGCGAGTTTTTTTATAAAGTTTGATAGAAAAGACAATGATGTAGTTTGCATGCATTTACTTATGTACATACCAGGACGAGATTAGGATGGAAAATAAATTGCAGTAAATTATTTTAGTCTGAAAAGAAGGTCAGTTGAAAGTGAAAAGGAGGAAACTATAAATTCCCTCTCCTTCTTTTGCGTCAGGCCTGATCAAGCGGAAGCGATTTTGCATCTAGTCACTTGGCGTCTTCCTATAAAAACGTGGATGCATGTCTGTACTTGATAATTAATCAGTCACATGGATGAATTAAGTCAAGGTAATTAACAAAGTGTCGTGAAAGAGATGAGATACCACACTTCTGGCTCCAACCCAGTCGGCATCGGATAATGTTGCCATTTTAAGACTTTGCATAATTGCACATGAGGACAGTACGACGCCACGACTCTGCCTACACAACGTTCAGTTGGCGTTGGAACATGGAATTCGAAATGAGATATTCGCACACCAGCGTGACTATGTTCATTGCGAAAGATAAAGGTTTTTAAGTTGAGAGAGGAGTTGATTTACGGCTGTTATGCTTTGCTATTTTAAAAGAGGAGTAATGCAGGAAGTATTTATAGACCTTGGCATTGATTGTGTCATGAACTGTGGGAGAAGGAGCACTGATTATTGCAATGGAGCATTTTAACCAACTCGATATTAAGAGAACCAGTCCCATTACTTTACTACTTGTACTACGACAACCACCCTGATTAACATAATACGTCTCAACTTTTCCGGTACTATAAGCTACATACATATCCGAACCGTTGTGTGAGGTCTTTTCGGTCGGCATCATCATCATCATGCTTTTACCTCGTGTGAATTGATCTCTTCGACTGTGTATTTAGATATCAATTAGGTAGATAGTTGTGCAATTTTGTTTAATTTTATTAAAACCCATCAATTACCAGACCGTAGTTAAAAGTATTATTGCGCATTTAACAAATGTTGCTTGTAAATTTCATGTGTCATATTAAATTGTCCGACTCATGCCATCCAAAAATTTTAACGACTTATGCGAATTATATAATTGGGTTTAGGATTTAAAGGTGTTGACTAACAGCTTGTACCCGTAAAATGACAGACTTTTACCTAGTTTGTTTTACATATACTTTGGAATTTTTATGAGAATTTTAATCGATTTTACATACTACGTATGCAGATTTCAAAATAATGTGAGTTCGTCGTTCCTCTGGGATGTGATTAAAAAACAGACGCGTGGGTAGTGTGATTGCTCAACAACTTATTATTATGCACCGATCTATTAAAAAATGAAAAAATACGTATTTCTCACTTTAGAGGGACTCTTGAGAGCGAATGATTCGAATTTTTGTTACAAAATGTGTAAGTGCAAACGGCGATTTGTTCGTATTTTCTGAAAACCCAGCCCCAAATGCAACATATTTGAGTGATTTACAACTTTTTTTCATGCAAACGACTTATTTTCATGAGTGTAGCGTGTGTATGACTCACCATTGAGCCAAAAATATGTTTCAGTCAGAAGAGCTAACGATTTAATTCGCCCACTTTTTAGTGGAATTTAATGTCTAGCAGAGTATTCTGAATCCGAACCTACCACATCTCAGCAGCTATCAACAACTGTTTACTGTCACTTTCATCCTGGTTTCCTGACTAATATTATATGGAAGATGATGAAAGCAGTCTAAAGGAATGCAGAGCCAGAAAAGAGAACGAAACTTGAGAACATGGTGAAAAACTACTGTCAGGTTTTAATTCTGCGTGGGGGGAAGGAGCTGACGTAATTATTATGAGATTGATATTCAATGATCATGTAATACGTTTTAACATACAAGTCATGTATTTTCATATAATAATACTATCTATATCAAACATAATTCGTTTGCTAATATGCAATATGAACAGTTTAATAAAAGTTACCGACAAGTTCATAGGTACTCGAGTTCCTAAAATATAAACAATTACACACCTTAATCGTTACACCCCATTCCTCTCATTTTTGATAAATCTGATTAATAAAGTACTTCCAGGATTCATATTATTATTAATAATACCACTTAAACTTATATATGCACGTATCAGTATCCTTTCGTTTGCAAGAATTAATTACAATACTATATATAATCGATGATGATAATACATTTGACTTATGTATGCTTATCCTTAGTTGGCATTGTGCAGGTATTTTACAATTGAATAATAAGTTAAAGGTGCTACTTTTTGAGAAATGACTGACTAAAAGGACTACGAAGTCAATTTTTTGGTTAGCTTCTTTCTTACAGGTTAGTTGGTTAGGTATGTATTATTTACAGTTGTAAGCTTACATATATTTTCTACTTTTGATGATAATTGACATAATTTATAATTACACCTCTTGCATACTCTACACGCGAACAAACAAAGGTTAATGAATGCAATAAGTTAACAGGAATTTAATTATTCAAGATTTGCCCTTGATAAGATTTTGCAAGGACGTACATGACTTTTTTTAAAAAACTGAAAAATTCTACGAAATATACATAATCAACGAATACCCCATTCTTACTTAATCCTACATTTAGTACATCACATGGCAATTGTTTAGATTATCAAGCTTGCAAAGTAAGTTCTCATATATATTATATTTAATCAACTTTTACTACACTGTAGATTTTCCTGACGAACCAGAAACATGCTGCGAAACCAATTGTACCAGTCAGGAGGAAAAACAAGAAAACTGCAACATTAAGAAAACAAAACATGTGAATCATTTTTAATACAATAATTGTAACAAATTCATGTTAAAGCATACCCATAATGAAAGTGTAACCAAAATACAAGAAGGAAGATGCGAATCCTTCAATATTCAGTTTTGTAAAGAAGTAGTGGACACAATAGAGGAACAAATAGAATGCAGTGAATCCACTTGTCAAAAAGGATCTCCACCACCATCGGTAATCCTAACCAAATCAGTAAAACAGTTTTACAAAATACAGTTCTTATATTTATGCTTATTATCATAATGTTGAACACTGGGATTACCTCAGAGCAGAGATGAAAGTAACATAACAGAATTGTGGTCTCGGAGCAAGTGATCATCAAAATGATAAAGACCAAAAACAGAAATCCGAACACTGTAAAACAATTAAATGTTAAATTTTGTTTAAATATTTGGTTCAAATAGTAACAAGCATAAAGATCCATGCAATAAATCTGGTCAATACAACCATACAAAAAAATTTGTACTTACTGTAGTACATTTGACTAGACCTGAAAAGTATTAACAAAACAAATTTAATTAATGCATACTTACATGTTAAGAATACTTTTTATGAAAAATCTAAATTACCAAATTGAATTCAGAATGAAGAAAAGCTGAATGAATATGCATCCGAAAGGAAGGACTCCTCCCATAATGACACCTGTAGGAACATTGCAAAATCAGTTTTAAATCATATATTAATCAGATGAGAAGTGGAGTGAGTTCTATTGCTGATTAATTTCTTTACATGTTACAGTTTTAATATACATCATACATACCTGGTGCTGCTTGAGTGTACACACTTTGATCCGGAATTTGCCTTGGAATTTGGTTGGTTCGAACACTTTCGAAAAAAGATAAAAAATAATGAGTAATAAGACATTTTGGATATTGAGAAAGTATTACGATGATTAATGTGATATACTTCCTATAGTTTTTCTTAATAAATATTCGATATTCGTTTTGGATCACATTTAATCCGTAATTTAAGTTCATATTTGGGACTTACGGGTGTTCAATTGTTCGCTTCCTGAATCCAAAATATGCTCCGACAAATGTCAAAGGCACAGATACTCCGAACCACATGGCAAGAAGAGCAACCAAAGTAGAGAATGGTACAGCTAAAAGCAATAAAATTCATGTGAAGCATTTATAACAGGTATTTTTTATGTGTTAATTTAATACCTGCAGAGCTCTTTTCAGCCCAGAGAATTAGATTCATCACGAAAAACACGCCAAAGACAACACTGAAGTAAAAAATTGTATAAAAATTATTATAAATCTTGTATTTAGAATGGTGGTACACCACAAATTAAATTCCTAATATTACCCAGGGCATAGCATTGAAGTAAGAATGACGTTGGACTTCCATTTTTCACCTCCAAAGCTTTTGTAAATTCTTGCAGAGACGTATCCAGCAGGAGTTCCGAGACAAACGTACAGAACAATGGCGCAAGTCATCAATGCTCCTCTGTTGGCCGGTGATAGAAATCCAAGACAAGCAAATGCTACAAGTAAAAGAAAAAATGGTATCGTTGTACAATGAATGGCTGATCGTGAGAAATTTCATCTTAGGTAACTTACCCAATGTGATTACCGACATGGACAATACTTGGACACCCGAGCCAACAAACACTGAGAGTAACATTCCTTTTCTTGGGGGCCTAAAGCAGTCACCGTGAACGAGTTTCCATCCGAACTCTTCTTGAGCATCCTCTCCCGAGTCAATCTGATTATATCGTGCAATATCTTTGTGCAGAGTTCTCAAAAGGATCATTGCCACCATCCCGGATAAAAATAGCACGATGACCAAGGAATTCAGAATAGAGAACCACTGAATATTGGTATGTGGCATTGATTCCAAAATGTAGTCCTAATTAACAGTTTGACAATTAAATTTTATGAAATGAATTCGGCAATTCGCCATAAGAATAAGATTTACCCATCGAGATGACCACTTGACATCATTTTTTTCCTATTATTCAATTAAATCATTACTCAACGAAATTAAATCACCAACTGTACTACATTCATAATAAGGCTCATACTAACCTCAAACTTGTACGAGTATGAGTACGTAACGTTAATCGTTTCACCACTTCTCAAAGCCCTGCCTGGTATTTTCATTGGTGCTTCAGTATCGGCGCAATTCGGTTTCTTTGGGTCAGAATAAGCAAAACTTCGAGGTTCCACCTTGATTGCTATAATTTTGTTCATACTTATTAGAATAGCATAGAATGACATTAATTCATCTATCTATGCATAGGCAATCACTCACAAATGATTCTCCCACTTTCACCCAACTGGCTTCCCCAATCCGTCTCCTTTCCGCTGTGATACGAGACAACTAGCTCCACATGATTGAAAACGTAATACGTGTCAGCTTCCCTGTACGCTTCCGGTATTAATCCACAAGCCTCTCTAGGAACTTTGTCCTTGTCAATGTAACAACCCATGGGAAATCCAGTATCGCAGTACTGTTCGTTTTTCTCAGCAAAAAAACACCATGTCACGGGCATGTTATCTAAAGTAGTAAGTAGATAATAAGCGACATTGTACAAGTCTACCAAAAACAAGCAGGCAGTTTTCAACTACTTAAGTACTTACCAACTATCCAATGATGATGATAATTTAGACTCATTCCATTCTTGAGCACGGCTAACTTTTGTAAAGATTCTGGTTTTGATCCATCATAAGATTTTGTGCAAACTGGAATGCACGTTCTCCCATCTTTTTTCAAGAACTCCATCTATAATTCATGATAAATTTGTATGAAATTAGTAAAATTCGCTGAATCATATACAATTAGCGAACCTTGTATGGTGACGGTCGAATTCTTTCGCCGAAAACAACTTGGCCTAAATTTTCCACAGGACTCTTGTCATTCTCTTCAGTTTCCGAGACTGTACAAAAGTCAAAGCTGAAAGAACAGTTAAATAATAAAGGTTACATAATTATTATACTTGTACGAAATCATATCTAACTCGGGAACTTACTAATGATATTCGTACGGGATCACAGATTCCAAAGAGTTCAAACGGTTAACAAACACCTCGATTTTTGACTGTGGTATTAAAAAATAGAAACAATTATGGCTATAACGTTGAAATATTTAAGACGCAAATCACCATATTATAGTAATTACTAACCTTGCAGAGCTCAGAGTCCACCGGACAAAAGTTGACGGGTGCCAACCCTGGAAGGTAGAAAGCTTGGGCACAGCAGGTCAAGTACAAAAGGACCACGGCGACATGACGGTCCCATCTTGTTCTTAGTAGCCTCATCTTATTCTACGATACTCGTCCTCCGCCCTCCACTGCCTCTCTATCTTTATTTGGGAACCAATTAAGATTTAGCCTATTACGATGGACACTTGCCACAAGCACACCTCTCCAACAATTGGGGGGTTGGATTTTATTTCTGCAAAAATTAAAAACAGAAGGCTCTTCAAGATCAATATACCTAAAAACATCGGATACTTCGTACTTTCAAATTACTGCTTGTGGCGGATGTTATCCAAGCAATAATTGTTCAACAATGAGTAATTATTAAAACTGACTATTTACAAAACAAATATAAGACAATGCAACCAATATTTTCGCATTTTGTATAATTTTTCAATTTGACAGCTTGCTAGAAGTAAGACTCACCTCTTTTGCTTTGGATTTCCTTATCACCAGTTTGTCTACCACTTACAACATCATTGAGTAAATTAAATAATCGTGCTGCCTAATTCTTAGGTTTATTTCAAAATTTAGAAATTTTATCCGAAATTTTAGAACAGAAGAACGGAGAAGAACAGCGGTGAGCAAGAAAAATATTCCACGTAGTGCGGTTTGCTCAGTTTGTTTGCTCTTCGCCCAGCACCACCGCGAACCAATCCTCTCTCCCAAATACCGTCAAGTAAACATGATGACATTCAACTTTGCATATGAGTTCAGTCAAGTTTAATTGTGAATTACAATAATGTGCCATAATTTAAAGTTTAAAATAATTTTTAAGATATAGGTTTTAAACATATTGTACTGATCTTGCTGTTTGCAAAGAGTTAGACGCAATGTTGACCCACACGATTTGGTAAATAAATATTCTCTCTTCAATCGTAAGTCAGTTAATTCTTAATTTAATGGGTTTTTGGTTTAGTATGGTGTCCGACTTTTTCTACCCAAATATGGGCGGAGTAGAAGAACACATTTACAACTTGTCACAATGTTTACTGGAACGAGGTCACAAAGTTATCGTGGTCACTCACACGTACGGAGATCGAAAGGGGGTACGGTGGATGGCGAATGGATTGAAGGTATAACTAATTTTTCGAAATATGATAAATTGTGATAACTTGTCACTGATGAGGTCATACCTTTCTATAGGTTTACTATGTTCCTGCTCAAGTATTTTATAATGGAGCCATTCTGCCAAACATGGTCACATTAATACCGATTATGAGAGAGATTTTAATACGAGAACGAGTCACGATTGTTCATGGTCATGCAGCATTTTCTTCTCTAGGGCATGATGCTTTATTTGTAGGGAAATTATTGGACCTAAAGGTAAATAAATATGGTGGATGGGAAAAAATTATGATGGTAGGATAACGACCGTTTATGTATTTTTGTTATAGACTGTTTTTACGGACCACTCCTTGTTCGGGTTTGCCGATGCAAGTGCTGTGATAACCAACCGGTTCCTAGAAATATCACTGGCTGATGTGAATCATTGTATTTGTGTCTCCAGAATAGGGTGATTAATTAATACAGTCGTTTAATTTAATTATTTCATAGTTTATAATTGCATAGTTTAATATTTACACAGGAAGCTGAATACCGTACTTCGTGCCAAAATTGAGAGTGAATGTGTTTCTATAATACCCAATGCAGTGGACGCGTCATTATTCAGACCTCTAGAGCCGAACGATATAGGGCCGCCGAATAATAGAAGTATGTAAACTATTGCTCTACAATTCACAAAAGCATTATCAGTAATTGTAATTTATTGGTAAAGATGTTTATTAATTTTAGTAATTATAATAATCTTGAGCCGATTGGTCTATCGGAAAGGAGTAGATCTAATGACTGGGATTATTCCAAAAATTTGTGAATCGCATAAAAATGTATGGTAAAAATGTATGGTATTCCTGACAATTTTATTAAATTACTACTAAATATGTTCTATACACAGGTAGACTTTTTAATTGGTGGAGATGGACCTAAGCGGTTAGAACTTGAAGAAATTAGAGAACAATACGGGAACAGAGTACAATTGTTTGGAAAAATCGATCATGCTCTAGGTACTAAATAAATAAATTATTATATTATATTATAATTTAATTATTCCAATTCTGACTTTAAACTTAATCCAACATCTGCCACACAACCTTCCCATTCTCATCTTTAACCAACGGGGGGATATCCACCTCTACACCACACCCAAACAAATATCCAAATAACCCCTGAAATTCCGACTTATGGAAACCATCATCGAAATGTGCGAACTTCTGATTTAATAACTTGATTGGATGGTCATTAATCTGGACCTCCAACATTTTAGCGACAATGCATGCTATTTGACCCATCGACTCTATCTCGCTAGCCTTAGTCTTCATTTCATTGAAAATGACAATTTGATGCGTGGTTTTTTCGCTCCATCTCTTGACCATCTTCACTTCTTCAATATTTGGGTGGTTGAATTGGTAGAGACGAGTTATATTTTTTTTTTGCAAACTCTGATAAGGCTGTTTTCTTCGTGACATCATGTGTGGAAGAACCTTCGGACTTCCTTACATTTGTATTCCCCCATTTCTCCCCCACATAAATCCTCCCATCATCTTCATCTTTTCCACAGTAAACGAGTGGTAAATTTTTGTACGAAACTTGGGAGAGAAGAGTTTGAGGGACAACTTTGGTGGACTTCTTCTCATCTGTGAGGCGAAATTTGTAGTTGTTGGCTACCAAAATGGTCTTCAGTTTGGGGAAGAATTCGTTTTCGTAAAGGTCGACTCCCTTTGCGAATACAACTTGTTCATTGATGAGATGAATCTTGTCTTTTGAAGCACAAATAGAGTTGTTCAGCATTGACATCAAACTAATTGCTACCTACAATAGTTTTTATTGTAACTTTTTATTGATTGCACTGGATTAAAACATGCATTATAATTTTACTATGATTTACCATTTTATGATCACTTCCCTTTCCAGCCAAAACATCCTCAATCTTGACATTCCACGTGTAGTCCTTCACAATATGCATATTTTTTTGATCTTTAAAATGACTGTGTATTGCTTTGTGTTGGGTTTCACAGCTATCACTTTTCACATAATCTTTGAAATCAGGAATAGACCATCCTGCCTTTTTCGAGTACCTTGGGGTGTAGTAAAACAAAGTCACAGTTGCGGACTTCATATCTCGGATGACGTAATTTTGCTGCACATTATGACCTTCGCAGTACTTTTGCTTCCCTGAAACTACAAATGCCAAATTAGCCACGTACTGATGTAACTGGGTTTGTATTAAATGTGATATTACCAGCTTTTATCCAACAGTCTTCTAATTTACATTTCCACCAATTCATTCCTTTGCTGTTTGTCCCAAATGGTTTGCCATCGTTGTATCCCATTTTGCCATCCTTCTCATCCCATATCACGGTAAGCGTACTTTCACCCTTGTACCGACAAGTTATTGGGGCAGTCTTCAAATTAAGCATGGCAGCCTTAAATCGAGGGTCGTCAACAAGCTTGGCATCAGTCTCTCCAGCCTTCTGTCCATACCCAATCTTTATCTTGACGGCCTCTCTAATAGCTGTTAACTGGGAACTAATTTCGGATATGGGTGGTGGGATCTCCTTCTTTTCCAGTTTCTTCAACTTCATCTTTTCTCCTTGAGAAGACGTGAATTCTTGGGAGGAAGGCTCTCTCATGGAGGTTGGTGGGGTTTCAAATTCCGAAACAACTTCATCTCCGTCATACCAAACGATTCGCAGTTTCTTCTTTGGGATTTGTGGCTCTGACATTTTTAAATACTAAATATGACACTGATTAAATAAAAATTAAAAACGCAGAGGGAGGAACAATAACAAGTTAACGTCACTGTGAGTGAACTGACAGAGGTGTGTGCGAGTCAAAGTGGTGACGGAAGAGAAAAGCAGTATGAGTAGCATTGACCTTTATGTTTTTTTTCTTTTTTGTCTAGTTCGAGATTTTCTGATCAAAGGTCACATATTTCTTAATACTTCATTGACGGAAGCATTTTGTATGGCGATTGTCGAAGCTGCCGCTTCAGGACTACAAGTTGTTTCAACAAGGGTGGGAGGAATTCCGGAAGTGTTGCCCCCAGAATTGATAACCCTTTCCGAACCTACTGTGTCAGGTAGATAAAAATTATATCACGGTGTTACATGCATGCTAAAAAATACAACACGAGTAGTGGTGACATCACCAATGTGTAACTTTATAGGTCTTGTGGCAGCTCTAAATAGTGCCATTTCACTTCGGAAACGCCGATTATACGTTGACCCTTATCAAGCCCACCAGCTCGTCAGTTCAATGTATAACTGGAGAGACATTGCACGACGAACGGAAGTAGTTTATGATAAAGTCAATTTTTGCTGTAATCCAACTGATCCAGAGAGGATGTCTATTTTCATGAAATTTGGTTATATGACTGGACCATTGTTCTGCCTAGTTCTGGGATTAGGAAGAATACTCATGTGGCTCTGTAACCTTTTTGTGCCTATCGAGGTAGCAAGATTTACATACATCCCTTAACAATACCACAATGTCAACAGCAAATTGTAATAAATATAATATTGTGTTTGTTTCCTCAGGATATCGATATAGCAGTTAATTACCCAATATCCAATGAACATGCGAAACAAAATACGCTGTAATCGTAACGGAAATCGTTGGATCATGTGTGGACCATATGCATCGCATCGGTACACATTAACACAATATTATTGCCAATGCCTCGTAACACCATAGTTAAATTGGAGACTCGATCAGAACGGATGAAGGGGAGCGCTCTGACAGAGAAAATAATAACTACCACAGAACCTGAGACACAATTTGAGGCTGGATGAAAAGAAGGCCTGTGTCCTATATGTGGCGTGCAAGTTCGCTATATCAGTTTCTATAGGACACAGTCGCCACCACTCAGGCACGGGCCTGAAGTTATCCCCCTTACTCTATGAACAAAGAGCTCTCGTCGCTTCATCCTTATACATCCATGATTATTGCTGTAAAGTCGTTGAACCTCAGATGCTCATGGAGCATTTTCTTACGTTTGTTTATCTAGTCATGCATGCAAAATTAAGTATTCTTCGAAATAAATTAAGAAACTTATGATTTTGGTCAATTTTTAACGTGTTTAATAAATCACCGTATCCCAAATACTAAATACATTCTACATAATTAGTGTTGCTTAATAATTATATATTTCAATCGGTACAAATTGAAGCATGCATTATATCATATAGTAGCAATTTATAAATAATACAACTGCAATAATTAATATAATAACATTGATTAGCTCAGTTTCTAAACTTAATAACGTGGTTCAGACTTAGAAATTATTAAAAAACAATTCTATACCCCCAGTACTTACATAGTACGAATTTTTTTATAGCCAAGGCATATTATTTCTCACGAAACTGCTTATTATTATTATTACAAACAAACATTACTTAAATGCCAGGTATTTTATTTTGTATTATACTATATAAATGCTTAGGTATGCATGTAAATAGATAATAGTTAATCCTGTAATTCAAAGTCCATAACCTATCAGCATCCCTTACATAACAATTAAGCCAGTGTACGACATACAAATAGTTCTGGATACTTTCGTGTTGGATTGGAATTGTTAAAATAATTTCCCTTCTCATTCACCAACCATTCAATATATGCACTAGGTTTCAATTTAAAGGTGACAGTCATTACAGTCATCAAGCTATTCGTATGTGGCACAGATCAACAGACATCATCATTATTCGTACACTACTATACCAAACTCCAAAAACGTTACCTTTAGCCTTCATAATAAATCACTTTTTGGCTTACCTCCACATAAACGAGGTATTAGTCAAAAATCGTATGGACGATATGGTATATGTAAAGCATTTATGTATTACTTAAATCATAAATTTGGTACAATATGGTAACTGGTTGCTTCCCTACGCTATTATGTATTAGGGATCCTAATTGCTATAGTACTCATTGCAGGTGATTATAAGCAATTAGAGGGGTATAATTAATTATACATTCTGCAGTTAATTTTGTTAGTTTAACTTAACAGCTACACCCACTTTCATTTTCTTGTGCGTCTGGATGCATGGGAGTCTGTTACCGAAATGAAAACCGAAATGTTAATTATTGATTTTTGATCATTGATTAATCAACTAACAATCAATTTAATTAATATCGGATTAATACCCACCTGTTGTTGCAGATCCACGGCTGCAAAGAAATTAGCATATTATATCGAACTGCACAAAACTAGTACATAGTATCCCACAATTTACTGTACGTATAAATATTGTTCTGCATGTAAATTAGCAGTGATTGAAAATAGGCAATATTGGATGGAGTAGTAAGTGTGGAAAGAAAAAAAAGATTTTTAAACAACGTGATATAAAGCTGTAAAAGCTATTAAAAGGGGACACTTCTCCTGAACGTCTTCAATTAAGAGAACAATAACTTGTGAAACGGATCATGCTACTTCATATTCGACATTTGCTCTTAATTCGATTAAGCGATAGGTACTTTAATATTTTACTAAAACTCAAGTTCCAGCCAAACAAAACTACTACAGAAAGGAGCATTTACTAACACAACCACAGTTTTACATTCAGGATTAAACATACATTGTAATTATATATACTTTTTCAAGTTTCTTGCCTATCCCATCTAATTAGGTACATATGTATCATGAATAAATTTAAACATACGATTATAAAATTGCTCACACGTTTCGATAATTGTTCTTTCGGAATAATCCTTTGATATTATGGTTAATATAAACATACCACAACCGAACAATTAGCAAATTAAAAGACTAAATTAAATTAGATAAGGTTTGATTGATAAGGATTAAATAAATTATTATGACGCGATACACATTCCGAGCGCAATACTACAGTGGAACAAAATGGAAATTAATAATCATAATAATTGATCTGGATGATTCTAAAAATATGCTCAGTTATTCCATCTTCAGCATGCGCATCCACCCTCAGTTTTGAGTTCAGCAGGCGTGTCCTTCAAAATGACTTCCGTCACTGAATAAATAAAAAAAGCAAACCACTCTCAAAATGCGAAAACAAATAGACTCTAAAAAAACATAATTAGATTAGAAGCTCTGCAAATCGCTGTGAACCAATAAAAAGAGAAAAGAGACTAAGAATAATTCGATACGGATTTTGAGGACTCGACAATTTTAGCAAAAGTGCAAACTAAACTACAAAGAGAACATTATTACAAAGAGGAAGGGTTTGTACTTTCACCATCGTAATATTAACTGTCAATGATTTCCCTGTTTCATCACAAACTTAATCATGGAAAAACATTGATATCAAAAGTCAATATGTGCATTTGATTAACGTCAAGACGAAATTAATTGAGAAACTATGAATAAATTTAAGATGAATGACATTATAAACATGGCATGACTTACTTTCTCCTTCACTTGGTTTGTTGTCTGATGAATCCATGCCTGATAAATGTAATGAAAAGTACATTTTAAATAAGACCAATCATGCCCATTAACTACTTTAACAACAAACGCGAATTTTTGCTTACCGGGTAGAGCTGCAGCAACTCTTCGGAAAAGCTGAAAGTGGGATAATTTGAGTTAAAAATTCGATAACCCTACTTGTATATATTGTTTTAATGTACCTGCTTAACGTTATAACCAGCTTTTGCACTGGTCTCAATAAACATGACATTTAATTCTTTGGCTTTCCTTTCTCCTTCCTCGGTTGACACCTGTTCAAAGAAACAGTATTATTATTATAATCGCATTAATAATGAAATGAGCTTATCATAAAAGAAGCTTACCTGTCTTTTATCTGATAAGTCCGTCTTGTTCCCCACAAGCATTATTATCACGTCACTTCCTCTTTCTGTCCGTACATCTGTTCAGATAAAAACTTGTATATTTAAAATCTAACGCTAGAGAATGAGAGAAGACAATTATTAATAAACAGCACGTACCATCGATCCATTTCGATGTTTGGTGGAAAGAATTGGCATCTGAAAAATTATACGTTGTATATATATAACAAGTTTTTGAAAGAAAATTGTGAAAAAAATCATACTTGTGATATCATAGACTACAACGGCCACAGTGGAGTCTCTAATATAGGAAGGAATTAAACTCCTAAACCTTTCTTGTCCAGCAGTATCTGAATTCATAATTAGCAAATATATAATGTTGGTAATTGATCAGGTTTACAAAAAATAGACGCATAGGTAAGTACCCCAAAGTTGCAGTCTCACGGTGCGGTCTTCCAAATACATTGTTTTTGAAAGAAAATCAATTCCTATCGTTGCCTGAAATAGAAAGTTGTAAAAAGCAAAACAATTATTACATACCGTTCTAATTTTGTCCGAACCATTACTTTATATTTTTTTAAATATGGTATTGACGCACTTACCTGGTACGTATTATCAAAACTGTCATACATAAACCGTGTAATGAGGGAAGTCTTTCCAACTATAATAAAATTCCGAAATGTCACTAACTCTCCCCCGTTATAATTTACAACTACTTCAAAAAGTTAAAAACTTACCACTCTGTTCTCCTAAAAACACTAGTTTGAATTTCCTCAAGGGATTTCCAAAGTCACCGGACGTCGACATTTTCTTTCTCCCTTCCTTTCACCACTTTTCCTTCTAAATCCTGCAGTCTTCTTTCCTTGCAATATGTTCCCGTATGCCCAAAATCCACACTGATTGATATTTCACCCACGCCCTATTTCTTCTTCCTACACACAAAAATAACTTTTACTAATCATCAAAAACAAATTCATTACCGGCTTGTTCATATGCAGTCCACCTCAACAAAAACGAAAACCTTTCACAAAATAAAAACAGATGCGAGGCCGAGAGGAATTAAAAATTCGTCCGCACCAAAACTGATGGTGAACTCAACAAACAACAAAACCTACCTAACGGCAAATTTAGAGCAATGCACTCACTTTTTAATACTTCTCTCTCCCACCTCAAAGAATATTACTAATTCAATTCATAATTCACTCACCCAATTCTTCCCTAAATCAATCACCTGTCCTATAATACTCACTCAATACGTGGATGGAGAGATGTTGATGAGTCAAACAAAATGTGTTTGTGAATACGTCAACAAACTAATTCTCACAGAGTTTATATGTATTTTTTGCAGTCTTTAAAACCACCAAGAATCAATTCGGAATGAATGAAATCTGCGAGTGAGAGCTGTGTGTAGTAAGCTGTCAAGTCAACTGGCTGGTTGTCGAGTCAGTCAGTCAGACAGTCCATCTCACTTTCATTTCACAAACTACAAAGGTTCGTCGGGGCAAAAGAGGACGTCGAAATCGAAGAGTACGTTTATTACCGCTGTGTTTTGTCTCGACTAAATAACTAAATTTGATTGAGTCTACCACTGTTCTCCAGAAGAACGAGTTGAATAAAAGAAGAACAATACCAAATTTCGTAAAATAATAATAATAAACAATTGAATTGTTTGTTTTGGTTTGGATTAGTTAAAGGGACCGACCCCGACAATGTTGGGACAGACGTTGAGTACTGATTGAGTAGTTTGGCTATAGTTTGTTTCTTCTAGTTTAATTTAAGATAATTTCGTAAAATTATAAAAATATTTTTTAGTTTAATTTGATCACTATTGCGTATTTAGTTTGGTCCATTGTTGGTTTTTGGCTGTAGAGAGACAGACATAAGTGATTGAGAGTGTCTTGCCTGTGGTTGGTTAGTCTAGTAATGACTTCGACAATGTGTGACGATTCTCCAGAACAGAAAAGACCAAATTTTTCATTGGTCAATAATTCTGCGACGAATGGAATCAGTAGGACGTCGAATGTTACGCAGCTTAAGAGTGGGGGAACAAAGAAATTGGTTATCAAAAATTTTAGAGGTGAGCATGTAGTAATGATAATTTGAAATTGTATTAATGAGAATTTCATTGAGATGATAGATAATATACTAAGATGGTTTTTTCAATTGTATCCAGAAAAACCAAAATTGTCAGATGATTATCAAGCTGAAACATGGAGAAGACTGCAAGAATCTGTTATCGCGATTCAGACATCTACTCGTATCAGTCACTGCTTGGAAGAATTGTATCAGGCTGTGGAAAATATGTGCAGTTATAAAATGGCTCCCCAACTTTACGACAATTTGAAAGGTACCTGAGTATAATGGATCGATATATATATTTTATGATTAATTATTATGACAATTGTTATTGTTTATTAATTGTGATTGTTAATAGATGTGATTGAGATGCATGTCAGGGATAATGTGGAACCGTATATTCGTGGAGTTCAAGACCGTAAAATATTTTTGAAAGAGATGGAAGGATGTTGGCAAGCACATTGCCATCAAATGATTCTGATTCGAAGTATTTTCCTGTACCTTGATCGCCGTTATGTCTTACAAACTCCGTCTGTGCCCTCAATTTGGTAATTTGAATTTGTTTAAGCAGAAAAAATGAAAGTGCTTGCTCAACAAAATTTATGTGTTCCTTTTGGATTAACACAGGGACATGGGGCTGGACCTTTTTCGAAAACACGTTATTGGTCAACAGTTGGGTGAGTTTAACTTTAACTCGAACTTATTGTATTGCATGCTATGCACTATATTTAAGCAGTTATTTATACATTCTGTTTTTGGTGAACAGCTCAAACTAGAACAGTGGACGGACTGCTAATGCTGATTGAGAGTGAAAGACAGGGTGATGTTGTGGATAGATCTTTGCTCAAATCCCTCCTGAGAATGTTATCGGATCTGCAAATTTATCAAGGTGGGTAAATATATGACATGAGTACCAACAATATTTAATGACCTTTTTTTCTTTACTTGTAGATGTGTTTGAGCATCGGTAACCTAATAATATTCTGATTAATATCTTTAAGTTAACACTAGTAATAATAATTTTTATGGGGACTAGATTTTTACAAGCGACTGATGCCCTTTATACGGCTGGTAAGTGTAATTCAAATTTAAAATTCATGAGTTCTGACTTCCAAGTACTGTACAAATTTTAAAAATAAATGTTTTTTCGTATAACAGAAGGAAGAAGACTGATGCAAGAGCTGGAAGTGCCTGAATACTTGGCGCATGTAGATAAACGAATTTCCGAAGAAAACGAACGGGTACTTCACTATTTAGATGTAGGAACGAGGTAATTATGTACATCATATCTTATCATCATCAGTTAAATAAAGAAAATGGTCAAAGAATGTCAACAAATAAATGAATGTCATTTAATAATTTAAAGATGGGCTTTAATTCACACTGTGGAACGCCAGTTAATATCGGAACACCTGAGTAGTATCCTTGGGAAGGGGCTGGAAAGCTTACTGGATAATAATAGGATTCAAGACCTAACACTAATGTTCAATTTATACAATCGGGTTAAGAATGGTTTAATAGAACTTTGTTCTCAATTCAACTCTTACATTAAGGTATAATTAATTAAACAGAACTGTGAATTGATCCAGTGGAAGTTTAATTGTTTTAATTTTACTTTTTCTAGAAAAAAGGGCGAATAATTGTGATTGATCCTGAGAAAGATAAATCTATGGTTCAAGATTTACTGGACTTTAAGGACAAGATGGATAATATCGTCTTGTCTTGTTTTGGAAAAAATGAAAAATTTGTCAACAGTGTGAAAGAAGCATTTGAGTTCTTTATCAATCAACGACCAAACAAGCCTGCAGAGCTAATTGCAAAGTTTGTCGACTCCAAGCTCCGCGCAGGAAACAAAGAAGCCACGGAAGAAGAGCTGGAAAGACTGCTTGATAAAATAATGGTGATATTCCGTTTTATCCATGGGAAAGATGTCTTTGAAGCATTTTACAAGAAGGATTTGGCAAAGCGTCTCCTCGTTGGGAAATCTGCAAGTGTTGACGCAGAGAAGAGTATGTTATCTAAGCTGAAACAAGAATGTGGGGGTGCATTTACATCAAAATTGGAAGGAATGTTCAAGGATATGGAATTGTCTCGTGATATTAACGTTGCATTCAAGCAGGTGACATAAATATGAAATAATCCTTAATAAATTAGACATGCGTAGAAAAAGAATTATCGCAAAAATTAACTAACATCAAACCAATTAACATGAAAATTGTTTCTTGTAGCACACGTCTAACCTCAAATCAAATTTCGAAAGCAGCATCGACTTGACTGTTAATATTTTAACAATGGGATATTGGGTACGTTTCCAATTTGCGTTGCTTCGTCTCACAAAAAAAAAGATTTGCATTTGCCTTATGCAGGATTGTGTATTGACAACTCCGTGTTTATACAATTATTTACTTTATTTCAGCCCACTTATCCTTTAGTTGAAGTTAACCTACCTAAAGAGATGGTCCAGTATCAAGAAATATTTAACAAATTTTACCTTGGCAAGCACAGTGGAAGAAAATTACAATGGCAACCAACTTTGGGCCACTGCATGCTAAGAGCCACATTTGAAAATGTTCGTTCTATTATTTCTACTGCTTATTAATTCATACGAAAAATATCAAAGTATTTATTTTATAAATCTCAGGGGAAGAAAGAGCTTCAAGTTTCTCTATTCCAAGGTCTAGTTTTATTGTTGTTTAACGATTTGGGTCAACTCTCCTTGGAAGAAATAAAAACAGGAACGAATATTGAGGTAAAAAAATATTCGGAATTTGTGTACATATGTATGATTTAGTTTTTCATGCATGAATTTATTGTCCTTGTGAATGAAGGATGGAGAATTAAAGAGGACCCTCCAGTCCCTAGCATGTGGCAAAGCCAGAGTGCTTCACAAGAGTCCGAAAGGAAAAGATGTCGAGGACGGAGACAAGTTCGAATTTAACAGCGAATTTGCTAATAAATTATTCCGAGTTAAAATTAACCAAATTCAGATGAAAGAGACGGTAAAATTAATTGCTACTTTTATTATAAAATAACAATCACCGTTATTTGTATTCAGCATTTTCTTTTTCTTTGTCAATTTATTAGAATGAGGAGCAGAAAGCCACCGAAGAACGAGTTTTCCAAGACAGACAGTACCAAATTGACGCTGCCATTGTTCGAATAATGAAAATGAGAAAAACTTTGAGTCACCAGCTACTTGTTTCAGAATTGTACAACCAACTCAAATTCCCTGTTACGGTAAGAATTGAATAATTACTAACTGATTGCTTGTAAATTTGTTTTAATCAATATTGACCAATTTTGTTTCTATTAAATTTTCAGCCCGTAGACCTCAAGAAAAGAATTGAAAGCCTGATTGACCGCGACTACATGGCACGAGATAAAGAAAACACAAAACAGTATAATTATGTCGCGTAATAATTGTGTATTAATAGGAGAGATTCTAAATGTTCCATGTGTTATACACCATACAAATAATTTTGAAACCCGTATCATTATGTATTTAAATAATCTCACTCATATTTGTTGGATTATACATGTTCATTCAGATAATTGATTAAAAAGAGTCAAGAAAGATAAGTGCGTTTCTGGGTCCTTAATATGCAATTGTTTGTACAGTACATCACTGCCAACTTAATGCTTTAGTTTTCGAACGATAAAATGAAAGTATTGACACTTACATAATGCTTATTTTAAAGGTATGAAAATTTTTATTACGCAAGTACTCAAGTTTTTCGCTTTGACTAATTAATTACTCGTAAAACTAATCACAATTCACCACCCATATATAGTTTTAGTAATCAAAGTGATAAAAAATTAAATTCGCATTCATAACGACTGTATAAATCTACTGCGCGACGAGACAATTATAACAAACCCGGTAATAAACTAACTACTACACACACATTTTATTGTGGAGGTATTTTGTTTAGGTTTTGTAGAAATGAACACTTGAATGCATGACGATCAACAATGCTTAATTTTTCTCAGATCCATACATAATTATTATATTATTCACGGGACAAGCTCTCATTCCACAGTGTATGTAGTTATAAAAAGCTGTTTCTCTGGGTCCGCTATTGCAATTTCATTTTTTCGTTGCTCTCTCTGTAATTGAAAGATGATGGTCACAGAAACAACTTTAACGACGTATTTATGGCAAAACCACTAAAATTCATGTTATTGAAAATACAAAATTGAAATCCATACATAGAATTTCATTTACAAAAACTTTGTATAGGATTGCATGACGAACTATTTGTTAAGGCATAATGGACTTTGTTATGATTGTTTGCCTGTTTTATTAGAGTTATATCTACCTTTCTGGTGGAACTGATTTGCGAGAGAAATACAAACTGAGATCAAATCTACCTGTAAAGGCGTCCTCGCAAAGATAATTTTTGGGAAACATAAAATAGATAAATAAATTTACATATACCTACTTACGTACCTATCGTCGTACTTATTATTCTTATTTTGTAAAGATTGCAATCGTATTTCATCAATGCACTAATTTTTAAATTAACATCTGCATACAGTAAAGTTTTATAGTATGTATTATAAAAGTTATCACATTTTGGCAGTGCTGGGTTTCGTCAACGCCCGTTGTCCCTTCTTTGTCGTCTCTTACAAATTATCGACATACATACTGCTACTGCTATTACTATGATTATTACAATCTATCATGTACAACGGTCACGACCCCACCGTATTGGACGAAACAGTGGCAGAAAAGCTTGTTGGGACAGGACGTGGTGGTCCAGGAACTTGGTGGACCGTGAATGCAGAGGAAGATGAGGCAGCCGTCACTGCAGGAACCTAATATGTACCATTTAAGAATTACATATTAATAATTACTCTAATTAAATTTTATCCTAGAATTATAAACGATTCTTACATGGTGAAGAACAAAGTCATCGTAGACTTTCATCAAGTCGGTCAAATCGTACTCTTCCAGGCATACGAAGCCAGATAGTTCGGGGGAGGCTTGCAGTGCACAGTTTATGCAGTGAACAACATGTCGTTTTTCTTGCTCTTTGATGAAGAGGATATTAAAGACTTCCAGCTAAAAATATAAATATGCACATATAGAATCACTATTTAAGTAAGATGATGTTCCACAATGCATTTTTTATAATAATTATCTCGCTACTTACGTCGCACTGTCCACAATAATGTGACGCATCAGTTTTCGAACGACCATGAAAATGAACCTCCACACCTTTTGATTTAACAAACTCCAACAACCGGAAGCAATGCATCATCGTTCTCATCAATACACTCCTGCAATAGAAAATTGAGTAATAGTTTTAAAACTTTATGCACCTTGTTAATAAATTTCAACCAAATGGAATATTAATATAAATAACTCACTTAATGAGATCATATGTTTTGATATCGGTTGGGTAAATATTTCTTGCCAAATTCCACGACAAGTGCACCATCGGAACCTAATGGTCGGAGAAGAAAAAAGCATGCCATTATATAAAAATCTATGATGAATCGGCACAAAATATTTTTGCGTATGATCAATACTTACAATGCTTTTGAATTTTTGCAATTTGTTCCATTCGTATCTCTCTATCGCAAGTTGATACTGACGAGAAGTCAGTGGTCCAACATTCCAGGCAATGTTGTTGCACCAGCCCATCGCTACAACGTAGAAAATTGGTCATTAAAGTCGTTACAAGAGCCAGGGGATAATTTTATAATAAATGAAGAGAAAATATGAAAAGTTACGAACCTTGTACCCAGTGAACTATTTATGTAAAAAAATCGAATCAATTGTATTATACTTAATAAACATTAAATTTAGCAGAATACAAGTCTTTGGACTTACCACATCCACTATTTACCCATACAAGATCGCCAGGCTTTTGGGTGAAACGGTACACGGGAATCTTAGCCTTGGCACAATCGTCAAGATTAGGCCACCATGATCCATGAAGATAGTCCATCTTGTTCTTTTCGCACAGTTCATATATCTTTCCCCAGTACGCATCAGGGACAGCGAACCATTCACCTATACACAATAATTATTGTTTATAACAGAAATAAACAAACTGACATATGACTAAATCCAAATGAAAAAATAACACTCACAATCTCCAGGACCAATGTTCATGTTGATGGAACAAAAATTGTTGTTTTCTTGATGTCCAGGAGTCTATAATAATTAAATTGATCATCATTATAATTAACTACTGGAATTAAATATGTACTTTAGATAATATTTGATAATGCCTGCATACCCGACTTCCAGGAACCTTCATATATAACTGGACTGTATTCATTCCCAAAATAACGTGTCCAACATGGGTGAGCATATTTCCTGCAGAAACGACTCTTGAAAATGCAGGCAGTTTTTGCAATTCTTGAAGCTGGTCTTTCCATTTGCGTTCGTCTGAGAGATCCACATTGGTTCCAAACTTTAGAGCCTTTGTAACTTTCTTTTTCTTGTTTCCCGATGAATCTTTAGAATCTGAGTCGGAATCTTTGTGCATAATTCCTAGATTTTTATCCTCTTCCTCCTAAAACATTTTTACATTCATGTTTAAAACCATTATTATTTATTATCTCGATTAGTGTTATAAAAATATTTAATATTTTCAAAATATTGTTGAATGAATAAATCTTCTTACCTTCACAGATTCTTTGAAACTTAATGCTTGGTATTGAGCATACCACCCAATTGTTGAGTGTGCCCTACGAGAAAAACAGTCCCACGAAACTTTTCCGTTATTGTCTACGTTTTCATCATAGTTTTTGAAATTCTGGTGGCGAATTTCGACAGGGTGCTCCGGATGAGCTTCAACCAAAGTTTTTGTAGAAAACAATCCTAGGTCAAGTTTTAATGCTGCCCCTATTCCTCGAATTACTGCGATGGGATGTTGCAAGCAAAATTCTTGCAGCATAGGGCTGAAAGCATCTTTCTTGTTTTCGACAAAAACACTGGGTGTTTGAGGATACAACTGGTCTTCGGTCAATGGTGTCTGCAAAAAAATTACAGTAGTAGAACAATCTTAATGAAATTGTGTTAATAAGTACATAAGAATAAAAACAATAGGATCCTTACCACTGGTGGCTCAGGTGGGGCGGGCGGAGGAGCATGATCGCCAAGAATATTACAAACTATGACTTTTCGCATATCTTTGAAATCTGTTTTACATCGCGCTTGGAGTTCCTTAGCCGTCATCGTAATGTTGGCTTCTTTGTATTCCTCTTCTGAGGGGCTGTGTCGATTGATATCGGAATTCATACTGATGGTTCGAACTCTCGAGTCTGCTTTACTGTCTGGAGTATTGTTGTTGCTTGGCATACCGACGAGGTCGTCATCCATAAGTTCAAGCTCGTCCAGGTCAACGTTACATCCACGGAGTAGATCGTCACCCAGGTCTTTCTGATTAAGCCAAGCTTGAAGTTCCTGATCGCTAACTGGTGAAAATGGAGGACTTCCACTAAGGGCACTTCGGGGTGATTTAATATCGTCTACTTCCGTTGTTGTACCAGGCATGGAGGATGTCGTCGTAGTCAACCTCGTGGTGTGGTTATGGAATGACAAATCTTGGTGGCCTTGTTGAAGGGAAGAAAATGATCCGGTGGCTCTGCCAGCGCCGTCTGCGGATGATTGCACCACGTTTTGTCTTTGTTGTTGCTGCTGCTGTTGCATTGTCCTATAATTTCGTTCATGAATTGGAATTATATATATATCAATTTCAAAAATAAGAATTTTTATTTTTTCAATTTAATTTTACCTATATTGATGAGACAATTGATTGTATAGTTGTTGTTGGGGTTGACTCAACTGATATCCTTGATTCATGTGACTTTGCAACGTGTGGAGAATTTGTAATTGATGGGAGCTAAGTCCTGCAGGTCGAGTATTGCCATTTTGTCCTTGATCTTCCATCTAAGAAATATCAAATTCGAACATTATGTAATCCATCATATATAATTAAAAATTACTTAAATATATCAGCTCTCACCTTGAATTTCTTTACTGGCAAGTCTGATTGCTGACCGTTTAGCTGAGCTCCATTCAGTCCACCTTTTTGTTGATGTTGATATCTTTGTGATTGCTGTTGCTGTTGTCTAGCAGTCATTTCCGCAGAAATGGGCAAATTCCACGCCTCCTCAATAACAGGCAAATGTCGAGGTTTGCCATTAACCCTGTTACAAAAAGTTCACAAACAAATGATTAACATTTAGCTCATGGATATGGATTTACAACGAAAAATAACCTACGTTTGTACAGGAGCTTTCGCCAGCCCACTTTGAATAAACTTGATCCTTTGTTGAAGACTTGGATTCATTGTTTTAGAAGAATGTTTTGTGAGAAATCCTCGACCTGCGTTAACGTAGCAAGAAAGTGCGTCACGGGGCTGATTCACAGATTCATACAGCACACCCAAGTTTGTCCAAGCTGACACATGAAATTTATCTAGCTGTACGGCACAGATATACGCCTGGAGAGCATCTAAGGGCTGGTTTTGTTGTTGATACAAAACTCTACATAAATAATATAAGTTATAAATATAAACTCAACATGATAAGGCAAACATGCTGTCAACAAACTATTATTATTTACCCGATAGAGCACCAAGTGTCCGCGTTCCCTTCTGATTTGTCAACAGAATTGCGGTAGGCTAAAAATAACATTTAAATAATTACAATTAAAGGGTATGTATTTTGTCTGAATAAATGTTTGCTATAATTTATAAATTGACTGAGTTTAAATACCTAAAAAGGCGTCGTGCACTTTGCCTGAAAATGGGAGAGAGGGTAAAAATTAAAAATTAATTTTTTCTTAACACGATGATAAAATGTATTTACTATTATGTAACATAAATTTTAAATGACAAAAAGTTATCATACCACAAGAGGCAAAACACCGTCCTAGAAGATACAAAGCCTGTCCAGAACGTGGATCAGACTCTAAGGCTTTCTGCAAATAGTGAATTGCCAAAGGTTCACGTTGAGGCTTTTCTCCAAGTGCTTCACAGGTGTGCGTAATCCAGGCTAAATATTAAAACATACAATTCATATTTTTCACATTCCTTCACATACATACAACAAATAAGATTGGAATGAACTGATACCTAAATGTTGATAAACAGTAGCTCGCAAACTTGGGAGTAAGTCTTTCTCTTTCAATAATTCCTCGTAGTTTTCTTTGGCAAAAGTCGGCTTGTCGAGAATTTCATACAAATGGGCGATATGAAACTTAATTTGAGACGGCGATATGGAGGACGGCGATTGATCACGAAGTGCAGCGTTAAAATGTTTCAATGCTCTGGGAAGTTCGCCTTGGATTTTTCGTATCAAAGCTAAACGCAGGTGAACTTCATTACTTCGAATGAATCCCGGCTCCACATACTGAGGGATACATAAGTAAAAGATTAATTAAAATAATGACGAAAGATAGATGTGCAAACTTACGAATAAAATTGATATGAGTTCATTTTTTAACATGAGATTTCTCATGTTCATTAAGACTTTTTGCGTGTACATAAGGTCTGTTACAAGTAGAACATTCAAAACCACCTTGATGCAGGTTCATATGATTGCTTAATTCTTCTACTATATGTGTTTCCTTATCACACTTTACACACTTCAGTTTAGGAACTACTTTATGGTGGTTTCGGAAATGAGTAGTGACGCCGGACGTTATAAGAGTTTGACCACAAATTCTGCAATCAAACTCTCCTATATCTAACCGCAAGCTTCTGTTCGATTTCGTTGGAGAATTAATGATTGACTCGTCTAAATTTAGTTTCTGGAGAGATTCATAGGTAAATTTTATATCATAAAACTTTAATTGTTTGCAATTCAAGTTTGCAAACATTGGATGTAGGTCAACACTTAGTTGTATATCCAGCAAATCAGTGTTTTTGAATTTAATTAACAAGTCAGCTAATTTCTCCTCATTTTTCCAATGTTTTGCGTGAGCTGAAACTTGAGTGTTTTTCCCATCCGACAGAGGTAAACGAATCGAAGGATCTTTTCGATGCTGAAATTTTATCACTTTCGATAACAAATACGAATATGCTTCTGAAGCATCACAAGCAGAACTCACTGATTCGGAAGTTTCACTAATTATTAAATCAGACAATAATATAAATCTAAACTTTGAATCATTGTCATATACGTAAGTGTACACATTAGAATAGAGATTTTTGTATGTTTCGCAAACGATGCGATCTCTTCTGCTTAAAGTTGATACACGGAGGGACAAGTTGTCTTTATCTGTAGCGTTAAGCCATAACATCACCCGATAATGATTATTTATTTTCCTTAAATTCTCGTCCTCCTTAACAATCTCTAGAGCTAACTTTCTGTCCTCACTTTCTTTGTCTATTTTTATCACTTTAGGAAGAGTTTTAGATGCCGGTCCTGGTCTTTTATGACAAGTATTTGTAATAGTAGATAGCGCTCTACTTTGACTCATTATTAGTTAATTAAAAATTTAATTGAGTGACTGAAACATTGGAAATGAGTAGGCTACTGAATGTAACACCAACGTTCCTAATGCTCGCCGATTCCCGGCCTAATCCCACATAACTCAATATACCCCTCTCGTAAGTGAATTGAAATAAAGGACTTACCAGTAGAAGAAGGAATATCTTTATTGCACTGAAAAAATAAAAATATAACCAAATTAGCAACAAATTTTAATAAATCGGCAACAGAAGTTCAATGAAACAGTTCAATGCGCATACTCACACGAACTTTGACTTCTTTATTTGTGCATATTAACCAACATTAAAATGAGATATATGATCGCACGGTAATCTGAGACACACAAATAAATAAATTGCAAAAATAATGAGGAATGAATAAAGTTTCCTGAGAGTAACTGGCCAAATCATGAAATGATAAAACTTGTGATTGAGGAGTAAGTGGCCGAATTGCAATCCAGTGAACAACTAAACTGCGTGAGAGCAAAGTCCCTTCCTTATAATACGTATACGTATGTAATAATAGTCCTTGTCTCCTAGAAGGGTCGCTTCCTCATGCAGCTCTCATTCAGTGAATCATAAACTGCTATTTAGCTATTAGACTGGCTGCTGTTCCTTTTTAAACATCCAGAAATTTTCATCCCTTTTTCGAGACTTCCACTTTCAATGAGTGTGCATATCATGTGTACGTACATTGCACAAAACGAGAGCAAAACGACCGACCAGGCAAAACTGTAGAATTGGAGAAAGAGTCCCATTCCGAGCAAGCAAGCAAACACACCTTTTCCATTGTGCTTCTTACATGCGTTGTTGGGTTCTTTGTTAGAAAAATATATACGGTCTCGTCGTCAGTTGGTTTCAAGAAAGATCACGCAAAGATAACGGCTTACACGAACCTATTTGACCCGTCACTCATATTTTGAAGAAAAAAAAGAATAAGAAGAGCATTACTTGCATGTTGACGCGTCAGCACTTGTATGAAAATCGGACATTTGAAAAAAAAATTTCTACACAATTCCTAAAATAATAAAGTCTTGCTCAAAGGCTATTACTCTCTGCTTTGGGTCTACTGACCAACAGAGCATTTCATGATTATAATGTGCCAAACAACAAAAACTGACCTTTCCAACTAACTGCAATCATGGATGACAAACTTTTGACTGCCCTTATTTTACAACCCGCGTCAGAATTTTGTGACAGATATATTTCACTTAGGGAATCTAGGAAGCGGGCTGAATTGCATGCAATAAATTTTGTCCGTATGTATCTGCTAAACACTTTCCCCACTAACTACTGCCCACGTTACAAAGAAGTGGACGATGGCTTTTCAGGGTTTCGCCATAAAATGATTAAAATCCAAAATCGTGTGTGGCAGGATTGGAACAGAAATACGACGGGCTTTAAGGAACGTTGAAAATAAAGTAGGTACTAGAAATGTAACATTTAAAATGTCAAACTTAAACTGTCATTCGGTCGTGACATGAATTTTTAGTGCACAATTTTATGAGCACCGTAATAAATTTTAATTTGTTTCCAATACCCTCACCAGTCCCATGACGAACAATTTACTTGTAATGCTGTGTAAACGAGCATTACAAGTAAATATAATTGCTCTAATTATAAAGGCCCCAAAAAAGGGAAATCTTAGTGAGGCTTGGTGCGACTACAACTAATAAATAAAATTAGATTGCAGAATTTTTGCATCACCGCTCTCTGTACCATTCTTTACTGGAAGTATTAAGTAATCATTTGGAATAAATGGCTCCCCTCAAACATTCTTGTAATTTCATGAGAATAAGAATTAATAGGATATCCAGATTATAGGATTATCCAGAAAATATTAAAATTAAATATTTTCAACTTTTGTTGCATATTTGCAACTGTTTGCATCTTAAACTTAAAGATTCGTAGTTCACAATTGTTTACCCATTATATTATATTTGTTCCCAGTTAATTTACCAAACTTCTCGTTCACTTGTAAAAACGTCTTCTTAAAAACCCAATTAATTCAATAAATGTAAAAATGCATGTGTATGCAAAACAAAATTTATATTGGATCCAGTAAGAACGGTACAGAGAGCGGTGATGCAAAAATTCTGCAATCTAATTTTATTTATTAGTTGTAGTCGCACCAAGCCTCACTAAGATTTCCATTTTTTGGGGCCTTGTTTATTTAATACTTGTAATTGAGTTCTTTATATCTTTAATAATAAGCACCACACATTCCTTAAAGCTAGAGTTGATTAGAAGATTTATTGTCAACAACCTTAATGCTTTGCGTCGCTGCAAAAATTTGAAGGTTTTCTAAATTTAATAATCTCTCGAGTTCTTAACTGATTTTGATCATCCGGATCATAAATTCACCAAATCAGTTTGAATGTCATTTCTAAATTTCATAAGAATAATCGGTGCAAAATGTCATCAAAATCGGTTGAGAAATGACGGAGATATTGAATAATTTCCATCAGTTTTTGGGGTGGGGTCAATGCACACAATATGCAATTTTTGTTTGGATGACCCATTAATGAACTATGAAAAGAAATGTTCAGTAAGGGGCAAATTTTCGCATATTTTTGCCAATAACTAACTCAAAAAACAAAAATTCCAAAAGGCGACTCGCACATCGTTTTCAAATTATCTAACAATGATCGGTGCCAAATTTCATCCAAATCGGTTGAGAAATGACTGAGATATCGTCGGTGGTCACTTTTTTGGGGAGGGTCAAATGCATACTTAGTAATTTTTTTGTTGCTAGGTATTTGCCTCACTAAGAAAAAAAAAGCTCAAATAATTTTCCTTATTTGACTCCCCTCAAACATTCTTGTAATTTCATGAGAATAAGAATTAATAGGATATCCAGATTATAGGATTATCCAGAAAATATTAAAATTAAATACTTGCAACTTTTGTAGCATATTTGCAACTGTTTGCATCTTAAACTTATTATGGCAAATACATAGCAATTATTATAATGCTATAATTTTCTTATAATTTTAAATTTTCTTATGACCATAATTGTCATAATAATTATAACTAATCGCGCATAATGAGAACTTGATTTTCTAGTGATTATACGAATTCTTCCATAATCATTCTGACCTCAGCGATACAATATTACAAAAATGTTGTAAACGTAAAAATGGGTTGTGCTAAAATTGGGGGGGAAACAAATCAATCCCGAAAATAAAATACAGCAGGAGAATAGAATGATAATAATAATCATATAAAGGCATCCAATGAAAGCAAATCAACTGGACCATGATGACCGGACCGGACTTTTGTCATGAGAGGAGAAATCAATAACACCGAAAATCCAGCAACTCTAATATCTTTCTCTTCAATCAAATGTACGAATGTATGTACCACCACACTTTCCTTTCATACATTTGGTGGTACTGGTAACCCAATTCCAGTCCTTTTATACATTAGTATTATTATTCCTCAGTGTACCATACTTGATTAAACTCAACTAGATTGCTACCCCAACTGTTCCTCTCACATTTATAATCGTGTCACCCGTTTTTATTCATCCTTCTTAACCCTGGACCTCCATTCAACTAAACTCATCTCTCTGAGGTTGAGGCACCCCTTCCGTCCGATCCGACTTTTATTCCCAACACCCTTCCCCCTTTATTAATGACAAAAATACATAAAAATCTAATAAGCAGCACTACTGCGGATATACAAAACTTTATTATTTCCCATCATATTTATTTTCAGCATAACTCTCAGAATCCCTTAAGGCGAGTTCAATCACACCATACGCTACTTAAAAAAGAGAATACATATTGCCTGTTACCCTCTGCTACTTACTGTTATACGCCAAGCTTAGCAATATTTGTACCAAATAGTAGTGAAACCAATTGGATCTTTGTACATACATATAACCCTTTTTATCATGCGTTTGCGTTAGCTGTTCTTCATTCATGATGACGCAAAAAGATTTTGCCCCGTGCAACGCAACGCAACGCACCAGTACGCATAACCGTACCACCATCCCATCGTCCTCAATATGTAGCGTTATGTACATCGGATGAAGAATACATATAGAGAAAAGACATATTATTTTACAACAATTCTCTCTATAAGCCGTCCAACCAAACCAACCAACGCAAACGCTGCTGCCGTGTAGCTCGACGCTTCTCTCTAAAGCCCCTCGTCTTCTAAATCCATTTTCCCATCTGCAGACTCTTCTGTCGAGAAGAACTCTCTGTGCGTGCGTACATTGCACTCTGAATTCGGCCTTCCTCGAATCGAGCTCTTTTAGCGAGTTGAAAACTATATAAGCTCAAGTATTACGTATTCATAGAAGTGGTGGTAACTTAACGTGCTGTTGTTGGCCTGATGTAATGTCATGGATGTAGCAGCACAGCCGAGTTAAATAGCAGTGTGTACATATTTAATTCTATCGAGTATGTACATAGTACGGAAGAGTCTGGCTGGTCATAGGGCATATTATTACACAATGCAAAACTTTGGCCAATTGCATATGACAGGATATGCCAACACCGCAAATTGAATTATTACACGTGGATGGATACAACTACTTACATGCATATACACCATATTGCTGATGATAAATAGCTGAAAAATTTCCCACAGATTTTCCGTCTTAATACATATTTCTGCTATCTATGTATTGTTTCAGCTGCCCTTAAAAATATGTCTGTTTAAACCATGTAAAATCTGGCAGTATTCGGAGAATATTGTCATTGCACTTGGTTAAGTTTGCACGACCAATGCCAATTCCAGAAATGGCACAAAAATATTATGTACGTGCAAGAGCAATGGAATGAATACAAATCCCTGATAACATAACACTTTTTCTCCTTATCAGCCACTCATACCATACAGAATGAGGATCGAATGATGAGAGCTGTCGTGGTCTGGTCATACATTATTCGTGTATTTAAGTACGTAAAATGAGGTTCATCGGCGTCACACACTCGTCAATCGTCATAGACCTTTTATGCGAAACTGGAGGAAAATCAATATCAATACCCTGAAACGAGATCACAATTTCACGTCCTCATCATGTCGTTACATAAATTTAGTATTCCGGTCCATAATTTTATCTCAACTTTCTCACGTAGTTTAATGAACGAGTTTTGTTTGGTGGCCCTACCCAACTTATCATGTGCTTTATCTTTACCCGTCAATGGTCATGACGGAAAG